GAAAATGTAAACGTTTTGGGGTAGCGCTCAGGGTCACCCTCGCAAGCAGGCTTAGTTCTTCATCCCGGTCGACTGGCAGGTCTGATCCTGGGTCTAGACGCATGACTAAGGTTTAGTTCTAGTTCAAGTTCAATTATATCCATAACAATTGGACGCAATGAGTAGGACCGGAAGCGACGAATACCATCTACATTGCATTTGCAGGCTAATGGACGCGACGCGGCGATGAGGACGGAAAGGGAAGACAATTTGTAAGCGGCGCGTGCGAGATGCACTCGTTGCGTGCACTCCGCGCATCATTAAAGCATTCTGAATGAGCGTAATAGATCTTCATGACCATGATCATGATCATCATCATCATGGGGGTTTGTGTAGAGAGTGGCGCCCTCTCATGCACAGCATGCGATTACGAACGGAATTATTACCGTGCTGCACTTTTACGATGTTCATAATTTTGTTCTAAGTGAATTAACTACATCAGCTTCTATTTATCACTTTACTGCTTTTTTAACTAGTTCAATGCCCTGCACTACTTACATTTATGGAGTCTGTAGGTAGATAGATAGGTTCTGTTTTAATTTATTTGGTTATTTAATTTGATTTCCTAATTGGAAATTTTAATGCTTGCATTTGAAGACCCTCACTACATCAAAAGATGTCTCCGTGAATATTCAAGCAACCACAAGAAGCACTTAGTTATACGACGTCAAATGTAGTTACTAAGATGGCGCTGCTTGCGAGTTTATTTTGCGATGCACTCGCAGCCACCGATGGCGACGATATTTAAGGTTATAAAGTTAACTGTGCAATTAAGTTTGAGGATTGCTGCGAGCCGCTTTCGCCATTCGTGTGTGCATGGCTGCTTGTAAGTAATATGTCTGGATTTAGTGTCTGCGTTTGCCGCCAGTCGGAGTCACAGTCGTTGGAAGCGAAGGAAGCTTCCAGAGAGACGTACGGCGATTACGAGAAATAATCACCATGAAACTAAAACTTACATTTATGACCTTCCGCCGATGGTTACATAGTTTTGGCGCTCGCCGGCGTGCAATTACAATTTTGCATTTTCAAACGAGAATAAGTTGTTGGTAGTAAGTCGATATGCAGATGGCGCTTTACAACTGCAATTTCAGTTGTGAGGTTATTTCATGGAAACACGACGGCGTAAATTGCGATTTTAGTCGACTCGTGGTGATGGTGAAAATTGATGATTATTGTATTTGACTGCAAGCCATACACGCGCTGGCTGCAATTTCATTAGGGGTAGTTTATATCGAAGTAGATAACATTTTGGTATGGATTGGATGGTAATATGTGTTGATAGGGAATTTAAAGTTTCAGAACCGTGTATTAGCTGTTTATTGGTAAATGTGTTGTAGGGCCAATCTCCAAAATTACTTTAATTGTATATAAACAAAGTAGGGTTAGTTAGAGTATTGATAACTCAAGAACGGGCGGACAGATTTTGATGATCTATGAATTATGAGATTTGTTTTTGACCCGAATAACAGAATACCTACTAAAATATTAAAAATTATGATATACAGGGTACTAAATAAAAGGTGAAAATTTACATAGATAAATTCTATCATAGTTAAAGTTACATAATTGAACTCGTGATGGGTCTAAAGTTCATTTGTTTGATTTTGAACAAGAAAGTAAAAAATATAAACTAACATATGAACAAAATTATGTAACTATTTCAAATTGGCACTAAATTTTAGCTTCATGACTTTTAGCATTGATTTTTCTGTTTAGTTTGATTAAATTTGAATTATTAAACGATTTTTGATTATTAATTAATGAACAGATGTGAGACCCCGTAAATTTCTCTTTTTTTAGCCATCTGTCGCAAAGCGCAATTAGTCATGCCGCAAAAACACCCTCAGACTTTACGCTCGAATGCAATCAACCCCAAAATTTTTAATGTTTTTTTTTTTAATTTTTGCCCTGTCCTTTGAGGTTATGCCATAATTAATGGGACACACTGTGAAATTGTGCGAAATTGTAGAAACCACCCTAAAGTTTGGGAATTTAAGAGATGATTATTTAATTCAATATTGGTCACGCTGCTTTCCGTGGCCATTAGCTTAGAATGTTCTGGCATTTGCTGTTTGGCCATTTTGCAAATTTCATTGCATCGGAAAGGCAGCGGGTGCGCTGTTATCAGCCGGCCTCGTTTCACCACCACCGCGACTCCTATACACACGGAGAAATATCATCCATTAGGGAAATTGAAACGAGGTTCTTCCATTCCCACGACAGTGCGCGAACACATGTAGTTTGCCGGCTTGCGATGTGAGCGTGTATAAGTATATATCTACAGGCTGATGCCGCCATTTTGCACGTAGGTAAAATGGCCGCCGTCAGCGGATTTTTTCAGCCGCCGAAAACAAGATGTATGCCACATAAAATGGTACTTATTGCTAGTATATCATGACTATCGGAGCGCATGAAACGCGAAATGCGAAAATACTGCTCTCGATGCGGCGGCAGCAGTGGTGTGGTAGTGGTGGTGGTGGCGGCGGCGACAGTGGCTGCCGACGTAAAATAAAACAGCGCGACCGACCGACATAAAGCCACTGCCGCTGCGCCCGCTGCCGGCATAAAGCAAACGCGCGCCCGCAACCGCAAAATGCAAACATAAACGAAATCAACTTTCCCAGCGAAAAGTTCATGAAATTTCGTGCGTGGATTATGAATCATAAAATAAAATTACGAAAACAGTTTGTATCCGCTACGAAAACAAAACACTAAACGGCCAACAGTTAGTATAATATAAAAAGACGATATAAATATTAAAACGCAAACGAAACTATTTAACCCATACTCGCACAACAAACACATATATTGTGGAAAACGTTGAGGGGGTTGCATATATTCAGGCGAAGTAAAGGAGAGCCTGGTAATAACCAGTTGACAAAGCCACCGCGAAAAAGTTTGCGCAATATGAGTTTGCTCGCACAGCGATGCACAATGCGCGGCTTATGGAGTCGCGCTTTTCGTAATTAACACGTGAGTTAACGAGCCGTCGTTACCAACCATCCCGGTTACGCCATCATGCGCAACGCGAACGCAAACAACAACTAATCTACTTTGATGCGGACCGCAACATTTTCATACGGAATCTTTCATTTTCCTTTATGCGATGTCACACAATACTGTGACATACAGAATTGATGTTTAAGTGCAGCCAGCTATACAATTCTCATTTGAATGACGTAAAAAGTTACGCAATTTTTCTTATTTATTGTTTCTTTTGATTGAAGTTTAAAGTTTCTCAGAAATTAGTTTGATGAGTACTGAAACGATGAAGGTCTTCTGGTTGGTGGTTTTCGGGTAAAATTGTGAAATTCCGAAAGTTAATTTTGAATTTAGATATGCATCGTTACCGCCACTGCCGCCGCCACCGCCGCCACCGCCGCCGCTAAGCAATATGGAGTAACGACGTCGGAGATTTGCGCCACTTGCACTTGTGGTGGTTATCGCATCTTGCGGCGGGCATGCCGAAAGCAAACACAAACATCACCCGCCCCCCAGAACCTCAGACCCCGAGCTAAACCAAACACTAACATTACCAACATGCCGGAATGTTGATGTGGGCGCCGCCAAACTTTCCCCAGACACATGCATCGATAGTTGACGACATAAAACTACTTTCTTGTATACTAAACAATTAAAAGTATATCCAGTGAAAAGACATTGTTGCCATTAGTGATACTATATTGTAATATAATATCTTTATCCAAAGTGGGTTGTTGCTCCTTGATGATAACTACTGCGAACATACATGTTACCATTATCATTGCTCGCCGAATATGAATTACACGAATTAATGTAAACGCCACGAACACTGATCCACTCGCGAAAAGGGTAGCAACCCCCTCTTCTGCATACCAATATATAAGATCTACCTCGTACCAGCCAGTTTCTGGTGGTTGATGGTGTTTGAGTGTGCGAAATGTAAATGAGTTAGAAACGTTCATTATCTAAATTGTCTGCCTCGCGTAATGCGATATGCTCTCGACTCGTATTCCAGCGAGACCTCACCCGCCCATCGCGCACAACCACCCTTCGATGTTATACGGTTGCAGTCATCATCCGATGGCAGGACGCTTCGCTTGATGATCGCGTCGAGCGCTGATGACGCGTCGCGTTCAATGATGATGACACTAGTTTGAGTTTGCATGCACTCAATGGAATGGGGGCGGTGGAATTCCCAGATTCCCAGGCAAGTTTAAACGACTGGTCCCGCGTGGAGGGCACTCCCTTATACAGCATTATAGGGGTGGATCATAAAAATTGGATTAGGATTGTTACAATTATCTCTCGTGACAATGTGAATTAATGCGATCGTCTTTTGATTATTATTTTTTTTAGTTTTTGTATTTTGTAAACTTGGAGAGATGTGAAATATCTTTCTTATTGCCGTATGTTACATGCAACATGACGTGGCGTACGTGCTTGGTGCACAATAACAACGTAAACGTAAAGTACGATATTCGTACATAAACATTGCGCTGGCAGACGTCGACTCGGCGAAGGGTTTGGCAGACATCGCGTAACGCCCGGCCGGGATAATGCGCTTCGGCAGATTGCAATTTCCGGTCGATAGATTGCATTTTCAGGAGCGGAGCGCGCCATTGTTGTGCGCCCAGCCCGATGTAAAATATTAAGCATTTTCTAGCAGCGGAGTTGAAGTTGCGCCCTCGCTCGCGTATCACCTATCAGCTATCAGAGGGCACTGCATAGGTGTGCACTTGAGTCTATCGAAAATGTCGCCGTAATTTATTATTGGATTCGATTATAATGGAGCTGCTCGGTTGCTTTTAAGGGTCGACATCAACAATGACACTGGATACACTTTTAACCATGTTTTTATTTTGTGTTGTTTTTGCTTGTCTGGCAAAACATGTGATGTTTTCGATAAAATGAAGTTATTTTCCTATGTGTACACAATTTGTTATTGTGATGAAATCTAACGCTTGACTTTTTGTTTACAGAAACCTCGTTTATAACCTAAGTCTTTCCAATTTGGTCGAGCAGCAGCGGCTCACGTGGTTTTCCAATGAGAATGACGTCAAGATGTGTGTCATGAAAGGCAAAGATGATGTAAGTACATGGTTCATTATTTCTGCTATTTGTTATATTCGGTTGTTGGTGCGGTATGTTCTAATAGTCTTCCTCTTTCAAGACGCGAACTGATGTTTAACTATCTTGTTTGTTCCGCTCTATAGACACTATAGACTATAAACGAAGCGAAGTACACGCGGTTACAACTTATTCCAATTACAGCCACTTCACGTGCTCTATACCTTCGCACACACATATCCGCACCCGGAAATTCTCCGGTTTTGTCGGTGAGCATTACGTCGGGCTCTTTCGCCGTTCAAAGTTCGATGTGGAAAGTACGCGAAACTTGAAAAGTCTGCGCACAAATCTCTGCACTCGCACACGCGGGTGTTGGTGAGCTGCTCATAGGTGGTAACGTAATGGGAAATATGAGGATTAGCGACCGAACCGCGGAACCGAGTAAAACTTGAAACTTTCCGCGAGCAGCGCTGCAGAGACGAAGGCGAAAACTTAATTTTCATTAATTATCGTAATTTTGTTTCGCGCTGCCACCGTCTCTCAAGTCGAGTGAGCAAGTGGGATTTCCATCAACTTCTTAATGGTTTTCACGGCAGTGCATGGAAAGTAGACTATAATATTGTTGCAAAATAAAACAAAATGCTTTAATAATAAATTAAAGCGGCCATTACGCTTCATTGCCTTTTCAACTAGGTTTTTATTGTTGATTTTTTTGTAATTTAATTTGAACACTTTGTGTTTTTATGTTATGCGAGGCGTTTAATTGAAGTGAACAGCGGGCAAAGTGCATAATGCGCCACAATATCGCAATGGCAATCGCAAATTCGATACGCCCGGTTCGCATGCGAGGGCCGTTTTGTTTGCTCGCCATGTTTCAACACCGCCGGTTTCACTTCGGTTCCGCGCTGGGACACATGTTTGCTAGGAGGAGTTCATGTGTTCATTAGAGCACACACGCCTGCCAGCGCAACATGGCGGTCGCATATGTTTATCTCGTTGTTTATGCGCTCGCCACTGGGAGGGCGCTGGTGTGGCGTGACAATGCGCTATTAAACTTGGCCCGCGCGCGCAATTCGTATAATAAACCTTCTTAATTACGCGCCCGGAATGCCGCTGCGGCGGTATTTGATATGATAGGATGGAGTTTTCGCAAACAACGACGCGAATCGCCATGGGAGCGGTCGTAGAAATAACAATGCGCACACAATCGGTTGCTAACTGCGAGGTTGCTACTTGTGTTGTTTACTGAGCGCATTGGAAAGTCGTCCTGTTGACTACTAGTGTGTAGCGTTAAAACAAGGTTAGGTTAACGGCTACCACGCCCACATGACTTACATTGATACTTTACAATGCGCATGCGCAAATATTTTCTTATAGTTTTCTCTTGATTTGAAAAATTAAAAAAATAAACATGTATTGTTTCATTCTATTGTCATAAATTTGTACGAATCAAAACGTGGTAGTAAAACTGGATGCACGAAATATATTCACAAGTTTTGCTCGTTTTGGCGTGTATTTTTCTGTCGTCGTGGCGATATTTTCGTGCATCGGAACGTTATGTTCTCATTTACATTTACAATTTCGTGCAGCAATCGTTCGGGGGTACGCTGCGAATCTATTTCTCGTGTGTTTCGCCATCATATTGTGTCGCATTGTGCTTTATTGTGCTCAATAACCCCGCTCGCGCGCTACATCTCGCCACCCGCGCACAAAAGCAAACGAATCGTCGTCGTTGTCGTCGTCGAATAGAAGATGCATCATTCATTCCTTTATACCCTCGCTCGCATTCGATCGCGAGGCACATAAATATTTGTCGTATTTTTATGCGCAACATGCGACAAACTCACGGCTGCAAAAAATAAGACATCCGATAACACATTCGCAGGAGCAGAAAAATACGACGCTAACTTTTTCCCCTTTTTGTTTTAATTTGTGATAAAAACCGTAAAAAGCGTAGGGATGAGTTGGAGAAGCCGGAAATATTGATTGTTTGCGTACAACTGGTACGAGTGTAAAGGTATAATCATGTGAGGCACACGGATTAAGCTAACCGGAAAATTGCTTGATTAGATCGCCGTCGCGCGAGTGCTGGTGGCGGATGCGCGCGGGAGCACGCGCGACGCGACGATTGTCTGCCAAGTTCTAACTTGGCTTGTTGCCATGTTTGGCAGCCCGCAAATTGCCGAATCGATTTTACCATCTCGTGCAACTGCACCACGCGCGCGAACATTCATGTTACATCTTCACCACCTCCTCGGCAGCAACGTAATTTATATCTAGGCGAAGCAAAAAAAAGTTGGTTTGCCACGCTCTGCCGCGACGAGCAATCATTGTGTCGCGATAGTGTTGCTTGGATAGCGCCATCTACTCAGTTATAAATGAAGATTGATCACTTTTCTATATTCGCTTATTCGCTTATCGTCGCGTGATAAATCAGTTATGTAGAAAATCGCGCGGAATTGCCGGGAAGTCTGATGTTGAATTAGATACTTATTTCTAGGCTTCTGAGGGGGGAGGTGGGAAAATCTCAACAACGCGTATTATATGCTTATCGCAGGCGGCCGGAAGGGTGTCGAACGTTAAAGCGTTCGTTATCGTCGCGCATTCGGCATTTTCCGATGCGAAAAGTCCCACTAGCGAGCGTATTCCAGGGCTGAGTTTCCATGGAAGCGAAACATAGGGGGTTGTGCTGGGCGGCGGGCGCAGGTGAGGAGGTTATGTGACGCTAACGCTGAAAATAGAGTGCTAGTCGTGAAACGGTTATCAAGGTGCGCTTGTAACGCCTACGGACGATAAAGGTGAGGTGTGAAGGTGTCTAGGACGCTAGCGAGGAGAAAAGGGTGGTGCGGAGGCGGTGGGCCGGTATCGTTAGCGATTATCAACGGAAAATCATCCGAGTCGTTAGACGTAGCACTCGTTAGCGCACCTTTTAACGTTTTCTTCCTCTGCTTCGTTTCCGTCCGCCTTCAGGCATTTCCAACACTTGAACATAACTATACTGGTGGAGAACTATTCTGTGCCGCTCGCTAATAGATGGCGTTGGTGTAAAGCGTTATTTCTTTACATAATGTATTTTTATTGTCGCTATCGTTTCGGCCCTTATCCTTTTCAATTTGGAAATGTACGAAAAAACGTTTTAACTCTGGAAATTTAGTGCTCCCTATCGACGTTCTGAGGAATGAATATTGGGGAGAGCTACTACCTACGTTGACACTATCGCAAAGTGCGTCTGAGCGACATCACGACAGTTGAGTCTTCAGAGCCGAAGGCTAAAATCCACTTTTTCAAAACAACTTTCTCGTCAACTGAAGTGATCAATACGCTAACTCCCAAGACGAATCTGAAAGCTTTCCATTATTTCGTTTTTCTTTCGGTGTTTCCTATATTGTAAAAATTGAGTGCATAAAGATAATCGAATTTTAAATTAAACTACACGAACAAAAGTCAGTTAGAGGGAAAGCAAGCCCGAGGAACGAATTAGCCAGCGAGTTGTTTCCGATCTGGAAACTTTTACATTATAAAAGCTTGCGAGAGTCTGCACGAATGAGCAAAAAACAAAAGTTTATTGTCGTTTGACTTCGGTTGGCTTCTCGACTTTCTGCGCGCAAAGTTAATTGTATAAATATTCAGCGGAGATGACGAAGTTCCAGCGACCGCCTAGAACTAACCACCAAGTTATCATAATGTCGCAAAAACAGATACCGAACTTGTGGGTAAGCGACTTAACCTCCAACACTCCAGCCAACCTAACCTCAAGCGGCAAAAACAGCTTGTTATAAAGAAGATTTTAGAGGTTTTTGTGGTACAAACTTACCAAATACCGCAAATGATGTTTGAAGCTTCTTTCAATTCAACTAGTTGGCATTTATCTAACGACGACTTCTTGCTCATGATTGAGGCTTTTCAATTTTAGTTACTTACTAAGACTAAAATTTTTGTTTTTATTTTCAACGCGCATGCGCACAGTATGTTCCTTGTTATTTCCTTTTCACCTTAATTTTTTTCTATTAAACATTTGTAACAATAAAACTAGTCCAATAATACTGGTCACAGTAATCTTAATAACGTCGTAAGTATCTATGATACACAATCGTGCGCTTTGAACCTTTGTGCACATTTCAATTGCAGGAGGCGGCTTGCAATTGCATCTTACCTTCCGGATGAAAGCCATTTTGTGCAGTCCGTGCATTCGCTTGCCATTCACTACGCTTATCGGTTCAATCTGGGGCGCTTGCGGACGACAGCAGCAATAACAAGATTCTTTTTGAGGTTATCTTAGTCTTTGTATACAAATTGCATCTGTAATGGAGTACCTGGTATCCATCAGATTACTTTAGAAATTGATTTTCTCAATATCAACCGAAAGTAGTCATCTTTAGAAATCTTCATATTTTTTTCCATATAAATCCAATGAGTATTTTCCGCCTCTGAGATTTTTTACGAAACCTTTCAGCATGGCTAATCTTTTTCCTCGACTTCTTACTAATTACTTTCCTATGTAGCAATTTTTTGCTGTTTGCTTTGCTTTGTATTTCTGCTTTTTGTTTTCATTTTTGTTTGGGTTTGTAAGCCTTCGCCACAATTAACCAGAGATAAATAATCCCCGTCCACACAACAGCATTGTGCGGCAAAAAAGTCGAAGACCGTAAGATTGGAAACGTATTGGAAGCCATTAGCGACTTTTCCATTCCAGGTCCTGTCTCTCCCCACAGCCGTTGGTTGCTAGAGCTTGTCGCGCGGCCCCACTATAAATTACCCACGGGCGCACTTTATTATTAACCGATAAAGATAGTCGCCGTCTTCGGGCGCCTCGCCTCGACCTCGCGACACAATGCACGCGAACACGACGCCATCTTGGATCCGCGCGATTGCAATTTGACGATACGATCGTGAATTTATTTCTTTTCGGTTCGGTTCGTTATTCTTGGTCGCTTTTCTTCTCATCCCCTCGGCAGTCGTGCACGTCGTCGTCGGGCGTCGTTTTGTTCGTTTTGCTTTTGTTTTTTCGCCATTGCTGCGTCTGGTCGGTTTCAATCGGCGCGCGGGCTCGAAATTAGGATCGATTATATCGGGATGAAAGCAATTCGCGCGCAACAATGAAAAACGCGCAAAACAATCGAGCGCCAAGCGGAAGCTAAACCGAAACGGAGCGTAATTATGTGCTAAATTTGATTCGCTTTTTATTCCATTCGGGGTTTCGGCGCCATTAAATCGCGCGATGGCGACGTCGATCGTCCTGTCGATTCGATTTTGTTTTAATTAAATGGAAAACGCGGCCAAATTAAGCGAAACGAAACGTTTCTTTGTTTGCGCGTCATTCTACATCATTAAATGCATTTCCGCATATAAAAAGCACCAAAAAACTATCGCATGCCAGCCATTTTCAACGATACAACTCCATTCGAATGGACTCAAATGTCTATTTTTATTCTATTTTAATGCGCAATACCATTAAGTCAGTGTGCGTGCTGTATGTGAACGTCAGCCATTTCGCAGATGTGCGAAATTTCCATCGGCGTGTGTGTCGGTGTGTCACTTTGAGCGTGTCTGACAAATTCGGAAATTCATGCGAACATGTGTACGTGCTCGCGCGCGCTTAGGCGTGCTTTATATGCGCGTAGGCTAAATGTACATAAGAATTCGCATGCGAAGTTCAACGACAGCGGCGGCGTCTGCCTCGTTGGCGGCGGCGGCGGCAAAGGCAACTTTGATAATATTTATATACGTATAAAAGCGGCTTTAAAGCGATACCATGCGCCCGGCGCGTATGCAAAGAAGTTGTTTGCTTCCGCACACACTGTGATGTGCTTCCACTCTCGCAGTGCCGTCGCCGCCGCAGCCGCCACACAAAACCTACATTCCTTATTGATCCGCTCGCGAAATGCCCGCAGGAAAGATAGAAAAACGTTGCGAGCATGTGGGGAAGGGTGTGCTGTTCTACTTTACGCCATCACGTTGGTGTGATTTTCAAAAAATCTGGAAAAAACTTTGTTTGACGTGTGACATAGTTTATAATTAGTTTTAACATGCATAAAAGGTATGGTATTGACCTAGGTTGTATTTGGGAAGATGTATAATAAGTTTTGTGTTTTTATTTTTTTAAAAGATTTTCTAACTGATTGGTAATTAAATTGCGAATGGAAAAAGCTATCTTAAATCGAGATGTTTTTAACGATAGAAGTTAAAGTTGAGATACGTTCTTCAACCGATGTATCCTATATGACCTGAAACTTTTTCCGCTTTGCTGCTCTCGTTTTTGAAACCTGCTACTCGTCTAAATCGTGCGTTCCCGCCGTGGGGATTTCCAACATGGGAGTCGTGCTTCCTTTTGTCCGTTTTTAATCAAGCGCGCCGTCGTTTTCGCAAACGCCGTGCAGCGTTTTCTTCGCTCGTTGCTTTTCTCCTCAGCGACCAAAGACATTTCATGGGCGAGCTCAAATCCACACGCTTTTTCCGACTACTAGACTAGTATGGTCTGCCGAGTTTTCTTGCAACATTTGAGCCGTTGAGCTGAGCCGTCCTGAGCGCCCCCGTAACCAGGGGGCAATCTTCCGCTGCTCCTCTCTTGCAATGATCGCCGCCGCCGACGCCTCGTCTTCACCATTTTCAAGCGTTTCGTGAATTCGCGCATCGAGTGGCGACGTAATTCGGTTTAGACTCGGACGCGCCACTTCGTCCTTAGTGGAAACATTTCTTTGTGTTTGCTCGTTTACATTTTTTTGCTAGCGTGAAAAGTTTTTGATATTTTTTGGCCGGCACAAAGGATCCAATGTTATTTCTTAGAACTTGCATTGCTAATTTTGGCCCTTGCTTTTGTGTGTTTTCAGGAGAACTGTCAGAATTACATCCGCATCATGGCGCGGACCAACCAGGGCAATCTGCTGCTCTGCGGTACCAACTCATTCAAGCCGGTGTGTCGTGAGTACGGCATCCTGCCCGGCAACTATACCATGGAGAAGGAGAAGCCCGGACAGGCGGTTTGTCCGTACGATCCGCATCATAATTCCACCGCGATTTATGTCGGTGAGTACAACCACCTCAACACCCAAGTATGAAATTTCCAACTCAGCCCACTCAACTCCAACCCAACTCAAAAGAAAGAATAGTGGAATATAGCTGGAAGAAGCAGGAAAATATAAAAAGGAAATGTTTCTTGATTTTCTAGTCGTAGAAGCGCACGGTTATGTCCGCGTGCAGGCAACCATAAATACATAATTTACTTCCATTACGTTTAACAACGTTTCACAACGTTTCGTTTTGATGAATGGACGGACATTATGATCGCACATAAAGCGCTCGCGGTATCCCCATCATTTCGTGCATGTGTAGCCGTCAGGTCGTAAAAGGACTTTGCGGACGTCATCTCGGAGATGGCGCGGACGGCGATCGGCAGTTACGGACATGATGCATGCGCACATTTTCTGTCGCAGGTCAAATATGTATCAATTACGCGCCATGATATACTTCGCATAACCTTAAAAGCTAACCTCACTCTCGACAATTCCCGGCTATAAATACCACCGCGAACGATCCGCAAAGGTCAACGGAACGTGAAATGTCGGATCACAAATGAAATTAATTAAAATCGCACAGTGCTGACAAAACAACAGAAAAAGCAATCGTGTTGGAATTGAAATAAATGCAAAACGTTGCCGAACGGATTGAATCTGTAGGAAAATGTTAAAACGCAAAGATGCGACCGAGCGATCAACTCGGTTAGCGGACCCGTCTCTCGTTCATTAAAATTGAAATGCAAAACGATTCGATCCGTAGTCCGGAAGACCGCACTCACACAAGCACACAGTCAAACGATGACAAGAATAGGAATATTAAGTGTCAAATGCGTTCTCCAACCAGCCATACCATTACCAACCCCTTTATTTCCGAGTTGCTGGTCATAATCGTAGACGACGCGATTTTTTTCCTACATTTTTTACATGAAATGCGGAATTATTTCAATATTCATTTTCATGCATTTCTTAACTACTTGTTTTCTTTGTGGACTGAATGCGACGGAATCGAATATTAAATTTTAGATTTTTATTCTTTGGAAGTCGACTTTATGCGATCGTAGACTATCGATGGATATAGATATGGCAACGCTGCACTTGAACATGCATAAAACCTCTTCATTATTCGCGCTCGTTATATTCCTCTGTTTTCCAGAGCAGAGGGAACTAACTGCAACTGGAGACAAACTGCGGCACATTCGCTTTGATGTGCGCTCGTCTGTCTCGTTTGACAATCGCGATGCGAGAACACAACCTCACGCTTAACCTAATGACATGTGCAGCGTTGCCAATGATGGCGCCTGCCATGGCGTCCATTTGTTTCCTAACAAGCATCAACGAAACACACTGAAACAAAGGACTAACAATGCATTTGTTTTGAAACACAACAAAAAATAGATGATAGAGAACATGAGGACATCAGTTTAGTCTAAAGGTCTGAAGTACTCGAGATCGTTGCAAAAGGAAATAAACACGATTGCATTGCTTCTTCTTTTGCTGGTGCTGGACGTTAAACTCGTGTGCTCGTATGCTCGAATGCGCAATTTGCTTTCTTTTTATCGCCTTCGTCGCCGTGTTCCGATCTCCTTTGTTTCCGAAAACCTTCAAAGTCCCTCGGATCCCCAGCTCTCAGCAATAATCTCGTGATCTCGAGCACTCACACTTTCATCCCGACGTGTTTCAGACGGTGACCTCTACACGGGCACCGTGGCCGACTTCAGCGGAATGGATCCGATCATCTACAGGGAGCCACTGCAGACCGAGCAATACGATTCGATGAGTCTCAATGGTAACGCTCTAATCGCCTCAGCATTCAACCCCGCACCCTCGCCGGTACTCATTCTTTGTTTGTTGCAGCGCCCGACTTTGTGAATTCGATGACGCAAGGTGATTTCGTCTACTTCTTCTTCCGGGAGACGGCGGTGGAATACATTAATTGCGGCAAGGTATGTCGAAAGACACATAAAATCTCCTTATTTTGCCGGTTTCAAGTTTTGATTTGTTTCCGTAATCTCCCATGAGTATGGACATTTTTCAATTTTGTTTTCTGTTGTTTTCCGTGTCTGACTGGTTCTTGAAACATTTGTGTCTCCCTCAGGCTGTGTATTCGCGAGTAGCTCGCGTGTGCAAATACGATCGTGGCGGGCCACACCGCTTCCGCAATCGGTGGACGTCGTTCCTCAAGTCCCGTCTGAATTGCTCCGTCACCGGAGACTTTCCGTTCTATTTCAACGAGATCCGTAAGTTCAGTTCGCATGAATCTTAATACACTCCCAGACTTGTGTTATGCTGACACCGTCTGTTTCTGCACGACAGAATCCACAACGGAATTGATCGAGGGCCAATATGGCGACATCACTGCCCAGCTGGTGTATGGCACGTTCACCACACCACCCAACAGCATATCCGGAAGTGCCGTGTGCGCCTTCGCTTTGCAAGACATTGCCGATACATTTGAGGGCAACTTCAAGGAACAACCGACGCTCAACTCCAACTGGCTTCCGGTTCAGAGCTCCAAGGTGCCTGACCCTCGACCTGGACAATGTCACAATGATTCCAGAACTTTACCTGACTTGACGCTTAATTTTATCAAGACTCATTCGTTGATGGACGAAAGTGTACCCAACTTCTTTGGGCAGCCGATTGTCATTCGAACCAGCTTCCAGTAAGTCTTATCTTAACTTATGTTTCAATACTTTCAATACTAAATTAACAATTTTTTAACAGTTATAGATTTACTCAAATCGCTGTAGATCCTCAAGTCAAAGTCCCTGGAGGAAAGACTTATGACGTGTTGTTCATTGGTACTGATAACGGCAAATTAATCAAAGCAGTTAATGGGCTTTCAGCTGAATCTCGTAATGGCGTCAAGCCGGTCGTTATCGAAGAAATTCAGATCTTCCCGTCACATGTCCCCGTGCGAGGAATTAAAGTAATTCGTAATGAAAAGCAAGCCGAAGGTCGCTTGGTAGTGATCGCTGACGGAGAGGTTCAATCATTACGCTTACACCGATGTGACAGTTCGAAGATTTCGAGCTGTAGCGAATGTGTTGCGTTACAAGATCCATACTGCGCGTGGGACAAGCTTCAGGGCAAATGCCGCTCTCATGGTGCAAATCGATGGGGCGAGGAGAGTTTCTTCTTCCAGAGTGTTTCAACTGGTCAGCACTCTGCCTGTCCTCCGATGAAGTCTAACAAAGATGCTGGTTCTCCTGGCGGCTTGTCCACGCAACCGAAATTCAACCAGGATCATCAAGGTGGAAAGGAACTGCCGGATGGTCAGATTATCAACATTGTACAAGACAAAGTTTTTGAGAATAATGGTACGAAATTGTTTATAATTGAGGTTATGTAAATGTTTTGTGGATTTTGACGGTAAATTATTTTAGATCCTGGTGTGAGGGCAACCGAGAGCATGCCACCTCAGTACTCGGTGGAGACTCTGGTGATAGCCGTTGTTGCTGGCGCGGTGTCAGCCCTTTGCGTTGGATTTATCGCCGGATACTTGTGCGGAAGGAAATGTCACAAGGACGAGGACGATAACATGCCCTATCCGGACACCGAGTACGAGTACTTCGAGCAGCGTCAGAACATGAATAGGTAACTATCTATTCCGAGGTTGAGAAGGTTTCGCGACACATTATGCGACCTCCGTCAAGCCTCGTTTGTACTGAGGATGTTCTAACGTTATTTGTCCACTGTGGGTATAGGATCCAAGCTGAACCAAAACTACTTCCCCAAGAGGAGGTCACCTACGCCGAACCGGTGCTAGTGCCCCAACCACCGCCTAAACTGCACTCGCCGAAGAGCACTCTACGCAAACTGCCCCATCAGAATAACGCCGAAACACTCTTCCAGTTCCAAACGGACGGCGGCTACAACGGGCGCGACTACCGCAGCCGTGACAATTTTGGCACGCTGCGCTCCCATCAGGTAAGCCACAGCGCGACCGCGCACAGGCGAGCAGGCGACATTCGAATGTTGAATAAGAACGATTTCTTCGTGTAGGGCGACAACAACTACAGGCGCGGCGACGGCTTCGCGACAACACGCAGCGTGAAGAAGGTGTACTTGTGAGAAAACAGCGAGGAGGCGGGTGGCGGCGCCGCCAACGCGGCCGGTATGCGCAGCTTACAGCGCCAGCACCGGCCCCATCGGACGGCACCTCCGCCGAGAGACGGCAACGGCAACTCGGGCCATTCAGCGCTGCCAACCACCAGCAGCGGCTCGTCCAGCTCCCCGTCGCCGCCCTCCTCCTCGCCATCGCCCACACCCCCACGCACCGCCTCTTACATCTACCGGGCGTAGCCGACGAGATCAACCACCGGCCCCGAAACAGACATCATTGAGTAAGCCCACGAACGTGACCGAACAAAATGAACAAATCAAAATGTCCATAATCCTAACTCTCACTCTAACCTCCACACGTTGCGTCATTCTTAGCGTCATGGTCGCTGCTCAGTGCACATAACCAAACTTGAGCAAATAGAATGACGATTCAGCAAATGTGTCAATTACACTCTACATGTTGAAACGCAGTTTTAAGATTGATACACTTGCGCCTTGATAAAACGTCAAATTGAACATTAAATGGTAAAACCAGTAGCGCCGCATTGGTACCAGTTACGGTGACAGAACGAAATTCAACTTTTTATAGCGATTAGCGACTAGTGAGCAGTTTGTGTTAGGCGAACACAAAAACATCAAACTAGAGAGAGAGAGAGTCAGAAGGGAGTTTAAATTGTATTAGATGATGATAAAAACGGACTATACATAAAAAACATATATCTTTTTAAGTAATTTGAAGATTAATAAGTGCTTCTTATGGATGTGTTAGATAAGTACCCTTTTACTCAAAAACACCCCACGCCCACACGGAAGCTCCACATTCTTTGCTGAAAAGGAAAACATCCAGCAACTAGAAGTCGGAGACTTTTTCGTACATTTTAAATAACATATAGATATTGTTATCAGTTTTTAGCGATGACGCTAAGATGTGAGCGAGCGTTTGTGATTAGACATGTACTATAATTATGCCGTAGCCGTATTTACATAATAATATACGCGTAGTTGACACATTAACAGACAACTGTTGAGGTGTCCGGCCCGGATGTGACAGAAATCTTGCAGCAAGGTGTGAGAATTTGGATGTAAAGTTTTGTAAATCTCGATTTTTTTTTTCAAGTTTAGGCGGTTTTAGATGGTTTTGTCACTGCAGGGTTGGACAAATGAACAATTTACATACTTACATACACGCCAGCACGTTTGATGCACACTTATTTCAAAGATATCTCACGAAAACGTATACTCACTTAAAATTTGATGTGCCACTGAACTGTTACAAGACGAACGGGCCAAAAGACGAATTGCTGAATTCGAGCGAAACCTACAAATTGTGCAGGAGTTGTCAGTAATTGTGTATCAAATGTCCAAGAGTTGTCGATTCGAAACGAACGAAACACATGAAAGATGCATAGCTGTATGGAATAACGGATATAAACCAAAAAAATACTTTAAATACTTGTATGCAATACCTTAATAAGCGATCGTTCATTATTATTTTTATACATCTCGATGTTCTTAGCATCTTAGGGTGATACCAAACAAAACACACACGTCTTCATTTATTTTCAATATTCGTTCATTTTCATATTTATTCCAATTTATTTTCTCATTATCTTTTGAAACCATGATTCGAGTAAATATAGTATTTGTACATATTATATGATAAGACTGAGAAAGAAATTTACGAGATGAGCGAATGTGCGTAGCGCAGCGTTTGAAAGCCGATGAACGTAGGCATCCTTGTCCAATTTTTAGTCAGCCATCTTGTTGTGAGACAAGCTCGTAATTTCCGAGCCCATACTTCCTTTCACATAGCTGATAAACCAAATTTGCAAACATTCTATTCACTTATTTCTATTCAACAGAGAGGAAAACAGAATATTTTTGTTGTTTATTGAATAGGTTTTTATATAACATTTGTTTTTCTAAGTTATTTTAAGCGTTCACACGCGAAGGGGACGATCTCAGTTGCATTTCAACAAGCTCAAAGCTCAAATTTGAATTATTTAAACATTAAAACACACAAATTACCTACGAGTTTCAGTTCGAAACAAAGATTCATTGTTAGGATTTTATTTTGAACCAAGTCTCTTTGTACATCTCTATCTTAAAGCTAACCATCTATTCCAATACTAATTAATTACTGAAAAAACACACAAAAATGAATAAAAATAATTGTATGTAGGACGGAATATATTTCTAAAGACATTTGACGATGATGAGAAGATGAAAGGTGACGAGAACAAAACTTGTATAAAGATTGTAGATATAATTTTATTACAATACTATTACTAACATTATGAATTAATTACTTACGAAGAAATACTATGCAAGTAAAAACTAACTAATTACTACCACCTAGTCATTGCTAATTACATAAATATCGTCGCATCTTTTCATTACAAGAATACATGCATAGATTACAACATTACGAAAGTAAACTACGTACATAGCACACACGATTTTTGTTTTTCCTCTGTTCCGACTTTTGTTCGAGGACAAAGAACAAATTGTAAAGCGATGCGGAAATAGACGACGCGAACGTGCAAACATAGAAAAGCAAGCACCTAAATGTACATAAGAAACATTTTTATACAGAAAACAAAAACAAAAGAAATTGATTCGCGTTGTATATTTACGTCCGCCCTTTTTGCATTGTTTGCGCTGTTAGCGTAGGCAACGATTCTATGAAAACACGGAAGACAGAAACAGACTTACACTCACACGAAATGTTGAAAATTTTATATTATATAAGAATACAAATGCAAAATAGTTTATTGATAACGAGTAAAATACGAGTACGAAAATTGCTTCTTCCTATAAAGTATATAAAGTAAAAAAATAATTAAAACAAAGTATGGAGAATTAAATGGTCGTTACGATTTTCACCTGTTTCACGCGTCGTAACGCGCGTGAGAGTAAAATGATACCACGAGAGACAAAAATCCTGTAAAGCTGTGTAATAGCGTTTTTTGTATATGTAATTAAGGCTGCCGCCAGTTTTTTATATTATATGAAAATATTATATTTAATGAACGATTATATTATATATATATAAATATATATATGAATATATGAAAATATGATAGATGATTACGATCGCAAGCAGTCGAGCGGGGCGAAGAATTGAAGAAATTGAAATACATGAGAGTAATCTAGTTGTAGTTATTGTAAGTTATTATTATTATGATTATTATCGATTGATCATGATTGATCATTGAACCATTTGAGACGTTTAAGAAAGTATTTCAGAACTTTTAGCATTTTAAGGAAGAAAATCCTTTTTTGAGATGAAACCAAATTCGACAAGAAAAAACGCCGGATAAAGTCAAAAACTGACTGATTCCAATTTGCCTAATCGAGCCTTTATATATATATATATAATGTTCTTGGCTCCTATGTGGAGCATAGAGCCTCACTAAGCGCCCTCCAACGGACTCTGTTTCGGGCAACCGCCTTTGCTTCGTTCCAGCCCATATTTTGGTTTCGGGCTCCTCTATTGTGGATCTTCGCCAGGTATTGGCCGGTCTACCAACCCTTCTCTTCCCTGTGGGTTCCATTCTAGCGCATTTCTGGCGATATCTCCGGCGTCTCTTCTCAAGATGTGCCCAATCCACCCCATTTTCTCTTGCGTATTTGATTTATAATGGGAGTTTCATCACATCGACGGTGCAACTCATCGTTGGAGATTGTCATTGGCCAGAATATGCGCAAGATCATTCTCAAGCACTTGTTTATGAAGGTTTGGAGTTTGTGTGTGCTTGAGCTCGTTGACCTCCATGTTTCGCATCCATATAAAAGGGTGGATTTTACATTTGTGCGGAATATGCGCAGTTTTGTTCTTAGTGTATAGACGCTTGACTTCCATACTGTGCTCAGCATTCTGAAGGATTGCTGGGCTTTCTTTATTCTGTTGTTTATATCTGCGTCGGTCCCCCCTTTTATGTCAATTATACTTCCTAGATATAGGAATTCCTTGACCTCTTCTATTTCCGTATTATCTATTTGGAGTTTTAAGGTGTTGTTTGTATTTATACGCATTTCTTTTGTTTTGGCAATATTTATTCTTAGGCCAATTTTACTTGCCTCCCTTGCTAATGTTGTTAGCTGTCGGCTCACGCCTTCGAACGTATGTGACATCAGGCAGATGTCGTCGGCGTAATCCAGGTCGCTGAGGTGCGAGGTTAGTGTCCAGCGCAACCCATCCCTGTTCTGGTCTACCTTTGCTAGTATGTAGTCTAAGGCGATGTTAAATAGTAATGGGGATATGACACATCCTTGTTTTACTCCTCTGTGTATCGTAAAACTTTCGCTTTTTCACCGTTGTGTAACACACTGCAGTTTGCATCAGTGTAGAGTTCTTGCAGGATGCTTATTATCTTTGTTGGTACACCTCGCGACTTAAGGATCCTCCATAAAGCGTCGTGGTTCAGGCTGTCGAATGCTTTCTCAAAGTCGATGAAGGCGATGAATAGTGGTGATCGCCATTCTACTGATTGCTCGATAATTATACGAAGGGTATTGATATGATCGATGCATGAGCGATTCGGCCGAAAACCTGCTTGGTTCGGGCGCAGGGTGTTTTCTATAGTTTCCGCTAATCTTGTTTGGACGATTTTCGCGATAATCTTATTAATTGTGTTTAATAGCGTTATGCCACGCCAGTTGTTACACTCGGTCAAGTTACCTTTTTTGGGAAGCTTGATGATTAGCCCTTCTTTCCACTTGGTCGGAATCTTGTTGTTGTTCCATGCTTCCTTAATACAGTGGTATAGTTCATTTGCCATCCATGTGGCGTTTACTTTTAGTAGTTCCGCTGGAACGTTATCAGCTCCTGCTGCTTTGTTGTTCTTAAGCGTCTTTATAGCTGCAGTTATCTCCGCGACTGAAGGCGGGTTCGAGTCAATGTTCAGTTGTCTACCTGGGTTATTCTCTGGCTCCCAGTTAATTGTTTCGTTTGCGCTGAGCATGTCGGAGAAATGTTCCCTCCATCTTTCGAGCTGCTTGTCTGACTCAACTAACAGGCGGCCGTTTTTTGACTTAATGAAGTGTGTGCGTGTAGAGTACTTATTGGCCAGTTTCTTTGTGAGGTTGTAAAGTTCTCTCGAGTTGTTGTTGAGCATTGCTTCTTCTGCTTGTCTGCAAATATCATCTATCCACCTGCGTTTGTCTCTTCTGGCTTCCCTTTTGACCTTTTGGCAAAGGCCTGTGTACTCTACCTGTGCCGCTGCCCTATATTCTTGCGAAAGATTTTGGAGTAGCAGGTGTTTTTCCTCTTTTTGTCTAATCGAGCCTTTAGCAGAACAAAATTATTCAACGGGACGAAAACCCAGTGGATGGCAAATAATTAATCTTAGGCGATAGGAATGCGAAAGTGATTACGTGTGAAAAATGCATGACAAGCAAGAACATATGGAAATGAACGTGAAATTTGTCAATAAAACTTTATTAGATTAGTTTTCGAAGAACAGAAACCAAGGATGATTAGAATACTGAATTTTGTAATTCTAAATAGTCTTAACGAATGTACTCAACACACACAAAAACATTGAGACGATGCAAAACTGCGAGATTAGAGCTTTTTGCAGTTGTGCTCCGAGTGAAACCAAAATGATATCCAATGTATGCAGATGTACAATTTGTCCAGATTTCCAAACCTCGACTGCATTTTTTTGTATTTACTACGATTTGTAATTAATTGCGACATTTAATCATTGATTATTGTAAAGAATTTGTAACTTTGGTTAAGAAATTTTTGTATTTGTAAAACTTCCTCTATCTTTGTATTGTGAAAGCACTATTTCTTCTCAATTGTTATCTGCTTCCATGAAGTTGATTTGAATATTATTCTTGTGTGAAGTAAGATGTGCTATGTCGACCTGTGTAGACGTCGATGAGGATAATGGTGAAATACTTGTTTTAATTGTACGGTTTTTAGGTGAACGGATGAACGACGCTCTCTTGTATTTTCTGGGCAAGCTGTATTTACCCAAAAAAACTTTATGATATGACTTTAGACGACAGAATGTATTCTTTGCATAGAAATAAATAAACGATATGATAATTACTGATTGCTATATCTTCAAAAACAAGTTACATAAGTCTACCTTAATCTGCTTATTACTCATCGGATTGGAAAGAAATGAAGTGAAATAATAAATAAATATTCAATGCATACTAGAATTGTTTTGTTTTGACACTACTACACTGTCAATACCGGTGTCTATAAAGAAACAAGTTTTTCTTATCTCATCTAACTTGTGTGCCTTCTCTACGTTGTCGGCACACGCGGCTGGCTTGCGTACTGTGTCAGTCTCATTCCGACCGTTAGGTAACCCGCACGCGCACACCTTCGCGATCCCTTTAGTTTATCAGTTTTTCTTTGCTTTATTACGTAATATTCCTAATTGCACTGTGCGACAGTGCAGAAGTGATGTGCGGTATGTGATAAACGCGAATTGAACATACGCAGAGTTACCTGTGCATGAGTGATAAACCGTCGGCCGCCGAATACTCTTCGATAATTTTTACCAGTGAAAACCAGTTAACAATTTCCACAATTCAACACTATACCAGCAATAGCCATTTTATTAAGCAACTTAAGGAATTTTATTTTGTATCAAGGTATGTTTTTGCATTTTTTAACTATAGAAGAAACTAATAATATTTTTGTTAAATCACATACGTTGCATCCGTTTGCATTTTTCAACTTGATCGGTTTACAAATTTTGCCTTTAATCACGTTTAATGAACATATATAACCATAGTTCTAGATTGTCGCATGCCTACGGTTGCGATCGCGGCCTTCGCTGCAGCCTCCTACATACTGTGGGTTTTTATTGTTTTCCGTGGAATGTTTGTATTTTTTCGGGTTTTCACGCGATCTGCACGGCATAGTAATTCTGCGTCGGGTTGTATTTATTTGTTGCAGGAATTCTTGATGCAACCCGCGAAAATTTGGATAAAACTGTGATTTTTCATTGTTTTTCCGAGGAATGTTTATTTATATATGTTTGTATAAATGAATCATTAATTTATTAACTACTAGTTTGTTTTGTGTATAATTTTCATTGTTTCCAATTTCATTGCATTATCAACCTTGTTGCATATTTGATAAATGTGTTTTGAAGTTGATAAATATTTTTAAAGGTTGGATGGCGCTACGATGTACGGTTTTGCATTAAATATTGCTTGTTGGTGGTAGTGAGTGCACACCGTGTCCGTGTGGATCACGCGATTTCGCGCAAGAGATAAGTTTGTTTACCTGCAGGTATCGAATCTTTATTTCGTAGAATCAAAACACACCGTTGCTGTTTATTATATTAGAATCGTAAATAAGCAAATATTCTTCAATTCTTTATGAATATAACGAACAATTTTATATTAATTCTAATAGTTTATTATAGAAATCATCAAGGATGCAAAACATTTTTATTGTCAGCTGATAATTACGGACTAATGTGTTACCTGGTAAACGAGAAACGATGCATGTTCAAATTAAATATCACTTAAATATTGAATGTAAAATCTGGCAATCTGTCAACATAAGAAATCAGAATTTTTATTACCTTTACTAATCTAAATTTTGAAATTACTATATCATTTATAGATGGCAATAGCATGGACTTAAAATTGTAAAATAAACTTGTATTGTTTATTTCTATATTTATCAGCAAGCGTGAACCTTCGACCAAGAATTGTTTGTTTGAACACAATATTCACTTTCTTATCGCATTGCCGTGTGTCGTCGTTGCCAGCACCCCATGCCGCATGTTGCTGCATCTGCGTGCCATCGATGCGCCGCCGGGTTTGCGCATCTATTGCAATTCGCGCACAAGGTCGCGTGCCATCGACGCGCCGGCCATGCGCACCTCTTGCTGTCTTATCATAAACTGTCTCGTCGTTGATTATGCAGTTTGCGGCCAATTTCGTGCCGGTCTCTGGTTGATCCAGACGTATTTTATATTCGATCATCAATCGACTAATTAATTTTAACTTGACATTACTAACTTTAGTACAGTTATTTATTATTTGCGCGTAAGTGTATCGCGTCCATGTTGACTTATTCATCATTTGGATTATCCATCGTGCTGGTGTAAGTAACTTAACTAAACAGCACAGATTGTTTGTTTTCCTCCGCTGTGTGAATATAATATTATTGATGTTTTCTTTCTTTATTTACAGTGTTTGCCGGGCCTTGGAGTCTGATGAGTTCGGCATTGGTAAGTTTATAATTTAATTATATATTTCTTTCTATTTTCCACGTCGATCATTACTTAGCATTTACGCGTTTCTTTTTGTCGCGGTCCACCGCCTTCTACTAAAGCGTTAGCATTAAATAATTTATTTTTTTTGTTATTGGGAATAACGTTGTCGCCCCTCAAAATCACGCGGGAAGAGCCTTAAAATCGCTCTCAAACTTTCACGATTTTCATGAATTTTCGAAACACGCGGTGGAAATTTGGCTGCATCTCGGGAACCGTTCGTGCGATTTTAATGACTCTTTAAATTTGCATAGCGTGAGAGGCATTTTATATGATGCCGCCCTGCTGTCCCACAAAATCTCGTTAGAAGTGGCCTAAAATCGCTCTCAAACTTTTACGATTTTCATGAATTTTCGAAACACGCGGTGGAAATTTGGCGGTATATCGGGAACCGTTCGTGCGATTTCAGTGATTCTTTCAAATTTGCATACCGCGGGAGGCACTATATACGATGCAGCTCTGCAACCCCTCAAATTCATGCGGGAAGTGCCTTAAAATCGCTCTCAAACATTCACGATTTTCATGAATTTTCGAAACACGTGGTGGAAATTTTGCTGCATCTGGGGAACCGCTTGTGCGATTCTGATGATTCTTTCAAATTTTCATACCGCGAGATGCATTTTATATGATGCAGCTCTGCAACCCCTCAAAATCGCGCGGGAAGTGTTTTAACCCTTCAGAACTATCGTGTAGAGAGAATCTCTCACACCTCTCTTAAATCTTTTTTTTGTTTCTAATTTCAAATGGAATGACCCCTTGAAAATTTTTTTACCTTCCTAAAATTTAATTTTTTACAAAATACTGAAAAAATAATTTTTTTTTAACTTAAAAAATTAAGGAAAAAAATTATTTATTTATCGTCTGTGAGAGTTTTTCTCATCGCGTAAGTAAAGTTAGGCACAAAAAAATCCGCTATTCGGATGGCTTCGTTTTATTTCGGCTGTCTCCGTAGTTTCCACCCGCCATTTGGCATTTAATTTGTCAAGTTTAACTTAATAAAATAATTTATCTAAATAGAAAATTTCATATTTATTTTGTCCTCGTCAGAATTATATAATTTTTACTTTAATAACATTAATATTTAGGTAATTTATATTATTCAAAACCCAATTTTTTATTTTGTATTTTACTTGATGTGTAACCTACAACTATTTTAGTAGGTTTGAAATTTCGCACTTGGCGCTTGCGCAATAGGCGTGAGATTTTGTCTCATCACGATATTAATGACTATGGTACGGGAGACGTATAGTCTGAAGGGTTAAAATCGTTCTTAAACTTTCACGATTTTCATGAATTTTCGAAACATGCGGTGGAAATTTGGCTGTATATCGGGAACCGTTCGTACGATTTTAATGATTCTTTCAAATTTGCATAGCGCGAGAGTCATTTCATATGATGCCGCTCTGCAACCCCTCAATATCACGCAGGAAGTGCCTCAAATTCGCTCTCAAACTTTCACGATTTTCATGAATTTTCGAAACATGCGGTGGAAATTAGGCTGCATCTCGGGAACCGTTCGTGCGATTTTAATGATTCTTTCAAATTTGCATAGCGCGAGAGTCATTTTATATGACGCAGCTCTGCAACTCCACAATATCACGCGGGAAGTGCCTTAAAATCGCTCTCAAACATTCACGATTTTCATGAATTTTCGAAACACGCGGTGGAAATTTGCCTTTATCTCGGAAACCGTTCGTGCGATTTTAATGATTCTTTCAAATTTGCATACCGCGAGAGGCATTTTATATTATGCAGCTCTGTAACCCCTCAAAATCGCGCGGGAAGTGCTTTAAAATTGTTCTCAAACTTACACGATTTTTATGAATTTTCGAAACACGCGGTGGAAATTTGGCTGTATATCGGGAACCGTTCGTGCGATTTTAATGATTCTTTCAAATTTGCATAGCGCGAGAGTAATTTTATATGATGCATCTCTGCAACCCCTCAAAATCACGCGGGAAGTGCTTTAAAATCGCTCTCAAACATTCACGATTTTCATGAATTTTCGAAACACGCGGTGGAAATTTGCCTGTATCTCGGGAACCGTTCGTGCGATTTTAATGATACTTTCAAATTTGCATACCGCGAGAGGCATTTTATATTATGCAGTTCTGTAACCCCTCAATATCGCGCGGGAAGTGCTTTAAAATTGTTCTCAAACTTTCACGATTTTTATGAATTTTCGAAACACGCGGTGGAAATTTGGCAGTATATCGGGAACCGTTCGTGCGATTTTAATGATTCTTTCAAATTTGCATAGCGCGAGAGGCATTTTATAAGATGCAGCTCCGCAACCCCTCAAAATCACGCGGGAAGTGCTTTAAAATTGTTCTCAAACATTCACGATTTTCATGAATTTTTGAAACACGCGGTGGAAACTTGCCTGTATCTCGGGAACCGTTCGTGCGATTTTAGTGATTCTTTCAAATTTGCATACCACGGGAGGCATTTTATATGATGCAGCTGTGCAACCCCTCAAAATCACGCGGAAAGTGCCTTAAATTTGCTCTCAAATATTCACGATTTTCATGAATTATCGAAACACGTGGTGGAAATTTGCCCGTGTCTCGGGAACCGTTCGTGCGATTTTAATGATTCTTTCAAATTTGCATAGCGCGAGAGTAATTTTATATGATGCAGCTCTGCAACCCCTCAAAATCACGCGGGAAGTGTCTTAAAATCGCTCTCAAACATTCACGATTTTCATGAATTTTCGAAACACGCGGTGGAAATTTGCCTGTATCTCGGGAACCGTTCGTGCGATTTTAATGATACTTTCAAATTTGCATACCGCGAGAGGCATTTTATATTATGCAGCTCTGTAACCCCTCAAAATCGTGCGGGAAGTGCTTTAAAATTGTTCTCAAACTTTCACGATTTTTATGAATTTTCGAAACATACGGTGGAAATTTGGCAGTATATCGGGAACCGTTCGTGCGATTTTAATGATACTTTCAAATTTGCATACCGCGAGAGGCATTTTATATTATGCAGCTCTGCAACCCCACAATATCACGCGGGAAGTGCCTTAAAATCGCTCTCAAACATTCACGATTTTCATGAATTTTCGAAACACGCGGTGGATATTTGGCTGTATATCGGGAACCGTTCGTGCGATTTTAATGATTCTTTCAAATTTGCATAGCGCGAGAGGCATTTTATAAGATGCAGCTCCGCAACCCCTCAAAATCACGCGGGAAATGCCTTAAAATTGTTCTCAAACATTCACGATTTTCATGAATTTTTGAAACACGCGGTGGAAACTTGCCTGTACCTCGGGAACCGTTCGTGCGATTTTAGTGATTCTTTCAAATTTGCATACCACGGGAGGCATTTTATATGATGCAGCTGTGCAACCCCTCAAAATCACGCGGAAAGTGCCTTACATTTGCTCTCAAATATTCACGATTTTCATGAATTATCAAATCACGTGGTGGAAATTTGCCCGTATCTCGGGAACCGTTCGTGCGATTTTAATGATTCTTTCAAATTTTCATACCGCAAGAGGCATTTTATATGATGCAGCTCTGTAACCCCTCAAATTCGCGCGGGAAGTGCTTTAAAATTGTTCTCAAACTTTCACGATTTTTATGAATTTTCGTAACACGCGGTGGAAATTTGGCAGTACATCGGGAACCGTTCGTGCGATTTTAATGATACTTTCAAATTTGCATACCGCGAGAGGCATTTTATATTATGCAGCTCTGCAACCCCACAATATCACGCGGGAAGTGCCTTAAAATCGCTCTCAAACATTCACGATTTTTATGAATTTTCGAAACACGCGGTGGAAATTTGGCTGTATATCGGGAACCGTTCGTGTGATTTTAGTGATTCTTTCAAATTTGCATACCACGGGAGGCATTTTATATGATGCAGCTGTGCAACCCCTCAAAATCACGCGGAAAGTGCCTTAAATTTGCTCTCAAATATTCACGATTTTCATGAATTATCGAAACACGTGGTGGAAATTTGCCCGTGTCTCGGGAACCGTTCGTGCGATTTTAATGATTCTTTCAAATTTGCATAGCGCGAGAGTAATTTTATATGATGCAGCTCTGCAACCCCTCAAAATCACGCGGGAAGTGTCTTAAAATCGCTCTCAAACATTCACGATTTTCATGAATTTTCGAAACACGCGGTGGAAATTTGGCAGTACATCGGGAACCGTTCGTGCGATTTTAATGATACTTTCAAATTTGCATACCGCGAGAGGCATTTTATATTATGCAGCTCTGCAACCCCACAATATCACGCGGGAAGTGCCTTAAAATCGCTCTCAAACATTCACGATTTTTATGAATTTTCGAAACACGCGGTGGAAATTTGGCTGTATATCGGGAACCGTTCGTGTGATTTTAATAATTCTTTCAAATTTACATAGCGCGAGAGGCATTTTATAAGATGCAGCTCCGCAACCCCGCAAAATCACGCGGGAAATGCCTTAAAATTGTTCTCAAACATTCACGATTTTTATGAATTTTTGAAACACGCGGTGGAAACTTGCCTGTATCTCGGGAACCGTTCGTGCGATTTTAGTGATTCTTTCAAATTTGCATACCGCAAGAGGCATTTTATATGATGCAGCTCTGTAACCCCTCAAAATCGCGCGGGAAGTGCTTTAAAATCGTTCTCAAACTTTCACGATTTTCATGAATTTTCGAAACACGTGGTGGGAATTTGCCCGTATCTCGGGAACCGTTTGTGCGATTTTAATGATTCTTTCAAATTTGCATACCGCGAGAGGCATTTTATATGATGCAGCTGTGCAACCCCTCAAAATCACGCGGGAAGTGCCTTAAATTTGCTGTCAAATATTCACGATTTTCATGAATTATCGAAACACGTGGTAGAAATTTGCCCGTATCTCGGGAACCGTTCGTGCGATTTTAATGATTCTTTCAAATTTGCATATCGCGAGAGGTATTTCATATGATGCAGCTATTCAACCCCTCAAAATCACGCGGGAAGTGCTTTAAATTTGCTCTCAAACATTCACGATTTTCATGAATTTTCGAAACACTTGGTGGAAATTTGCCCGTATCTCGGGAACCGTTCGTGCGATTTTAATGATTCTTTCAAATTTCCATACCGCGAGAGGCATTTTTTATGATGCAGTTCTGCAACCCCTCAAAATCGCGCGGAAAGTGCTTTAAAATCGTTCTCAAACTTTCACGATTTTTATGAATTTTCGAAACACGCGGCGTAAATTTGGCTGTATATCGGGAACCGTTCGTGCGATTTTAATGATTCTTTCCAATTTGCATAGCGCGAGAGTAATTTTATATGATGCAGATCAGCAACCCCTCAAAATCACGCGGGAAGTGCCTTAAAATTGCTCTCAAACATTCACGATTTTTATGAATTTTCGAAACACGTGGTGGAAATTTGCCTGTATCTCAGGAACCGTTCGTGCGATTTTAATGATTCTTTCAAATTTGCATAGCGCGAGAGTAATTTTATATGATGCAGATCTGCAACCCCTCAAAATCAAGCGGGAAGTGCCTTAAAATTGCTCTCAAACATTCACGATTTTTATGAATTTTCGAAACACGTGGTGGAAATTTGCCTGTATCTCAGAAACCGTTGGTGCGATTTTAATGATTCTTTCAAATTTGCATACCGCGAGAGGCATTTTATATGATGCAGCTCTGCAACCCCTCAAAATCGCGCGGGAAGTGCTTTAAAATCGTTCTCAAACTTTTACGATTTTCATGAATTTTCGAAACACGCGGTGGAAATTTGGCTGTATATCGGGAACCGTTCGTGCGATTTTAATGATTCTTTCAAATTTGCATAACGCGAGAGTAATTTCATATGTTGCCACTCTGCAACCCCTCAAAATCACGCGGGAAGTGCCTTAAAATTGCTCTCAAACATTCACGATTTTTATGAATTTTCGAAACACGCGGTGGAAATTTGCTTGTATCTCGATAACTGTTCGTGCGATTTTAATGATTCTTTCAAATTTGCATACCGCGAGGAGCATTTTATATGATGCAGCTGTGCAACCCCTCAAAATCACGCGGGAAGTGCCTTAAATTTGCTCGCAAATATTTACGATTTTCATGAATTTTCGAAGCACGTGGTGGAAATTTGCCTGTATCTCGGAAACCGTTCATGCAATATTAATGATTCTTTTAAATTTGCATACCGCAAGAGGCATTTTATATGATGCAGCTCTGCAATCCCTCAAAATAGCGCGGGAAGTGCTGTAAACTCGTTCTCAAACTTTTACGATTTTCATGAATTTTTAAAACACGCGGTGGAAATTTGCTTGTATCTTGGGAACCGTTTGTGCGATTCTAATGATTCTTTCAAATTTGCATACCGCGAGAGGCATTTTATATGATGCAGCTATGTAACCCCTCAAAATAATGCGGGAACTGCCTTAAAATTGCTCTCAAATATGCACGATTTTTATGAATTTTCGAAACACGTGGTGGAAATTTGCCTGTATCTCGCGAACCGTTTGTACGATTTCAATGATTCTTTCAAATTTAGATAGTTCGAGAGTCATTTTCTTAGGTGTGACTTTGCAGTCCACCAAAATCCCGCTAGAAGTATTCTAAAATACTTCTTCTGAATAAAGTCACTTCTACCGCTACCCTCGTACGGTGCCCTGAATGGGAGTCACTTCTACCGCTACCCTCGTACGGTACCCTGAATCAAAGTCACTTCTACCGCTACCCTCGTACAGTGCCCTAAATGGGTGTTACTTCTATCGCTATCTTCGTTTGCTGTTTATACGACTGTGATTTTAAGTCGGGTGTTCAATTAGAATCGGTCAGCAAAGATTTGATTTAGAATTACCAGACAAGTGCGGCGTATAGTTATTGAGATATCGCGCGTAGAACTCGGAATTGCAAATTACGCAGATATTTTCCGTCGGCAGCGGATATCTTCCGTCGGCTAAGAATCCATAGTGGTTTTGTTTTGTGTATTCATTAAAGTATTAATTTGATTAAGATTTCTGAATGAATTTCTTAATTCTTATCTCTGAATTTTAATTATTTTCTTGTCTTATCTTATAAAGAATTTTCCAAATTTTAATAATGTTTAATCCTCTGGCTGCTAGCGCTTTTAGTTTAGATGATATTCGTTACTAAAATTACTCAAAGAGCATGATGCAGCAATATTTTTTGTTATTAATTATTTAATTATTTTCCTTCTTATTTTCCAAATTTTATTATTTTATCTTATAAATTATTTATTTTAGGTTTAACGTTTTAACGAGACCTTACGGATATCTTGGACCAGCTGTGAACTGCATGCTTCTTCCAGAAGGATTCGATAGAAAATGGTAATTTCCGGTAAAGCAAGAAACATCTTCAACGATTTCAATGATTCTATTAAAGTTTGACAGGCTAAGAGGTATTTATTTATCTTTATTTTGCAAGGGGTAGTGTTACAATTATAACACTGTAACACTGAAATGAAAATAAATATAAGTTTACTGATATATTAATGTGTTTTATTAAGTGTAAAGTACGCTTTATAAACAACATATGTGTTAACTAAGCTTCGGTAGGTTGACACAATCGACACAATTATACATAAAATATAATACATAGAACATAAATATATAAAGTTTCACATTTATTTTTAACAAATTAATGTAATAACTTGTATAATTGTTTATTTCAATTTTACGATGTGTAGTGTTATAAATGTATCACTGTTGCACTAACATGGAAATAAGTGGTATTTTACTGTCCTACATACATATAAAGTGTGAGTAACCTTTACCAAACACCAATTATTTAATTAACTAAGGTATACAGTAAACTTTTACGAAGACTCAATCTTATTACATCTCAAAGCCAATAAATTCTTTTCGTATGCCGAGAAATATTGAAAGTAAAAGTAAATTTCGTGTATGTGTATTTCAACATTGTGAATTTTTAGTTTCGTCTTCTCAACTACGTGTTTATCAGTACGTTTGTGTATAAACAACTTTTTTGTTCGACGGACGCGTGATATCGCTGCATACCTGCCTTGTACCCGGCTACGCGCAGCGCACACGGCAGTTGTTTCACCGCGTGGTCCGCGAGCGTGTCTCTCTAATCGCCACGCGTTTTGAGGTTTTAATTGGATTAATCGTCGTGTATTCTTTCGGTCATCGGCAAAATGTTCACAATGGGCATGTGTGCCAGTTTTGTTTAATGATTTATGGCAGTTAGAGTCTTCTTAAGTAAGAAATAAGTGTCCTTTAATCCCTGCGCGAGTTTTCAGTTGATAGAATATATTACAGGATAGAAACTCTCCTCATCAGTGCACAGGTGGGTGGATAATTACATTTTTTCGCGGAAAGTTAAAGCGGTTTAACTTAAATTGACATGCTTGATTTAATTATTACAAGCACGGTTTTTAAAATTCATGTGGTCGACCACGCTTACTTTGCCGTCGGCCGTCGGTTCGGTCATGTTTTCGATGATCACGTAAACATTTTTAATCGAATTGCATCATTAAATTAATAATTTCTTGTTGAAATAAAATCTTGAACGGTTTTTCGTTTTCGCAGTCTCAGTATATCTTCATATTTACAAAAAAATAGCTACGCGCCGTCGCTTGCCGTCTGTTGATTTAGATGTTTTCCGCTGGATATTCTATCAATTTTTAATGATGCTTCACCCGTCAGTTACTTTATACAGTTGATGCTACCATCAATTAATAAATATATATTAACAATATATTAAAATGTAAGTGTTTTATTTTTGTAGCACCCTTTTGCTCAATTTTTCGATGTTTTTCGGGTAAAATCTGATTTTATATTAAAATATTGTTGTTAATTTGTAAATTTCCCTCTTCGTGTTGTGAATATTGACTTCCTTTGTAGTTTCTAAAATTTTCTTTTTGTTACACCCTGTATATTAGTTTTCCTAACCGCATGTAGAAAATCACTTTTAATTGTGAGTTTTAAGTGTTCTATGCTTTGAACATGGAATTTTCTTTCTAGAACACCAACATATATGTTTTCCTCTGTGTCCGTGAAATTTTTGCTTAGTATTTTCCCGTTTGCACGTTGAATTTTCTTTCTGGAACACCCTGTATATTAGTTTCCCTGATCGTCGAGTAAAAACGAGCGGCATTTTTAGTGTTGGGAGTTTTTTGTTTGCACTTTAAAATTTCCTATTGCAACACCCTGTATATTTGTTTCCATTTTCAATCACCTAGAAAATTGACTATTTACTAATTTCATTATTCCGGTTGAATTTTATGAAATAGTACCTGCTGGCATGTGCGCGCCTATGCCCCGGTCGTAAGTCCCGTTTCAATATGGAGACATATATTCTGTTGATTTGTAAAATCTAAACTTGTATTCCATTTTTAATAAATGAATAGTAAAATATATTGACTTCTTTGATTTGTGTACCCCTTCTATCATTTCAGGAACAGGTCTCTAAGAGAGTTCCCTCTCTCAGGGGATGATCCCCACTATAAAAATTGTTAAGGTATCCTGTGTGATTTGTGTGCTCCTTCTTTCATTTCAGCTACGGGTCAGAACTTGTAAGAATATTTTTAAGTGTCACCTCTCTTGAGGAGACTTAAAACTTAGAAATATTTTTACAAGTCCTTATAAGGAGTTCCCTCTCTCTGGGGATGATCCCCCACCATAAAAATTGTTGATATGCCTGATAATTTCGGGGATGAAGCGCAGAGACATCGTAGCTGTAGGACGGGCCGGGAGCAATGGACGAATCGAAGCAGTGGGCTGTCTTATAACGACACGTGCCAAAAAATTTAAAAATCTGATCCTCCCCTGTTCTCTTTCTTCTATCTCCTCCTCTTCTCTATTCTCTTCCTTCTATTTTCTCCTATTCTTTACTACTGTGCTTCTTCTATTTCTCTGTTCTCGTTTCTCCACTTACTTTCTTACTTCTCTTATTGCCTTCACTTGTATTTCAATTTCTCTTATATTTCGTTGCAATTCATATATGCAACCCAAATTACACCTGATATTTTTATATTTGAGAAAAATGCCTTCTATACCTGAGATTCGATCCGTGTCCGCTAGCATGCCAGCAGGTGCACGTCTCTACTCGACCACCGAGTGTTTTTATCTGTAATATTTGATTCTTCTATTTGTGTTTCTACTTTATTCAACTATTTAAAAACAACAACACATGTCTTAGATGCAACATAGCATGTCTTAGCTATGTTGCACTCACATAAGCTTATATGAAATATGATTTAAGACGCATATCCTGAAAACAACAAAGAGGATATCACAAAGAAGTATGAATAATATTTTAATATTAAATTGAGTTTTATTAATTGTATTTAACAATACATTCCTCTTTTTAATAAAACGAACGTATGTACGATCCAAGGCATATCCTACATACCATGGAGCCACAACGCTCTCTTATCAAACGTTACACATAAAGTAGAATTGTTTGTAGAATTGATGTAACTACTCACTGTTTTATTTATGCACTATACCACACGGAGAAAACGCGTTATTTATCCCGACTAATTAACAATACCATTTTGGCCTATAAATCCAATTGGAATCCGTAGCCCATCGTAAGAGATCCGACGGCCGGCGGCTGATGGCTTACACACGCGCGCGTGGTGTCTCGAGTCGATTCGAGATAAATCACTTGTTCATTAGTTGATAGCAATCGATGACTAAACAATTATAAGACTCGCACCGTTTTAAAGTCTCCCGAAATGCTAACAGTCGCGATGAAGACCGGCGGTGAAACAGAACACGCAGCACAATTGCGTACCACTGACTGACTAAACAGGAAAAAACAACAGCCCATACGACAGCGCAAGATGTTCTGAGCAGTATGGCGAATTGTCACTTGAAGCCGGCCGACGACATGCTGCGACCGGTACGGTACTGTTCAAATTTCAAATGTCAGCGCACAGCGTGCTGCGCAAGCCAAGGTCGAACTGAGAGCATAAACAAGGTGCAGAAAATTCTGCAGATCATATAGAAAACATGGATTGAACATGACACTTAGATGTATTGCTCTCTTATTCTAACTCACCAGCTATCACCTCATCCTGGTATTTCTATTTCACTCACTTGAACGAAAATTAATAAAACACAATCCATGTTATATATATTCCAAAAACTATTCAGAATGACTAAATGTAAACAAACAGTTTTAGTAACCAGCAAAAATCAGTGCTTGGAAATACAAAAAGTAAATTTTTCTCGCTAATTCATAAGTTCTTCATAAAAGTTATTTATGAAAACGATAAAGAAATTAATTACTTACAATCTGATGTAAGAATGGTTCTGCTACGATATCGGGATCGGGTGCAGAACACCTAAAACAAGCGAAATATAGTCCTTTGCAACACAAAAATGCAGTTTTCGTCACTAATTCATGAGTTAATCACAAAAATTAGTTATGAAAACGATAAAGAAATTAATTGCTTACAATCTTATGCAAGAATGGTTCTCCTAAGATATCGGAATCGGGTGCAGAACACCTAAAACAAGCGAAATGTAGTCCTTTGCAACACAAAAATGCAACTTTCGTCACTAATTCATGAGCTAATCACAAAAATTAGATATGAAAACGATAAAGAAATTAAATACTTACAATCTGATGCAAGAATGGTCATTCTACGATGTCAGACTCAGGAACAACATCCCTAAAACAAGCAAAAATTAGTCCTTCGAACATAAAAATGCAATTTTGGGGGTCACTTTGTGTGATAATCACAAAAGTTATTTAAGCAAATGATAAAGAAATTAAATACTTACAATCTGATGTAAGAATGATCATTCTACGATGTCAGACTCAGGTGCAATATTCCTAAAACAAGCAAAAATTAGTCATTCGCATATAAAAATGCAATTTTGGGGGTCAATTTGTATGATAATCAAAAAAGTTATTTAGACAAATGATAAAGAAATTAAATACTTACAATCTGATCTAAGAATGGTCCTTCTACGATGTCAGACTCAGGTACAAAATCCCTAAAACAAGCAAAAATTAGTCCTTCGAACATAAAAATGCAATTTTGGGGGTCAATTTGTGAGATTATCACAACAATTAGTTATGAAAACGATAAAGAAATTAAATACTTACAATCTGATGCAAGAATGGTCCTTCTACGATGTCAGACTCAGGTACAAAATCCCTAAAACAAGCAAAAATTAGTCCTTCGAACATAAAAATGCAATTTTGGGGGTCAATTTGTGAGATTATCACAACAATTAGTTATGAAAACGATAAAGAAATTAAATACTTACAATCTGATGCACGAATGGTCCTTCTACGATGTCAGACTCAGGTGCAATATCCCTAAAACAAGCAAAAATTAGTCATTCGAACATAAAAATTCAATTTTGAGGGTCAATTTGTGTGATAATCAAAAAAGTTATTTAAGCAAATGATAAAGAAATTAAATACTTACAATCTGATGTAAGAATGGTCCTTCTACGATGTCAGACTCAGGTGCAATATCCCTAAAACCAGCAAAAATTAGTGATTCGCACATAAAAATGCAATTTTGGGGGTCAATTTGTATCATAATCAAAAAAGTTATTTTGGCAAATGATAAAGAAATTAAATACTTACAATCTGATGTAAGAATGGTCCTTCTACGATGTCAGACTCAGGTGCAATATCCCTAAAACAAGCAAAAATTAGTCCTTCGAACATAAAAATGCAATTTTGGGGGTCAATTTGTGTGATAATCACAAAAGTTATTTAGAGAAATGATAAAGAAATTAAATACTTACAATCTGATGTAAGAATGGTCCTTCTACGATGTCAGACTCAGGTGCAATATCCCTAAAACAAGCAAAAATTAGTCCTTCGAACATAAAAATGCAATTTTGGGGGTCAATTTGTATGATAATCAAAAAAGTTATTTAGGCAAATGATAAAGAAATTAAATACTTACTATCTGATGTAAGAATGGTCCTTCTACGATGTCAGACTCAGGTGCAATATCCCTAAAACAAGCAAAAATTAGTCCTTCGAACATAAAAATGCAATTTTGGGGGTCAATTTGTGTGATAATCACAAAAGATATTTAAGCAAATGATAAAGAAATTAAATACTTACAATCTGATGTAAGAATGGTCCTTCTACGATGTCAGACTCAGGTACAAAATCCCTAAAACAAGCAAAAATTAGTCCTTCGAACATAAAAATGCAATTTTGGGGGTCAATTTGTGAGATTATCACAACAATTAGTTATGAAAACGATAAAGAAATTAAATACTTACAATCTGATGCAAGAATGGTCATTCTACCATGTCAGACTCAGGTGCAATATCCCTAAAACAAGTAAAAATTAGTCATTCGAACATAAAAATGCAATTTTGGGGGTCAATTTGTGAGATTATCACAACAATTAGTTATGAAAACGATAAAGAAATTAAATACTTACAATCTGATGTAAGAATGGTCCTTCTACGATGTCAGACTCAGGTACAAAATCCCTAAAACAAGCAAAAATTAGTCCTTCGAACATAAAAATGCAATTTTGGGGGTCAATTTGTGAGATTATCACAACAATTAGTTATGAAAACGATAAAGAAATTAAATACTTACAATCTGATGCAAGAATGGTCCTTCTACCATGTCAGACTCAGGTGCAATATCCCTAAAACAAGCAAAAATTAGACCTTCCAACATATAAATGCAATTTTGGGGGTCATTTTGTGTGATAATCACAAAAGTTATTTAGGAAAATGATAATGAAATTAAATACTTACAATCGAATGCAAGAATGGTCATTCTACGATGTCAGACTCAGATGTAAAATCACTAAAACAAGCAAAAATTAGTCCTTCGAACATATAAATGCAATTTTGGGGGTCATTTTGTGCGATAATCACAAAAGTTATTTAGGAAAATGATAATGAAATTAAATACTTACAATCAAATGCGAGAATGGTAATTCTACGATGTCAGACTCAGGTGCAAAATCCCTAAAACAAGCAAATATTAGTCCTGGAAACATAAAAATGCTATTTTGGGGGTCTATTTTTGAGATAATCACAAAAGTTACTTAGGGACATAATGATGAAATTAAATACTTACAATCTGATGCAAGAATGGTCCTGCTACGATATCATACTCAGGTGCAAAATCTCTAAAACAAGTAAAAATTAGTCCTTCGAACATATAAATACAATTTTGGGGGTCAATTTGGGAGGTAATCGCAAAAGTTATTTAGGAAAATGATAATGAAATTAAATACTTACAATCTGATGCAAGAATGGTTCTGCTACGATGTCGATGTCTACAATTGCGTACCACCGACTGACTAAACCGAAAAAATCTACAACCAACACGCCAGCGCAAGATGTACTGTGCAGTATAGCGAATTGTCACTCGAAGCCGACGACATACGGTGACCGGTGCGGTACTATTCAAATTTCAAATCGCAGCGCACAGCGTGCTGCGCAAGCCAAGGTCGAACTGACAGCATAAACAAAGTGTAGAAAATTCGGCAGATCATATAAAGAACATGGATTGAACATGAAACTATGAATATTGCTCTCTTATTCTAACTCACCTGCTATCACTTCATGCTAGTATTTCTACCTCACTCACATGAACGAAAAATAATAAAACACAATCCATGTTATATATAATCCAAAACCTTTTTTAAATGACTAAATGTAAACAAACAGTTACAAGTTATCGACATAACAACGTACGAAATGTAAAATTTATCTAACAATATATGTCCTACAGGTTCATCTCCTACGACATTAGAATATAACGCCATTAAGAATTAAATTTTACATCTTTAGAGACCACGCTGATATTACGCGAATGATGCGTATATGTGCTAAACCCCGAAAACCCGCAAAAATTAGTGCTTCGAAACACAAAAACTAAATTTTCTCGCTAATTCATCAGTTATTCATAATAGTTATGTATGAAAATGATAACGAAATTAATTACTTACAATCTGATGCAAGAATAGTCCTCCTGCGATGTCGGGGTCGGATGCAGAACACCTAAAACAAGCGAAAAATAGTCCTTTGCAACACAAAAATGCAACTTTCGTCACTAAGTCATGAGCTAATCACAAAAATTAGACATGAAAAAGATAAAGAAAATGAATACTTACACTCAGATGCAAGAATCGTTCTGCTACGATGTCGACTTTAGGTGCAGAAAATCTAAAACAAGCGAAAAGTAGTCCTTAGCAACACAAAAATGCAATTTTCATCACTAATTCAAGAGCTAATCACAAAAATTAGTCATGAAAACGATAAAGAAGTTAAACATCTACAATCTTAAGCAAGAATGGTTCTACTACGTTGTCGATTTTGGGTGCTGAACACCTAAAACAAGTAAAAAGTAGACTTTGGCAACACAAAAATGCAATTTTCGTCACTAATTCATGAGCTAATCACAAAAATTAGTCATGAAAACGATAAAGAAATTAAATACTTACAATCTAATGCAAGAATGGTCCTTCTACGATGTCAGACTCCGGTACAAAATCCCTAAAACAAGTAAAAATTAGTCCTTCGAACATAAAAATGCAATTTTGGGGGTCAATTTTTGCGGTAATCACAAAAGTTATTTAGGAAAATAATAATGAAATTAAATACTTACAATCTGATGCAAGAATGGTCCTTCTACGATTTCAGACTCAGGTGCAAAATCTCTAAAACAAGCAAAAATTAGTCCTTCGAACATAAAAATGCAATTTTTGGGGTCAATTTGTGAGATAATCACAAAATTTATATAAGACAATGATAATGAAATAAAATACATACTTACAATCTGAGGGGTCTCCTGCGATGACGGGCTCGGGTGCAGAACACCTAAAACAAGCAAAAAGTAGTCCTTTGCAACACAAAAATGTAATTTTTGTCACTAAATCAAAGGCAAACTTAAATTATTGCCACACATTCATCCCCCTGTAAAAATTACAAAACTAAGTCATGGACATAATAAAGATTTGCAATACTTACAATGTGAAGCATTGAGATATCATCTCTGCTGTATAGTCCCGTTTAATTCCTGGAGCCCTAAAACAAAGAGAAATCAGTGCAAAAGACATATGAAAATCACAAAACTAGGTCATGAATTTATAGATCTGTCCTGTGAGGTTTCGTTTAACTACCAGAGCCCTAAAACCAACAATAATCAGTGCCTCGAAATTTTTATGATTATCAGTACTTTAGTTGATCACATACTTTATAAACAGAGAAAGAGAACTGGTGTTATGACATGCAACGTGCGATGCAATTCTCGTTTAGACTTAATTTAGGCTGATTTAAACACTATTACGACAGAAGTTTGTACACAAACGTTTATTGTTAAGGGTAACACTAGCCCTATTTAAATCTCCATATAAAATGAAACCAAAAATGAAAATACGCAACGAGTAATGCGTTCTTGCCAGCGGTCAGAACCAAACTAGTTTCAAAACGTGTGCGCTCTTGTTTACATAGTGCAAAATACTGATAAGCGCCTACCGATGGAAACATTTTGAAATCACTTTTAAGACATTCCAGGCGGGACTAAACCCAATGCTAAAAAAGTGCTTATAATAAATAAATATAGTGCAGTATTACGCGTTGCATTGCACTTATTAAACGCAAAAACAAAGAATGATTGTGTAAAAACTAACTAATATTTATTGATAAGAATTAATTGTTTATTGGGAATCTGCAAGCAAAACTGAAAAATCTAAATTGTTGTTGGAACGTAAACAAGAAAAATGATTTATCTGTTTTATATGAAAAACCTTTTTCTGGTTGCTCGACTGAAATTAATTAATCTAAAAAATTCGATCTTGAAATAAAAGGTATAAATGATTTGCAATACAGCAAGCAGCAATTTTAATAAACAAAAACACTATAGTTACAGTATTCTTAAATTTTTTTATAATATGTACAAAATTATTCTTATTACTAACTTCAATTCTGTAAAGTATGAAACACAATTAAATAAACCGTCATATTATATTTTCTATTAAAATTAAAGTCATCTTAATCATAAATGCATTTGTGCCAAATTTAGCTGCTATATTTTTAAAACATTTATTTATATTTTTCTCTGATATAATATATTAATACTCTATGTCTTTAATTAAAAATTTGATAATTTTCAATGGCATTGAAATTTTGCATCACATGATTCGTATGAAGTTGAATCAATTTTAATTTGTTGTAGCGTTTGATTGATGTGAACTAAATGATCAGTAATGGTGGTTGTAGTGTCGACGGCTGCGTTTGGTGTTTTGAGGAACGATGTATAGATCTTCGTTAACATTGTACAAGCTGGGTGTGTTGGCGCAATCAACATTGAACCACCAATCGCAGACACGAGCAAATTGATTGAAGATGGTGCCATTGGGACAAAGGAAGCTGAATTGTTGACCACTCGGCAAACACCAGTGCCATACCTAATTAAAAATACACAAAACAACAATCGATGAATTAAAATTAAACATCTTTAAACCCAACAGAAAACGTAATTGAATTCACATTGATTTTTAATGATTCACATCCGAAGTTATTTCCGCACTTTAGTTGTTCCGATCAAATCTATTCCGAGATTCTACCAATTATAAGATAATTATCATTCATACATATTTTTTAACAAGCAGTTTCCATTGAATAAACACGAAATTTTACCTCAAAGATGAAATTAAAAATCAAACCTAGTCATTAACTGCTTAGCAGAATAAACAGTTGGTTTATGAATATTTTATGTTTCGTTGAGTGAGGTTTGATTGTGAATTGTTGTTGCTGGTAGTAAAGTACAAATTATAGAGTGCTTGATCGACACCTTGTTATTTAGCTGTTCGCATCGTAAGTGCAAATGGCTACAAAACGTGCAAATCAAATAAACACTAGAAGCCATTCGCTAGTTTGAAGTTGTTAAATTACCTGGCATTGCGCTTCAGGGTCGCTATAATAGCCTGGCAAACGTTGATCACACTTGAACGATAGTCCTTTGGGGATTTCACTGTAGATTGGATAATCCTGACCGGCCACATAACCATCCAATTGCTAGAAAAAGTTTATGTGTAAAATTGTGATAGTGTTATGTGACTTATAGCTTTATAATTGCTCAAACAAGTTCTTTATATTTAACTTTTTGGATTTGCTTCTTTATCAAATTGAAGAAAAAATATTAAACCTTTGAAATAAATGCAAAAAAAATATTTATACCTAAATAGGTTATGAACATGAAATATTAAAAAAAAGGTTATGTCATTTTATAGCAGCCACAAAATTAAAAATTTTGTTAAGAAATTACATCAATGTAAAACCTATCATTTGATTTCTTTAAAAGAAGCAAAATTTAAATTACATTAGAATAAAATCTACTTTTTGGAGAATTTAAAAAATAATAAATAAAATTTTGTTAACAATTAGTTAATAATGAGAAAGTAAAAAGATTGGAGGGACAGTTTCTTGCTTAAATTAATAATAATCCGTAAAATATGATGACATTTTTGTTATATTTTAGAAATTATGAATGTATTACATTTTTTAGGTCAATATTGCAATAATTTAATGAACGTGCGAAGATGACATAACCAAACTTGAGTGCACAAGTGTTCGCACACAGTAGTCGATTATTAACACGCAATTAGTGTGTGTGCTCTGCTCGAAATTAAAGTCGAAAACTGAATGGATCATATACACCAGATGTGATCTCATTACGCAGTTCGGAGTTCATTGTTTCGATTTTGTTTTCGCATCTATCACACCTCGCACTCACATTTGTTCGACTTTTATGCGCGCGAATATAAAGCGCATGCGAAGATACAACTAATTACGATTTGCGGTATCGTTCAAAAATCGAAGAGTTAATTTGCGTGTGAATCAAGATGGCTGCCAATCCGAGCATAAAGTTACGACGTTCCCATGCTCTATGTCCATGCAGAAAATTATAAATGATTCGTTAAAAAAAGTTTAGGTTTTTTTACAATTCTGGTAAAGATTTGCAGAAGACGCGTATCGAATGTACATAAATCAACGACGTGAACATTGTACCTAAATCGTAATCGGCGCTGTGACATAATCGAGCACGAAAGTTTCGTATGTTTCCCATGACAATCAAACACATCGAAACAAAAACGAAACAAAAGAGTGATGCGAATGATGCAAGTGATGTAAATGTTTGTTTTATTTTCAGTGACTTTAATTGGGTTGCTCTTTAATTTATAATTTAATTTAATTTTGCATAAATTACTAGAGTGTGCATCCGACACGCACCGACATTTTGTCTGCTGATGTCAATTGAATTCAATTAAATTTGGTTATAAACGTTCATTTAAAGTTGTGAGCTTGTAAAATTGTGCCAAATGTGGCAGACAATGAAAAAAGGTAATGAATTGTTCGCAGATTACGCTGCAGAGATTTTCGTTCGAGATATGGAAGTAGAAGCGTGAAAAGTGCGCATATCAATGACCAACATGGCCGACACGAGTGACCGACACCGGCGAACACGGATGAACTCGAACCGACTCGTTACACCACTTCCGGTTGCATTAAGCGCGCATAACACAATGTCGCACTATGTGCTCATTTGCATTTTTCAAGATTGATAACATTTACTGTAAACACATGCGATTAAAACATTAAAATTAAAAATATATATATAAAACAAAAGTAAAATTAGAAAATTTTACTAAAGTGACTTAAATCACATTCAATTAAATCGAGTTAAAACTTGACTTTGTCTTAAATCTTAAATTTTAACTTTACATTTACATTTTTCATTATCAAAAGAAATCTCAATATAATTTCAATAATGAGGTTATATAACATCAAAACTAACAACAAACAAAGATGTCGTTCATTTATTCGATTGGGAAACTCGTTTAAAACATTCTACAAGAACATAACTTAATAATGAAGGGAAAAAGCAAAGAAAAAAAATTATTTGCATAACAAACTTGAAACGTCTCGTTAAATCTAAAATAACTGAAATTGAATACATTCTTACGTCGGTATCCGCTAAACTGTTAAGTCAGTACCGGCACGAAGATTAAGATGTCTCCCAGTGAAAGTAACTTAAGAATGCACCAAATTACTCTAATGAGACTCTTGTTCTATCTAAACTATTATAAACAAATCCACCTATACATATACATATATAGGAACAATTGATAAACAATGATTTATTTATACTAATAAGTTAAGTAAGACTTAAGCCATCTTCACGGAAACGGAAAGTAAAATGATAAAAAGAACATAATTACACGATTGTGAAGTATGGGAATTTCTAAATGAATCATCAATATTATAACATATTACAAGTTTAACAGATAAATATAGAAGTACTTAAGTTAAGTCATACGTAACATATAGGATGCGTAAAATATCTCATGACTTTCATGAATTTCAACATTGTATACGGTGAATTGAAGCCTGAAGATCATTTAATTTAATGTTGATGAATTACGAATGTAATAGTAAATTGTATGGTATTTAAGAGAAAAGTCAGATTAACTCACATTACTTACTCAAATGTGTAAGTACTTATAAGAGAGTATGATTTATGATTTAATTATAGACAATTTTTATTGACCTAAAGATATTTAGTAACATGAAGAAGATTTATAGACAACTTTGTTGAGTTTTGTGTAATTTCCTCAAATTTGTAAAGTTTTCTCTTTAACCCAGAATGTTTAGTGATGTTATTTAACTTCCAACGTCGATTATCTTAGAATTTTAGTATTTTTATGGAAATGCTTAACTATTTGATAACTTTAAGAGATGTATTATGATATAATCTTAATTATAGTACAGTTTATGCTTGTTTTGAAGATTGTTATGTTTATGTATGTGATTGATAACTTACCGATAGCGCCAAGTGTATGGTAAATCCACAAATGGCGGTGAAAAACACAATAGTATTAATTTTCGACATGATTATCAAAATTTATGAGTTATCACTTCTTGAAACACTGTTAAAATACAATTTAATTGTTATCCGTTTTTTACTGCGCTTATTAATCCAATTAACTAATTAGATGTTGGTTTGCAAAAAGAATCGAGTGCAATGTGCTGAAACGAATCGTCGGTGGTGATTTTATACCGCCGGTGTAGTGTGGGATGGAAGAGCCATCTCCGCGAAGATGGAATTTCGGTTTCGCATCACTTTTCATTTCATTCCTATTTCGGCGTGTTGTTTTGCGTTGCCAATAGCAACGACAACATCAACAACACTCGTTGAGTAAGTTGCGTATGCGTATCCCACCTCAATCATACATTCAGTTCATTATAATGATACATAGACGCACAAACTCAAACAAATAAAATGTTCGCCTTCCTTCTTTGGTATAATAAATAATATTTGTAATGAATCAATGACTTTTAGATGTCTAAAATGGGGAATAGACATAACTTGACATAACCAAAGCGCGACTCATTTATTATGTGTGACTTTTTGTTCGACTTTTCAAAGTTGTTGTCGATTACATCGTCGATTCATCGGCTGCCGTGCTGCGCGCGAATATTCGGCGGGTGTTAATGTGTGATATAGGTCTGGCGAGATTCTCATGGCGGGCGAGCAATCGCGTTTGCTTTCAATTACACGAAATTGCGTGCCACAATTATTTCATCACATTTTTTGTGCTAGCTACACTCACACTACACTGTAACCAAAGTTTGATGCTGGAATATCCTGCGGTGTGTGTGAAACTTACTAATATTGTGCGATGTACATATTTGGGATGATTAATTACATGTTGCTAATTAATTTATTACATACACTATGTTTTTACATATAAAAATATTATAAAAACGCACAGAGCCTTAATAAATGTGTATTAAATATTTTGTATACAATGTGTCTAGAGGTCTTATGTTTAAGTTTGTATAAGAGTGCATAACCTAATTATAGATTGCAAAAATTATGGAGTGCAAAATTTCAATCCATTAAAATGCAATAAAACTCAATTAAAGTTAAAATTTCATGTTTACGGTTGCACTATTATTAAATAATATAATACTAACACATTTTGATGTGTTCTTCATGCTCTATATCTAAAAATCTAAAAATCTCACATGGTTTAGAATTCAGATGCTTATTTATTAATTAATATTTGCGCGAACTTCTGAGAATTTCTCACCAAGCGAGATTATCGGCTTTTGTGCGCACATAAAACAAAATACAAAACAAAACTAAGTTTCATTTGTTACATTTCATTCTTTAGATTATTCGGTTTGTTATTTCATATTTTATGTTATAATTTCGTGTTCTGTTTCCTATGTTAAGAGTTCTTTTCTAACGAGAATCAAAAATATTTATTTTTGCCTCCCAAAAAATTTAAATAAAACAGGAATTTATATGAAAATGTTTTATGTTTAGCATTGAGATAATTACCATATAAAAGTTAATTATTTCTATATCTTAAGGCAAATGCACATTTCAGAAGTGTTTCTAGTATTGCTTGAAAACCCTCTTAAATGTTTTGTATTTAGGCTTAATGTTATTAAATAAAATTTGCTCATGCAAATGTGACTATATGAAACAATGAACAAATTTTATTTAATATTTTTTTGCAGTCTATACACAACCAATTTTTATTATTTTTTCAAAGTCGGGTGCAGGATTACAAAAGAATTGTGTAAATTAATATTAAATCTTAAATTGAAAGCGAAAAAATTACCAGCTGCATTTAATGGTTGAATGCTGATGAAATGCAGATGTATATTAAAGTAAAAATGCTCCGAGATGAAAAGTTGAAGATTGCTCCACACTCACACATTGCACATGCGCAAGTTCCTGTGTGTGTTTGCTGTTCATCTGTCGAGACACAATAAACATCTGAAACAATTGACGGAAAATCGCAACGCTACTGTTGGTGGAAACAAGTGCTGGTTGCAAACTGTTTACCAATTAAGAATTATAGCAACATCCAGAAAACCATCAGTACATTTTCATACTTGAACTGCCAAAATAATGGGTTATAAGTTAGTTAATTAACGCATCAATTACAAACAGCACATAAAGCAATAAAAAATAAAAATTAATTTTAAATTGGGAAATAATAATTAATATCCAGTATTATTTAACGTTTTCACAGCTGTTGCGTTTATGTTTTGAAAATACAGGTATAAAAAGTTTTAGGTGCGTCTTCACTGCATGCCTCACCTGTTGTAAGACTTGTAAGAAACACAAAGCCTGTTTCTCCCTTTATCGCTCTACCTTCTTTGTTAACCTGCTTAAAGTAACTATAAAGTTACTCCAAAGCACGTTTTACGTTACTAACGCAACGTGCCTTAAGTCACTAGACTTCAGTACTTCAAAGACTTAAGTCAGAGTTTTGTAACGGTCGCTACAAGTGTCGAAAAAATCTAAAAATTAAAACCTTTGAAACGTGTAATAAGTAATAATATTTTGTTGATCTTATCTATTATCATAGCTTATCGTCTTGCTAGATAATTTTATTGGCACTTTAAGTTAGAGTTTAACAAGTGTTTGCTTAGTGAATTTTATCCAGTCAATATGTAATGTGATGTGATGTAATGGATTTGAGTGCAAAACAACGAGTTTTAAAGTTTTTAAAACATGCCGATTCGCAAATGAAGCCACAAGTAACTTTATTTCGCGTGGGTGTACAGAAAAAAATAATAACAATGCATGTGATATGAAACAATCACTGATTGCCGACTGAGTCACGGACAATTTAAAATATGTACTACGAAAACAACGAATAATAAAAACATCAAGCTAAAATAATAGTAGATAACTCTTCAAAGTATACTCTTATTTATTGCATGTAATAAAAATGATTAATTTGTGCAAACTGGATGAGTAAATCATAACTGACTCAGGCTGATTAAGTTGAGTCGAAAACTCAGCGTGCAGCTGAGCGGAACTGCGCCGGCGGAACGAAAAAGTGTTCCGACATTCTGACATTCCGCCATCGGTTGGACTGGAACAACGGTGGAACAAAACGACGGATATTATTCGAGCCGCGAACGGTGGACTGTGCGATGCCGATTGTCGGAAAACGCGACACAGTCGGGAGTTAAGCGCGAAATCAGCGAGTTATACAAGTGTAAACTATCAAAAACTCAACTCTAACACTCGAAATTTACAAAAATTTAAAATAAAGTACAGAACTAGTTATAAACTGTGGAAAACAGTTATAGTGTGACAAGTTGTAAAAACTTTACTTCTATTAAAACATAAAAAAAGTATAAACAGAATACTAAAAATTTAAACCAGTTAAAAATGACAGATAAAACGTTAACTGCAGAGGATTTACCCATGACGTTCCAGGCAAAATATTTAGGTAATTATTCTAATCATATTCCGATAAACAAATTTCTTTAAAGCCGGGAATTGTTGTATTATCGTAAATATTCAAGGTTTTTCGTTTTAAAATACATGTTTTATCACTTGAATTGCAATGATTTTAAAAAATTCACTACATAACCAAACTTTACATGTTTATGACATTGTTTTAGGTTGTTGTAAAGCCGCAGGACTCTGGGGAATAAAACACACAAGAAAACCTGTTGATTTTCTGGTAGAATCAGCAAAATCTTCTGGCCAAGCTTTAAAAGTAGTAGAAATCAAAGTGTCTACTAATGGTCTACACATTCAGGATCTTATTTCTAAAAACAGCAAAACATCAGTTACCCATGCAATAGATTCGATATCCTATGGAGTCCAGGATTTGACATTCACACGAGTATTCTGTATGATAATCTGTAATAGTAGAGCTTTGGAAGACTCAGCAAAAGGAATTAATGTAGCGCCACAATCAGTTGGCAATACTGGTCAACAAATGCAAGAGAATCTCTTCATGTGTCACGCATTTGCCTGCGAGAGCAAACATCAGGCAAGACAATTGACGTTTGCACTTGCAGCAGCATTCAAACACTTCGCCGATGTGATGAAGTGCAAACAAGATAAAGAAAAACTGGTGAGGACCATCGATCTAAGAACAGCGGATCAAATCGCCGATGAAGAGAGTGAAACTGAAGCATAAACAAAAAATACATTTAAAAGTTGATGGTATTAAAATAAAGTACAATTATTATTAGCCTCTAAGTCAGAATATAGTGTAAGCTAATACTAATACCAAATATATTTATAAAACGATCAGAAACAATTGTTAATTTTCACAAAACAAGAAAAAAGAAAGAAAAACATATCTGTGATCGAACAAAGTTGTCAAATGTCAATACCAAGTACTAATTAACAAGGTGCTCAAATAAATCACCGCATAAAATAATTATGATTGTATAATTTCTATTATGACAAATAATGATGGAATAAAATCTCATTATTTTTGCCAAACGTGTTAAATTTTTTCTATATTACTTTCTATATAAAATAAAATTGATGATTTAGTCATTTCTCGATAATGTGATATCAAATTCCTTGTTAATCGTCAGATATCAAAGTTTGCGCAGCGCTGTTGCGTGCTAATTAGCATCGAACGATAACGCAGATAACGATTTCGTCGATTGGTTCGATTCATATGTACCTATTTAGTTGTTACGTTGTGTATTCACCATTCATATGGTGATTCCTATAAAACAGTTTGTTTTATTAGTAAAATAATAATAATATAAAAAAATTTGTTTGTGGGTTGGAATTTCCTTGATTTGAGGTTATAAATCAACAAAAAATGGCTACTCCAAGCAATCAAATCACCATAAACGATCTGCCATTGACTTTCAATGGAAAATATTTAGGTTAGTGTTTTATTGCATATATCTGTTATCATTTGTGTGTAATCTTAATCCAAACACTGGAAATTTTGATTTTTAGGAAGTTGCAGAGCAGCTGGTGCCTGGGGTGTAAAATTTATTCGAAAACCATTGGATCTTCTTGTTGAGACAGCAAAGTCCTCCCGTCAAAATTTATCACAGGTAGAGCTGAAAGTGATAATCGATGGATTGGAGATCACGCAGTTGATTAAAGATAAAGACAGCGTTACTGTTTCTTACAAAATCGAAACAATCACGTACGGAGTGCAAGATGTCAACTTCTCAAGAATTTTCTGTATTATTATTACAAGACCTGAAGCCAAAATAGATGAGCAATATATGTTGCACGCATTTGTTTGCCCCTCGAAGCATGTTGCTCGTCAGATTACGTTTGCTCTGGGAGCAGCATTCAAACATCTCGCCGAGACGATGAAATCCAAGGCAGAGGCAAATAAGTTAAAGCAAACAATTCAACTTAGCAAGGACACCGAGGATAGCGATGACAGTGAGGCTGATGCATAAACATAACCTTACTTAACTATATATTATTACATATGTAGCGTCTGATAACACCATGTTTTAAAATTACATTTTGATGAGTTATATTCGCTAGTTAAATTTGAACTTTGGTCAAATTGAATGTTATCCGTCTATTTTTACACAAAAATTCAATTCCTATATCGTTTTGTCATAAAACTAGCACGAAACTTGTTTGTCGACGTAATTCGAGCTTGGGTGGATTTAGATAATGGGTTTCCGGCGCGAGATGGATCGTCATCAATGTTTCTGATGTGTTCTGCATTGTTTGTCTGGCTTTTGTTCATTGCAGCTATTGACATTCGCTTGTTTTTCACTCGTTTTTGTAAAAAAATATAGATGTTGTGCAATTATCATTAAAATTCTAACAGTGTCATCAAAATATACGAAAAGCATTTCAAAATGTCTAAAAATAGAAATTTGTATTCTTATACAAATTAATTGTATACAAAAAACCACTGGATTAAAGAATGGGCTGAAATTAGAATTGCTTTTATTAATTTTTATAGTTTATTATAACTTTTATTTTATTGCTCATTTTAAATCATCCATATTTAAATAAATACATACGTGATCTAAAAATCTCGTCACAGAAGTTATGAAAAGTGATTTGAACAGGACTGTAGCAAATTTAAAATGTAAAATTTTCCATTGTTTTCAAAACTATGAAATAGTAAACGTAAAAACAATGAAAATTTTGTTCAACGTGTTCAAAAATCACTAATTTTAATATTCTGATAAGTATTAAATGTTAAAATTTCATAACGCGTCGATGGTAAATCGGTACGATGGGAACAGTGCTCTTCATGTATTCCTGCGCATGCGTAACATGTGTCATTTGGGTTACATCCGCCGATTCGGAGATAGTTTCCGGCAGGGCATCCAGCTCTTGTGCCACGATTGGAACCGTCACCTCGTCGTTTGATTGATGTTGTTCATGAACATGATCTTCTTCAATCTCTTCCGTTGGAACCGCGATGTTTAATTGTTCGCCGAAGTTGGTGTTCAAATTGTAGAAACGTGGCGATTCCGAGCAGTCGATAGCTTCGTCTGAACGTGTGCAAGTAAACATTTCCTAAGTAATAAAAAGGGTAATAAAAGTTTAATTGATTTTGGTTCCACTTAATAAATTTTCAAATTGTTTACTTGATTGAAAACTGTTTCATCGGGACATATGAAGCTCCACCGGAACATTTGGCTTCTTCCGCTTGCGTAGGTAACGGGTAAGCAGACGTGAAACAATTGACAATCGTTTTCGACGTCGGCGTAGTATCCGTATGAACGTCCTTCGCAACTGAAAGAATCTTCAATGTTTGAACGAATGCTGGTTGCATTACTTGGTAAAGTTAACAAATTCGGTGGTAACATATCATCAAGAACCTAAAATTAACAAAGAAAATCGAATGTTATATTTTTAAATGCGTGAAAATGAATAAAACAAAAATCTTACTCTGCCGCTTGGTGCAGCTAATACTCCACTGCAGGCAACCAACAATACACTCAACACTAAAACAACCATCTTGAAACTTTAAAAACCGTTGAAAAACGCCAAAAACACAATAACTAATATAATTATTAAATGGATGAATGATGAAGTAGTTGTTGTTAGGTGTGGTGACTTGACTTTAGTGACGAAAAAAGTCCCGGAAACCTTTATATATCTTCGGAGGACGTGGAATGACCCATAAACGCAACCCGGCACGTTCGCGACGGCTTCTAAGACATTGGAGCTTATTAATATTCGAAATTCGTTTAATTGCATAGGTGCGCTTCTAGTGGGTGTTAAACAAATACAAATTATACGTTTAAAAGAGAAAAGTGATTTTATAATAATTTTCATAAATAGATTTATACATATTTTAATTAATAAATATATATTACAGAATATAATATGTTTTTAACATGCAACTTTTTAAGTAAATTGTTGATTACATTTTGTTATTAATTGGTTGTTAAAAGTATGGATCGTCTACATAAGCTAACAGTAAATTGGTAACGATCGCAACTTCCTCTCTCAATGATTCACACATGCATGAAATTATATTATAAATCACGAGTAAAACATTTATTGTTTATTAATTGTTGATAAGATCCCATAAAAAATACTACTAATACTTTCCTTTGTAGATGCCGCTATCGACATTGTATTCTTTGCCTTATACACATATTTTCATTGTTTTTTTCTTTTATTTGGCTGACAATTATTATAAACAATAAATTAACAACAAATTGCTATCAAATTATTACTAAAAATAGTTATAAAAATAGTATAGTGTTGAATATTAAGTTAGTTTAGTTGTAATAAATACATACTTAAAAATTCATCGGTATTATTTTAATGGCGCCATGTTTAAGTATTCATGACATATGGACGACGCACCAAAATGTGTGTGATCATCAATTATTTCATTTCTCTGCGTATCAAAGTTTTGCTATGCATTTATATTGCAGGAATTCTAAAAAACAGTAAACTTGATGTGATGGATTGCTTTTTGAATTCAAAATGGCTTCACACGCTACCAACATGGCCGAAATTCTCATGAATGAATTCGGGAACTCTAAGCATTAATATTCAATAAGGGTATAGACAGTTTTGGTGCAACGATGACGTGATTAGTTGTTAAAATACTTCAAAGTCAAATATTTTACCCGATGACGTTCGAACACATAACCTAGATTAAAAAATAATACATAACCTCTTTTGATCAAGATGTAATAAAATTCATTTATTGCAAATAATTTATATATTAATAAATAAATAAATATTATTAGTATAAAATAAATATCAGCACTTAAATAAAATAAATACGTATATCGATGTCATAACAATGTCACGAATACAATTTATAAGATATAAAATCAGAAAATCCACCAAGATTTGTTTCGTTGTTCGTGTCTTCAAGTAGAAAAATAAATACTAATTACAAAACGTATAATTAAATAAATATTGCTTCAGCAGTAAATCTGCTGTACGTATAAACCTAATCCTTTAATTGTCAGCGCCATTTTGTCTCCACCATTCGCAAATTTGCAATTTTCGTTTCTATTCATTTATAAACACATTAAATCGATAATTAATTAAACAATAATTAAAGGACTAGATCGCTTATTACTTGGTACTCATCTTCGTTGTATTGTAAGTGTAAGTTTTGTTTGTTAATCAGGTCCAAGCGTAACTGGCAACCCTCGAAATACCAACAAAAGTCTAAGTCTTCTTCTCTTAGAGAAGATGTGAACAGGTTTTGTTGAGAAATTAGAACCAGCTCTGTGATTCTTGGTTTTCAGGCTTCTGCTTACGATAGGCAACATCTTGAGCACTGCCGGTTTTCTCTTCTTCATCATAGGCACGTCCCCAGTAACCACCGCCATGATGATAGCCCTCATCTTCATTTTCGTAATGGTGTTGATGTTGAGCGTGTTCGTAATAAATTACTTTTTGTGGATGATGACCCTTCTTCAGGTCGAGATAGAAACGCGCTGCGTTGATGAGGAGACCAGCGGCAGCAATGGCAAGGAATTTGAATTGAAGATGAGCGGCTAAGATTTTCAACAGGAGTGTAACTTTGCCATAAACAACAATGCCAAGGATGAGCAACTTGATAATGGCCTTGATCTTCTTCTTCTTTTCCTTCTTCTTCTTTCCACGGGCTTCGGAAGCTAAAAATATCATATTTTAGTAATTATTATTGGTTATGTAATAGTTTTAAGAAAACTAACCTCCTTTCTTCAAAGATCTGCTTTTGTCAGCTTCCTTTTTAGTTTCTGTAACAGCTGAATCTTCTTCATCGTCTTCTTCTTCATTATCATCAGCGGCAACTTCTGTGGGATCTTCACTTTCAGATTTTTCGTCTTTTCCATCCCGGAAGAAACCAGCAATGCCGTGTTTGAAGAAAATATCAGAAATCTCCGATATCATAGAGGAGATAGTCTCCATCAAAGCTGACGGCGTTTCTCCAGAGTCAGATTTTCTTCCGGTCATCAATGCGGCGTTGTCTGCTTCAACTGTCAATTAATAAACATAATTAATTTTGTGAAATTTAGCAATTATTATTAACAAGGTTAATTATTTGCGCATATTGTGCTAGTTGCAAACGTTTAAATTATTTTATTGTTAGCAGCTTTTTGGAAACTGCAAAATTAGCAATAACTTACTAGTAAAATGTAAAAAATAGAAAATTTTTATTAACAAAATAAACAAGATATAAATTAATTATGATATTTGTCATGTGTAACAAAACGGTGAAAATTCAACGAACATAATAAATTATTATTATTATCAGCTTCCCAAGAAGATGTTTGATGCGGACGATAATTTAAATAGAGTTGCAAATAAAGTTTAATGCCTCGTGGGCAATTAATTAAAGACAACAGGTGTGAGGCGGTGCGAGGACAAGTACCCACTACCTTTTTTCTTTTCTTTTCTTTTCACTCATACTTTTAAAACTGAGCTTAGTCAGTTCGCAAATGACTTAAGTTGATTGCTGCTAAGTCTATGAGTGTAACTTTAGATTTACGGTTAACAGATTTTTATTAGCGAACAGCAATCACGGTTATTAAACGAATTATGCGAGCGGCTGCTGTGTGTGTTCCACAACAGGATGTAAGTAGTATTTCATCTGATTCGACTCGCATTGTGTGTAAAAATCAAAAGTACAACAAAAATAAAACAGAAAACAGACTATAACATTAAGATTAGTTTTTTAGGTTATAAAACAAAATATACTACTTAGAAACACATTAATATGAAGTTATCAATTGTCAATTTTACTCGTAATCATGCATGTCATGATTTGAACTACTACGCATGCGCACTACATGATTTGCAACTTCATCAGATCAGATTGAAGATAAATCCATCAAACATTTCATTATCTAATAATGTATAGCCACCACGCACAGTGATCCAGTTAATAAACTTAATAAACACCCTCACATCCTCTTAAAACTAGTCTTTCCTTAATCAAACACGCAGAAACTGTTATAGAAAAACACATACTGTGATCTAACAAAGATTTTTATGGTTCTCACAAATTATAACTGATCTAAACTCCCAAAAACCCAAAATTTTCTGTAATATTTCTCATGTCGTGAGTTTCGTCGAGTATTAGCACCACACTTTACTGCTGCATATCATTTTTATCTTCGGAATGAAACAATACCGTCTTGTAAATTGTAGCGGTGCACTGTACAAGCCGATGAATGGGCAACGCGCAGTGAAATTTGAGGTCAACACTGCGCGCGTCAGGTAAGAACGATTATCTGTCGAAGAATGCCGTCTGCTTTCACGTGTGAATCAAATATACGAAACACAAAAAAAGAAAGGAAAGAAACTCGACTTAACTAAACATAACACTTTTTATTACTTAAATTAATAAATTTTACGCAGGTACATTTAGGTTAAATTCCAGTATTAGGTATTAGTATGTGTATGTATGGTTGCATAGATAAGACGGTGATATATGGCGCATGCACCGCCATGTTGTTGATATCACAGTGGAAGCTAATCGTGTCGCATGTCAGCGATAAATTTGCTCGCGATCGTGTTCATTAGGCACCGTTCGACGAGCGTTTGCAAACAACGAGTATTTAGCCCAACGGCGTGAGATGGTTAGGCAAACAAACGATTGAACTTCTGGTCCTTGCGGAAAATACTCGTATAAACGATCGGACTGTTTAGAGATGCTAAGATGCGTCGATATGCAAATTAGCGTCATCTGGCGCTGCAATTTCACACACATCAACACATGATCTTTCTTCTTTCTTCTCTGTACAGGAGAGTATTTACCAATAGATTACAATTTGTTAGAGCTAACCTCAATTGAAAACACCAAAAAATTTTAACAACACGTAATGAATTGGTTGCATAACATCTGGCAATAATGTACGTCTAACTCTTTTAAAATAAAAATTTAAATTTAAATCTTTATAGTTATCTATGTACATATTATATTAATTTATATTTGTTTATTTCCCTTGTTTCTTAGTTACTTTTCGTTTTCTTTGCGTGCCAAATAGAATAATTACATTTGTTTCGTTCACTTCGTTACGACGGTATACATTTTTGTAAATTGGCTGTAGTAGAGGAAGAATTATTACCAAAAACAGTTAGACGGTCACGTTTTACACACTCACTAGGACGACATAAGAAGACTTCGACTGGAAATAATCTTAAACCCAACACCTAAGGCGCTGCTGTGTGCTGATGGCGACGATGGCAGCATATGTTACTGTTTATTAAAAAGTTACAACTTCTTCCTAACAAGCATAAGATATGCCTTCCTCTCGTCAATGTGTTCATATGTTCATCGACTCCTTGTGTTTGCAAAGCGCGTCATTCCTCTGCGACGTCTCCGATTAACTGTTATGTTATAATCATGCTATTCGAATTCATTTTTGCAATTTTTAGTTAAACGTTAAAAGTTAAACTATGTTATGTAAAGTTTGAATTCTAATTTGAATTATTATCAAGTTCAAGTACAAATAGATATTTATTTATTTATGCTAATTAGTTTCAGGATAGGTAAGTCACATAAGTCACTTTAGTCATAACATACTTATGTTTATGGAAGTGCATATTGACGCAACCAACTTAACCCACAATTGGCAATGTGCAAGATTCTTGAATTTAAGATTAAACTAACAAAGTTGAGTTTTCCTGCCATTTATGTTTCATCATAAGTGGCCTGACTAATTTTATTAGTTTACTCACACATTTCTAAGATAATTTGCATGCCAATGCATTTTTTGCAGTGTTTTATTAACATAACCAAACATAACCTCATAACTTTACTAACGACATGGTAAAATTAATTTAACTTTCTTTTATTAATTATCACATGAGCAGTATTTACCGTTGAGGTTATGTCAGTGTAAAATAATCTTAATGCCTCAAAGTTAATATTTGACACATTAAAATGAAAAGCAATAAATTTTAGAACTTAAACTAATCGATGGACATTTAATATCGTAAATCTAAATATGTGTCTAAAATTAAACGAATAAATAACCGTTATGTTTTATTTCTATTTTAAATTTAACTGTAATTGAATAACTTTTAAAATATTTGCACTCAATCTTTGATTTTTGATTTTTGAACGTTTGACACACCTAACTACGCGTTTAAAGTAAATTTGGAGCCGCGATTGAGCGCGTGCTAAGTTGTACGCGCATGCGCAGTACAAATAAGTGCATAATAACTCATTCCAGCTAAGTAAAACAAATGCAGTCGGCAGTGCGAAGCATTTCTAACAATAGGGCATGAGGACAAATAGACAAATAAACAAAAGCCAACATTTTCCTTATTTATTCGCATGTTTACTTAACTCGCATCTAAATGTATAAATTATTCACTAGCTTGTGTTCATGCGTTTTATGCGTTACTAAATGTTGCTTCATCGCCACGGTTTGCGGTCAAGATCAAAGCCATGCGGCACTTGCGTTTAAGGAAACAAGAACTCAAAAACTTTTAAAGGCGCGCATACATTTTAAGTAGATTTTAACTCAAGCCGCAAGTCCGTATTGATAAACGTCGGAATTAAAAGAATAAAAAATACGTAAAAAACACGCTACGTATCAATTTGCCTCTGGGGACACTTGACCTACTGCCCAGCACGCATCTTTTTAAGAGATTATTGATGACAAACCCAAAACTCTCCTCTTCGTACACCGAAATTACCCGATGCGGTTTTTTACTGGACGAAATTATAATTTTATCCGATGAGTATACAGAAGTTGGACTTGAACACGTTTTTCAATGAATGTTAATTATATGCTCGACTTCGAGAATGTTCGTTGATCACTGACCACGCACTTTGATCGATGATGATGATAATCAATAAACTGGAACGCTCTGCGTAAGCACGTGTTGGTGCGGAAAAGAAAGAGTGCCGAGGAAAGAAATGTGTCGTAAAATATGTTATTAAATCAAGTGAGGAGTGTCTAAAACTCAAATTAAAAATGTATCAATCATTTTTATTTATTTTTAGCAAATTTGCACTGATACAAACATCAAAAAGTAAGAAATTATGAAGAAATATTTAATTTTTTCTTATATTATTTGCTTGACTAGCTTGAAAATTACTTAATTGAATGTTTTGATGCGATTGACGGTGATTATTCATCAGTAGCAGGTCATATCTCAAACCAAACAATTTTGTTTTTACGTGGTGTTGGAAGTGATGTTAATAGCACATCAGTAGACAAGTGATCATTAATTTTGTTCCTTTTGGTAATTATGTTTCCACAACTCATTTGCATATTTAAAGAATCTGAATAGGACACACATAGCTGTTTCTGATTTTTATTCCTGATTCCTAATCCATACTTAAATATGTAAGTATTAATTAAATCTTAGGAAATTTGTTTTATCAAAAGCCTAAATCTATCTTCTGTGTAAATAGACATTGATAAATTTAAGATTTAGATGATTTTTAAGAAATATTTAGTTCAAGGCCATTTATTAAAAAGTAACCTAAAATTTTATTGGAATGCACTGTGAATAATTAATTAACCAAATTAGTGAAGATGTTTGTGTGTTGCTGGTGTGTGGTCAGTGTGACCGATTTAAATGTTCAATATTCATAATTATGCACATCAAATATAGTTTTGGTTATGTTAATAATTTGAATATTTTTAAATTCTTGTTAACACGCGATTTTGTTATTAGATGTTAACCTACAAAATGGAACTTTTTAGGTAAGCACTTAATTAAGTTCAGTTTTTGTTATATTTGTTACAATTCTCGATTAATCTGAGTTTGATTATAGTTTTAGTGATTTGAAGCATGAAGGAAGTTTCTTCAGAAATAAACAATTAAGCATAAATAAAATTAGGTGAATGGTTTAAAACTTTCTTTGCTTACGCATTTGGCCAAAAGTAAGAATTTAATTAATTTTAGAACTCCTAAATACATACAATTAATTAATAATTGTTTAATTATTAAATTTGTATTATCAATTATATTTTACTACGACTTTTTGCAAAGCTTTGGAGCATTTTGCGCACAAAAATATTTTTTAAATAAGAAAATATAAATAATGTAACACCGCTATGCAAAAATTTCATAAATCAAATTATAAACAATTAAATTATTGTATAATCCACAATTAATTTGGTTCCCATCATTTCAATATAAATCTCAATCAATTAATCATTGTCTTGGCAAATTAATCTCCTAATTATAGCCGTCCACGAAATATGTAACGTTTATCTCATTATAAATCTAGGTTAAATCTTTTGTTGAAAATTAATTTCGTTACTAAACCAATTTTTAACAATGTAATTGACATAATTCACTAACAAACAAGACAAATTACATAAGATGAACTTAATTCATGCTAATAGATATCTCTATTGTTAAGAAGTAGGTGATAAACGAACAAAACAGTTATTTCTAAATAATTTTTAACTTACTTAAGAATTTTTGATGTTTGGCAACAACGATGTCTTCAGATTTGTCCAAAAAGCACGCGATGTCCATCTGCCCAGCGCATTTGACCACCTCCAAATAGCTAAGGATCTCCTGTCCTTGCACTGCGCTTCCACCAGCAGCAAAACACGCCGTGAACACGACGGCGACCAAAACTAATTCCCGCATCGTAATTTCAAATACTGTCAATTTTAAGTTTCACTACACTACGCCTGTCTCGCGCTGATGTTTTCAATCCGCGTGCTGGATTCTGCAGATGTAACTTAACGAAACGAAACGAAACTAGGTAATCGTATCAGACTGGTTCGCTTCCTTCCTCAACGTGTGTGAAGAACGAGAAGAAAGCGGCGTGTGGAGCGTGTGTGCTCGCCTTGAACTTGAACGCGCGTCTGAAGGTTGCGGATCGCGCACGTCGCACTTTATAAAAGCTTTGGCGCGCGCCGGCCCACCGCGAAGAAGACGCGAAGGAGTTGCGGAAGAAAGCGCGAGCAGGAGGCAGAAAGTGCAAAAAAGAAGAACTCACTAATTTACTCTTAGACTTTAAACCAGAACCGCAAATATAACAAGTAAAAAACTGGAGGTAAACATGCACTATCTTCAATCAATATCAAATTTTATTTTAATATATTAATTTGTATATGATCTACGGCTACTAAGATGAGTGCGTAAGAGATGAAGTGATGTTATGTATGCGGAGGCAACGCTTGGTTCACTTACAAGAAAATATGGAACAGCAGCCGCCGCGACTCTGTTGAAATGCGAGACGAGCAATAGTCGATATTCATCGGTCCAGGGATGCATGAAGTGAAGAGACACGCAATCGTCATTCAAGCATTCCAAACATTCAATTCTGTTATAATATCGTTCAAAACGATTGCATATTGGGTTGCCTAAGTATTTATTTTGTTTTTCGCGATTTACATAATATAAATCAATTCATTCTTTGAATTTTCCGAAGTTAGGCACGTTGATAACATAAATAGTTTACAAGAAATGCATAATGCATTAGAAGACGATGCGGTGACAACTTTCTCATGCGATTTTCATGTTTTGCGTGCGCTTTTCGTAAAATCTTATGAATGATATTCAGTGGTTTGTATTCGTGCGCGTTGTAGGCCAATTATTCTCTGTGAACAAACCAGTAGTAAATTGTCTCCTTCGACGACATGATCGAACACTTTTGCAGCTTGTAATACATTCTTTTCGAAGATGTACAATGGAAGTCGCGCGGCATCTTCACGATGGAATTCGTTAAAAAGTAACCGGCGCAAAATGTGCGGAGTTTAAAAGTTAACAAGTTAAAAGTTGCAAGCAGAGAGGCTGGTTTAAACTGCATGAGAGTTGAGATTAAGATAATAACTTAAATAGTTTCACAGTTTTCACAATGAGAAAATGTTGCTGTAGCGGTTTGTATAGGAAGGATTTGCGGTCCTCGGATGTGTAAATTTCGTTTTCTAGGACGCTGCAATGGCGGTCGACAAGATGGCCGTAAAGCACCGTAAAGAGACAAATGTTTAATACTGGTTTCAGCAACGTTGGTGTTCAAAAACGAGCGAAAATACAAAACCATTATTTTATAGATTTTTTTAAACAAACAACAAATTTTTTTTAAATGTTTGTTTATTTATGAATAGAAATATTATAGTTCATTATGACAACAGTTGGTACATTTATTCAGTTTCTTATTTCCATCAAATATTTTATCATTGAAGAGAAGAAATTCAGCTATTCAGTAAAATTTAGACTAGAATCGAAAGCGCATATTCTTATTCGACTTCTTGGCTTCCGTGGACTCTGTGTCTTCATCCACGATGGTCATAAACCATCGGCACACGATGCACTGTGAACTTTACCCGGTTTTACCATGTAAGGTCTCCGTTTTCCGTTTTCTATTTTACTATTTTTAACCACATCTTTGCAGCAGATTTCAACACGAATATCGGCAACCAGTTATGCAGATATCAATGCATAAAACATCCTACGTCGTGCGCAAAAGGAATTTGTCCGACAATCAAGACAACAATTGAATTTATGAATAATAAACACAATGGAAAATAATGAGATATAAACAAGAAGCAATAAATATTTAAAATCAACAGCATATTTTAAATAATAACTTTTACAACGCAGTTTTTCATTAAAACTCTTCTAAGAAGAGTAAATCACAACATATGTATTTAGTTTTGGTTAATACTTTAATACTTTCTTAAGAAAACCTAATTTTACTTCTTAAAGTTATTTATGTGAAACATCCGGTAATATAACCTCTATTAGAATTTTACAACTTCATTATCAGTATTCGGTATTGGGAACTATTGAAAACAAAGTTTAACGAGCACTAAAGTAAATTGTTTCTTAAATTTTATACATTTGTTGAAACGATATTCTCGGCCCGAATATATTCCCCGCTTGAGTGTTTCCACATTTTCGAATTGTGATGTCTCCGCGTCCGCTGCACTAAAATGCAAATTTAGCAAAATCAACTAAAAGTGTTGACGTTGATGTTTAATAGTCGATATCAAATGGGTCAGTGGTGAAGCGACTGACTGTGACTGAATCCTCGAAACGTGCACACGTTCAATTAGCGCTTACAATAAATATAATCAGCAACCGTTTCGAGTGGATTTCAATAGAAATTGCAAATATTAACCAGGCGCATAAGGTGTAATAAGCAAACACCGAACACCAGAAACTAAACAGAAAGTGCATGTCCGTTCTATAAATTAAAAGCTATTTTAACATTTTAGCATATTTTAACAATTCTAGCAACAATTATTAACTAGTAATATATGGTTGTGATCGTTAATGAGTGCGTATATGTTTGGAAATGTTAATAAAGTTAATAAATTAATTTCTGGTGTCAAGATAGCACAAAATATCCGATGATGTGTGAAATAATGTGCAAATTATTAGAAACAAGTAAGTAGGTAATTTACACATGACTTGTCTTATTTAAGTGTGTGCAAAGTTAAGTCAATGCGACTTAAGTAAGACGTTAGTAAATTTACACAAATATTTTTTGATTTTTTACTAATTTTTTGTAAAATTTTGCAAATATTAATAGAAAACTATTTGGCAAAGTAAAAAAAGTTATTATAAAGTTATCACTACATATTTGAATTTTAGATTGAGTTTATTTTCAAGTTGAATCACAATTTAAATTAATTTGCTATCAAATACCTTGTTTCGCATTCTAAGTAAAGTCAATATGACTTAAGTAAGACACCAGCTAACTTTAAATCATTTTTTCGTAATTTTTTCTTTAATTGCAAAATTTTGCAAATTCTGATCGAAGATTTAGTTCAATATAAAAAAAACAATTACTACTACACTTTTTATATTTTAGGTTAAGTTTGTTTTCAATTTAAAACCTAATTTAAATTAATTCAATATCAAATGTCATGCTTAACAACCGAAGCGACTTAATTTAATCATGACAGAAAAGTCGTCACTGATTGCTTACACTTTTTCTTTTTTGACGCACACATGCTTATTAAGTAGTATACTTTTACTTCTGTTTTCTGTGCGTGTGCCCAGAAGATGAAAGATACCGACTAATGCGCACACTTCACACTTACTAAGTATGAACAATTCGAGTATGCGCCTTGATATGTTGAACTTAAACCAGCGAATCTAAGATTTTATCGAATAGTTATCGTAAATATTGAGATGTATAGAGATGTAGATTGAAAGAATGTCGAATGCTGTATGTCGGATAAAATTATAACTTTTATATCCGGCAGCAGAAAAAAAAATAAGACTGTTACTAATAGAAAAAGATGTTGCAATGAAAAATTAAACTAGAAAAAGATAAATATAAGAATAATTATATAGAATAGTTTAGTTTGTTTTTTTTTTTTTTTTGGTTAATTTGTTTTGAAGCAAAGAATACTTTCAAACTTCCATTTTTTTAGGTTATAATGGTTCAAATTAATTTATTAAACAAATAAACCTATTATTATTATTTACAACAACAAAAAAAGTAAAATAATTATATTTAATAATAATAAAGCAGTTAATTATACAATTTTACAAATAATATCGCTATTAATTCAAAATAACTTAAAATTTAAATTTTAAAATATAGGTTAACTCATAACAATGATTGATGTAGCAAAAAAAAAATCAATTTAAATAATATCAACCACAATTAATTAGTTAAAATATTAAAATTTTATCAGATTAAACTATGATTGATGAGCTTCAAAAGTGGTGAACACATTGACACAATTTTTTCCTCTCGCATTTTTCATAATTTAATTAAATTCCTTAAACCACTAAAAGTAGGACCAGAAATCGACTTCTAGGAACATCCAATCTCATTAGTCATTCATTCACCTTACCATCCTCAAGCAATTCACAAGAATTCTTAGTGTCTCCGCAATGTACCTACAATTTTTTCTTCCACCAGCGTGTCGCGTACGTCGCTCGATTATAATTTATTTTAATCAAAACTTTCCTTCAGCACCAATGCATTTGCATGTGCAGCGGCAGTTCGTAATTGCGATTGAGAGCAATGGGACAAAACTAATGAAACTTTAAACCAAGCAATGATGTTAAATCCAGCGTAAAAATCTCAAAAAGTTAATAACTCAAGTCGTACAGTTGTATAAATCTATCTTTTCCCCTCAAGACATGCAGTATGGGAAACGTGGCGACGCACTGGAGGATAAGTCACATAAGTCATTCGAGAGTAATTTATAACCAATGAATCGTGCGTGGATTTTATTAGTTTTTTGTTGTTTTGTTGATAATAAATGCAAATCTAAACGAACACACACAGAAAGGTCATGCGATGTGCGTTTAGCGCGATTAAGGTCTATTAGTTTTGTGTGCGCCTGCGCGAAGTAGTTAAATTGACTCTCAGCAATGTCCTTTGCGCATAATTTACGAACGTGTCACTTTGTTGATGGCTGTAAACATTTGATAAGTTATTTGAAGACAATTTCTATTGTGATAAAATTTATTATTACTTTTATTAAGGATATACATAAATAAACAATACAGAGATTCATTATTATGATAAAATAAAAAACTAAAAATCTTTAAAATGGTTTTTATTTAATTGTTTTGTTATTATTTGTTCTATTTCGTTAAAATTGTTCACTCATCTTTGACTCTCGTTTGACCAAAACAAATGAATGATTTTTTATCGATAAACTTCACTGAACTTACATGTAACTCAGTCAAATTGCTTCAAGTAGTTATTGTAAGTAGTTTACTTACATTTTTCTTCTAATTCACCAACTGAATGTCTCACATACTCGATACTTCCATGATTGTTGATTTTCTTTACTCTTTGCTTGTTCACTTCTCCATATCCACGTCCGCGTGATTTTCTCCGAGTGGACAACTCGCAAATTCACTTAGCGAAGATTTCAGAGCGTGAATATGTCACTGTCTGCGCCAACAGAGCCGTTCTTAGTTCATTGCATGTCTGTGTCCTCAAATTTAAAAGATTTGCAATTAAATACCAAAACTTAAAACTTTAAGTACTAACTTACTCATGGGTTATTTGTTTATTTACATTTAAGTACACTTTCTTGACTAATAATGTAGTGATTAGTAAAATAACTCAACGTCCAGTAAATGGATATATTGATTAATATCATCTATTAGCAACACGTAGCTATCGTTAAGTATCTGTGAGTAATGTCAGAGGTTTGTTAAACTTAAAGAATTGTTTGATTTGTGATTTGATTTGATCGTCACGATCCGTTGATAAAGTGTGGAAGCATTTGGAGGCTTAGATAGTAGCCTTTTATGTCAAAAGCCATTGACGTTTTTCACGGCGTTCGGTTTTCCAATTGCTTTTCATGACCGTGTCAGTCGAGTGCTTATGATAAGCATCACGTTCTCATCCATGCAGAATGCAAATATCAACGTTGCAAAGAGGAAAAAATTCGAACAATAGAAATAACAGATAAATATTTGTATATTGTGTTGCCTAGCTTACTCAATAGGTAAATTTAACCAAAATGCTTTTATTATATTTTCTAGTATTACATATTATCATTGATAAGTAAATTATTCTCAACCTTAATACTTTAATCTTTTTTTTTTAAATTTTCATGCAAAATGCAAATATTTGTACATTGTGTTGCCTACCTACTCAAAATATAACCTTAACCAAATGCCTCTATTATATTTTATAGTAATACTAGTTAAAATTGATATGTAAGCTAATCCTAACCTCAATAATTGAATCAAACTTTTTTTAAGTTTTTTTTTTATCTTCTTTCATTTTCTTTAATCTCGTTTCGCCTGATTTAACTGGAATGTAAGCTTCAATAAAATTTGTATTGAGTTTAGTAGACTTAAGTTGAGCTAACGTGACTTAAATTTTGAACGTGGGCCAATATTAAATAAAAAATCATTAAGTTATTAGAACTTGGGAATAAAAATCGTTTTAAACTAAAGATACTATAATTAAATAGACTTAAATCATATAAAATCATCTTAAATAAAAGTGAGGTCAGGTGTAGGTTAGGATAACGTAACTAACGTAACTTTAATTTACCCAAATTTATAACAATGAAGATTTTATAACCTTAATAATGTGATCACAGTTCAATATTAAAACATAATTCATCACCTATTATGCACGTTATTACTTAACTTAAGGCAATTAATTTTTTCTAGGTTAAAAAATCCGTTGCATTACGCTTTTGTGTTTACATTGTAAGAATAAAGATTTTTCTTTACAATTACAAAAAATATATATAAAAGAAACTGGTTGCCGATGAAATTGTCTCACCAAGCCAGTTTTAAGCCAATAACCAAAATCAGGTTGTTAATAAATATCGTGCAGGTTGGACTGCATGTGGCTTAAGAATGCAGGCTGCAGGATCAGATGGTAGCCCGTTTTCCGAATGCAATTCGCGAATGTGACCTAGATATTTTCGGCGAAACACGAAACGCGACGCACGAAACCTGCAAAGAACCGTTTTAATCGATCGATTGAGACTCGCGCTTAAAAAGTCAACTTATTTTTTCGTTTAGTGGGCGTTTTACGAAACTGCTTATTTAAAATTCTCCGCATGCAAAATTAACATGAGTTGAATCACTTAAGTCAAATAAATTTAAATTTTGGTAAAGTAAGTAAAATCAAAGTGACTTAAGTCATTCTAAAATTGACTAGTGCTTAAATTCCAAATTTTATGGATAAATTCAATACATGGGTTGAATGACTTAAGTCAACTAAACTTAAATCACTAAAATATACTCATCAAGTTAAGTCATGTTCAAATAAATGAATATTTATTAATGTAACCTTGACTTATATTTAAGTCCCATTTCCTTTTTAAGTTTAGAAAATAATGTTTTCCCATAAACCTCATTTTATTGCTATGTGATACATGACTCATATTAAAATTAAACAACAAAAGAATATTCTTAGATTATTAGGTCAAGTTTGAGAATATTTTCAAACCACATCTTAAATGATGGTGTCAATGTGTCATCATTTCGTTAGCGACTAATTTATTCACCACATTCAAGCCTATTGTCAAGCTGTTTTATAAATAATAATTATATTCGTAGTATTGTTGACTTATATTCAATAAATACTTAAGTCAGGCGTCATGGCGTGTCAGTTGGAAGTTACCGTCTATAATAACTAAATAACTAAATAACTAACAACCGACTTAAGTCATCAAAGTCATCCATACTTAGGAATATCGTGGGCAGTTGGACCATGCGTTTCACGTTTCCGTTTGGGACGTGCGCTTCGCTTGACTTTTGCAAACAATAGCGGTAAAAGTAAATCGTGTGAAAGGCGCCAAATTGGCTTCCAGTGTAAATACTGCGTAGATGATATTTTGTTACGATTTTTATACCGATAGTTTGTAGGTTATGCGTTGTTCGTCATAATACCTACTTACATATTTTACACGCGTTTCTGTAGGTGTATTATAATAATTTTTGGGACTTTCTCACCTCATTCAGAAATAATAAAATTATATGAGTTTACGCATTGTGCGTTAATTTGAAAGCTCGACAATGCGTGAAAAAATTAATTTCTAATAATTTTTTGATTATTTTATTTTAAAATAATTTTTTGTGTTTGCTGTGTATATTATCATTTTTTTTGTTATTTTTTATACAAAAAGAAATTAAAATATTTGAGTTTCTTCTCGTTGGTAAACATTTATGCGTACTTTTATATCCTCTAATTAATGAAGCACGAACCAACCTGTTTTTATCGACCATTAGTCCGGTTGTTGATCTGGATTTAACACCAATTAAATTCGTTAAATTATCAGTTCTTACTATAGATTTTTGGCTATAATTTTGAAACCAATAAATTAGCATACCTACGATTTTTTCATCTGTAATCTTTAGACATGTGCCAGTATTAATAAATACTTGTACGTGATATTGATACGATTAAATATATAGTTTTTAAAATATAAGAGAAATTATGTTTTAATTGATTAATGAGGATGATTTTTAGTTTGCTCTTCGTGTTGCGTGTATGTTGACAAAAAAAATGAGGGAAGTTGAGTGCACGCACGTTCTTGACTCTCAGAGCGCGGTTTGGCGGTGTGGCCGGTTTGGTAGTTTGGTGACTTTAACGACACTCCGCCGAAGAAGTTACCATTGACCAGACGCCGGCTCGTGCTTGTGGTTATTTTATTGACCCAGTAACCAAAATTACGATCGTGACCGTTGACCGTCATGCGACAAGTTATTTGTTAAAAATAAAAACTATAAAAGATGATTTTATTGTTTTAATTGTTAAACTTATAAGACTTATAGACTTACTGCTTATTTACTTTATTATTTCTCCTTTTGTGTATTATATTCTTCTTAAATGTTCTTATTTTATTATTATTCATATATTTTAGTTTGTATACAAATATAAAGTAACTACTTCAATTTTCTGAATTGGATAGCATGCAGACATTGTATATATGCAACATTGCATACATTCTTAGTTAAGCCACTAATGTAGGCATAAGCCTTCGGTGGTGAATAGAATTAAATTTCTCAATTCGCACGTCACTGGATTTAATCAAACATTATGGCTGGGCCATAAATCTAGGAAAAATGCTCATAGAATTTTTTTCAATGTAACCATTTTCCTTTCACGAGAATACAATTTTGTGTCGTCTTTAACGAGTTTCATCACGAGTTTCATAATAATCGCATGTTTATCGTAGGCAACTTAGAGTACACTAAATGTACAATTATGCAACTAAACGTAATACTACATTTTAACAAGTTTTGCGGTATTATTTATTAAACATTTATACACACAATTTAATAATAATACAAACATTAATTTTACTATGTAACAACAAAATTCATAACTAAAACGGGAAAGCATGCTTATTCTTTTGATTTAATTACATTATTTTTATACATTTCAAATTCTACTTTGATATTATTGCTATATAAATCATATTCCTATAGCTCAGTGGTTAATAATCAAAAACTAATGAAATCCTAAGATTTCTACTGTATTAAAAGTTCTGCAGAATACTTTTCGTAACGTATATTTACACAAATACAAGATTTTTTACATGCACTTAAGCTACACTACATACAATTTATTTTACAATGATATCATCAGTCGGTACTTAGATCTAACAAATATATAATTAATTAAGTAACATTAGTATTATAACAATTAACATTTCTTAAACATATAATAACAGAAGTAATGAACTTAATGTAGAAAATTAACAATTATTGGTTATTTGAAGTCACACACACTTAAATAATGACAACAATAAATTTTATAATAATAGATTAATTAACATATAGAATAAATTGGTTTACAATTATTCAGTAAAACAACTTTTAATGTTTTTAAATATTAAAATATAAGCACAATATTAACTAATAAGCTTTTACGTCAATAGAAATAGATTAACTAATGATAAATAAATTAGCAACACAATATTGAGCAATAATACTTCATTATTAACAAAATATGTCGTGAAACATTTTCTTATATTAATTTATTATAAATTGAGAATGGATTTTAAGGGTATTTGATGAAATAGGTTAGTAAGTAAATGTCAATGATTATTTCAGGACGTTTAATATTTTATTATGCATAATTTTTAATAAATATCATTCTAATTGATCCAATAAATAAATAAATAAATAATTTATACGATTCGTAACGAGATTTTCGATAGTGACATAAAAGCCACTTAAATTTAAGTGAAATAATAAATAATTTGCGATTATATTCAAGATGAAGATGACTGATACCTAAAAGCTACATGAATAATCAACATGAACATATCAACAAAAAAATAATATTTTTTTCTCAATATTTAAAAATAAATAAATCAACAAATCAAAGAGTATAGCCTACTCAATTTGATTGGGTGATTAATTTAAAGGAGGTGTGGCCTGATGTGGACTATCTAATTGGATTGGAAGGATCCGGTGTAACCACGCCCCCGGGCGTGATCCGTTTAGGATACACCAGCGCATGCCCACTGCGCTTTAACTCGCCGCCGATGAGGTCGTTGACGTTGAAGCCTAAACGTGTATACAAATCAATTAGTTCGACGCGTTCGGCGAGCGTGCGCGTCGCTTGCAAACCTTTGCTGATCCGCTCCGCCCACGACTGCTGTGCCCCGCCTGCTGGTTCATAATCCGGCCCACTGCCGCCCACACTATGTCCCCGCCCATATGCACCATAAGAACCACCTCCTAATCCGCCTCCGTGTCCTCCATGTGCACCGCCGTAACTACCTCCTCCTGGAGGCATGTCTGACGAATATGAATCATAGGAGGAGCTATACCCAGGCGGTGGATTATAACTTATATATCCTTCGCTGGAGTGATCATTACGATCTTTATGAACGTGGATATGAACAGGTGGTTGCTTCTGACTCTGCCAGCCGTGCATGTGGCCATGACCGCCACCATAACCACCGCCCCAGCCGCCATGTTGTCCGTATTGTTGTCCTTTGATGAAACCAATCTTTGCTAACCAACCACCAGCGTTTAACACTAGTAATATTATCCCTATCACAAGTCCTTTTAGGGTAAACATTGTTAAAAATCCAAGTGTTGTTGTAATCACTCCCAGTTTATACAAAAAGAATGGGATGAGGATTTTTAGCTTTTTAGCTGCTCCAAAACAACGACCTGTTAAAATAGAAAATAAAAAATATTATTTTATTTAACATATTGAGGTTAAATAAGTTTCTAAAGGTTTATAATAATATTTACCCATGAATCCACCGCCAAATCTATTCGATAAACTTGTCAACAACGATAAAAGTCCTAAAAGTCGACCTCCTGGTAGCGTAAAGTTGACAATTTGTGATGGATTTACTGATATATTCTGAACGATAGTGGGCGCTGGTGTCGTTGTCGGATCTTGTGCTTCACACCTCTCTAATATCATCGCAATCAAAACGAAATATCCCAAATACTTCCACATTTTGAGGAACTTTTTAATTTAATTTATTGATTTTTGGACTGCGTCTAGCTGTCAAGAGTTCTGCTGACTTTTCGACTGGTTTTAGGTTATGATTTAGTAATGCATCATTTGTTTTCCCTAAAACATTTAAAAAAATTAATAACAAATTCAGTATTGTAGGTTAAGTGTGCTATATTATAGAAATAAACCCGTAGAGGTTAGGTCAACGACAACAAAGTATTTTTAAAATTGTGTTGCTGGCCGTGTGTGAATGGAAAATTTTTAATTAAGCGGATTAAACGTCGTTTACAGCATTTGCAAAGTGAAAACGTGGAGACGGATACTTTTGCTTGTACGTGTAGCAAGTACGTTCGAATTTAAGTGGAGTGTGCTAAATTTCATTCGTGCCAAATAAGCACCACCATCTTGCTCGATGTTCGCATGTTCAGCTGAGTTTTGTTGTGGTTGCTTTTGTTTTACGTCGATTTCTACTCAATTTAATGTTGTAGCTCCTAATAATTTCAATAGCACAAAATGTCACATGCTGATTTTACAAGTCTTTTGTGTCATTTGCCAGTTTAATATTCTCTACCTATATATTTTTACGTGTAGATGTTTGATGTGAATAATTTCACTGCAAACATGTTAAGTACGGTCTTTCGCGAATTCCACGGAAGAAAAGATGAGACGATGTGAGATGAGAAAGAGTCGAAGAGTAAAACGAAACCTCATTCCAGTTTAAGGTGAAGTTGAAAATTGCGCACGCGCAAACAGCTGATGCAAAATGCATTTAAATGCATGCGCAGCATACACAGCTCGGACTGCTATAAAAACGGAGAAGAAAACGTAATGTAATATTAACCTCAAATGCCAATTCCATATTTTAAAAACGCTTTTCTTTAAATTATGAAAAAAGTTAGAACTATTTCTGGATTTACTTTCTGAAGCAAATTGTGAATCATTCAGTATTGTTCGTTTCTTGTAACAAAATGGCGTCTGTTTACGTATTGATGATGTTTTCTTGTGTTTTAATGTATTTTCTGTAAATTTTACTTTCAGCAGTGCGACATTCACCTTTTAAGAAAGTATAGATTATTTATTGTCTACTTAGCATGGTTATTAGTACGTAATTAACGATAACAGAAGTGTAATTAAATATTAAATAAGTGCATGTAGTCGATAGTGCAATGAAATGTGAAACATTGAGGTGTATCAATATCTCGGTTGATGAACCATCAAACGGATATCGTCAATTATTGTGCAGAATAAATTGTGATCCCATATTATATTTACATTATTTACACATTTACATGAGTTGCAATAATACTACCAAGTAATTTGAGCCTTCAATTTCAGCAATATTAATAATGAATTGCAAAACTTTTCTTCTAGTTAAAATTAAGTTTTATACAAAAATTTTGTCTTAAACCATCAACATATTGATGACTTACTTGATAAAACCTATTATTTTAACTTTACTCACTCTGTATATAACTTTACCACGTATTCATCATTTCTTGTTAGTTGTTTTTCTTAATTATTCTATTCTCGCATATATTGATAGTCCGCCTGGGTATTTCCACAATTATTATAAATAATTCCACACATTAGCATAAGTGAAACCGATGACCACTGGATAAATCAGATATAATCATAATAATATTATTATACGCATGTGTGATATGCGTGTTGTTGTACGAAGCTAATTATCAGTCAAATGAAATCGAAATGAAACTATTTCAATACTCTGATCTGCATTACTTTTGATTTATAACGTATTTATTTATGCATAAAATCAAAAAGTAGAAAAGTTGAATCACGCAGCATTTCACTCAATAAAGCACATATTGCATTAAAAACCGACTAACATGATCGTGAAAATTTCTCTTGTGGTCAGTGCATTAACTTTTCACACAGTTCAACAACTTTATTGCATTCATTTCTTGCGCTTGCATTCTAACCACAAATGTGGTGTCATGAGACAAGTCACAGAATCACATAGCGCCATCTATTAAAATTCAATGTCAAACATATTTTTTTAGAAGAACTTTATGTTTGATATCGTGTAATTAATATTCACATCGTTAAATTTTTATTTTCAAGATAAGACGTTGAAGTGAAAATTGATAAATACGAATTTCACTTACATTTCATTAATTTTAAGTTTTTAAGTTTTTACTGATTAATTAATATTTTTTACCAACAGTTCATGTTTGATACCGTGTAATTAATATGCACTACGTAAAATTTTTATTTTTAGGATAAATTTGATGAAGTAAAAATTGATGCATGCGCATTTCACTTACTTTTCCTTACTTTTCATTAATTTTATAACTTTTTACTGATTAATTAATTGCAATTGCATTTCCAACATATCAACAATTATGATTTGACTTAACCAACGATTAACTAATTAGGGCACTCGTGTTTGCCAGTTTTCTATTTCACTTTACCCGTCATATAAAAGTTTTACTAATAAAAAAAATGATACCTAGCGGAAAATAATTCGATTTCGATTAATTTGCCGTGATTAGCCGCGTTTTGCACATACTAGTGCGTGATTAATCGCCTTCATGCACATATGACATTCGAATTTAATTAAACATTCAGACATCTCTTCACTTTTGATTAATTTTTACACGACTTCAATTCAAACATTGAAAATTTCACGCAAAATTACGGCGAAAGTAGTTCAAATGCTTGATTATTACTTCAAAATAATAAATTAACATTTTGATTGATTTTGATTCACGCGCAGGCACTCACCTTCCACTCACTTGTTTAGATATAATCCAAAAATAAAAATCAATTGTTGTTTACTATGTGAAGATGTTTATGGGCGAGACGTCGCGGAACGACTGACAAAATTTCCTCCCGTTTCCACTATTTAAATCTGCGAAAAACGGTTCGTTGCCGAATGTGGAGCTCCCGCACCGCCAAAACCGCCAGATTTTTTTCCGTTGCACATCACCACATAACCTATATGGTGGGCATTCAAAAACGGCAAAAAGCCGCGTTTTTAACATTAGTGCAGTACACCAACAGCAATATTTGGAAATATGTATGTAAAAGAGATGGAAATGTTTTATTTTGATCTGATTTATACTAATGACGCACTTGCGCATGCGACCAGATATGAATATTTTATACATTTTTGTGCATCTGGCACGTTTTTGGTAATGTCCTGACCATAACTATACATTTTTGAGGTTAGGTGAATACCGTATTGCTTTATTATTGCCAGTGTGTGCGTTACGCGATAGTTTGTACATGGCGGATAAAAATTAACCACAAAACTTAAAAATTAAATTTTTATTTTTTTTAAATCTTGTTAATTCATTTATTAATACGTTAGTTGAGTTTAATAAATAACACTTCCTCTTGGAATTTAGGAAATTGTCATTAAACAATGCAATATACAAGTAGAGGTCAAAATTTAGCCCATCACATGTGATATCTACGTAAGAGATGGTGAAAGCGAGTAATGTTTGAGTGAAGCAATTGAAAAGTAGTGTTTGCTCGTCCAGTGTCAAGTTTGTCCAAGTGTTTTACGTTTGTTTTTCGGACGTTTATTGTATTTATTTAGGTTATGCGTACCTTGCTTGACATTATCTCGGTGCTAAAGAACACCGTCGTTCTTTATATGCTAACGCAAAATATAAAAGTGAACAATTTGGTATGAGTTTCATATTTGCATAACTTTCAAAAAATAAATTAGCACAATTCGTAAATATGCTTTAATTTTCTTTGAAATTTTCGAGTTCGTTTGTACGTGAACAGAACGTCATGCATCAGGGAATGGCTCTAATTTGACTTTCTTAAGATAGCCTACTAGCAACACTTTAAAAACTACTTTGCTTGGTCAGTTCACCAGTTTGTATGGTGCAGAATATCTACTTGTTCTATTTACCGGTTCAGTCAGTCAATGAATTATTTTGCAATTCGCATTCTTAATGCGCAAGGTGCAATGCGCAATTAATTAAAATACGGAACTTGAAGTAATACTTGAGACATAACTTGTAAAACGGATGTCAAGAGCAAGGTCAACAAGTTTTCTATTGGAAATACTTGGTACATTTTAAAGAAAGCAAAGTTTTTACACATTTTTAAGCGGAAGTAAAAGTATAATCGTCAAATTCAGTAAAAAATAAATTTTTAATTATTATTTTATTTCTGAAGCTAATAATTAATAAATAAAAACAGTTTTGAACTAAACTATTTGTATTTGTTAAGATTGTTGTTCAATTAACTTAATAACCCATAAATGTGTTTGCAATTATTGTTATTTTAGCACGAAATTCAAAGTAGTACAACTAAAATTGTATTTACAAGAATGAATATAGAGATACTTCGAGAGTTTAAACGATTAAGTTAATTTTAAGAACAATTAGTCACGGCTTGATTCTCAATTTCCTCAAAATTACAGTAATTACGAAGGTTACTGGTTCAATTACTGTCATTATCGTATGTTCAGTAAAAATACTTAAACAATTTATTAACAAATAGTTGTAAATTCAAATTTCTCTAAAAAATTATTTTGCATCAACTTTTTCTTTAATTACATCACACTTGGTGATAATCTGTTAATTTCTAATAATTTATTCAACAGATGATGAAATATCACATCAAAGATTTGGTCATCTAATGAACTAATCTTTTTATTATTCATTTGTATCGGTTTTGCTTATACTTAGTTGTTTTTCTACCTGCTGATCGACTTTCGATACAGTTACTTTTTTGAATGCCATCAAAAATTAGGTTAAACATTTAAAACTTCTTAAACACTGTTTAAACTCTAAACTGTACGCGGAACAACACAATTATTTTTTGCGAAAAGAAATGAACTTGATCTTGATTAACGTCAAACATAACCTAAAGATGTATGTATATATCTAAGACAAGGCCATTTCGTTAAAGATTAACATTAAACATTATATAACGAAATAACGTAAGCATTACTTATCAAAATTGTGTTTTAATCGTTACGAAATAGATTATAAAACAAAATTTGGGCCAGAATCACCAAAACAATAAAGATTTTCAGAAATGTTCACATGTGTCATTAACCTAACCTCAACTTTAACCCTAACGATCGTTACTCTTTACTCACTTTAGATTCTCTTCGTCTTTGACGATGCAATGGTAACGAACATCTCGGCACAATTAAACATTACACTAGTTTTGAAGTCTCACATCACAAAACGCACCCACACATTCACACGCACAATCTGTGCTCGAGCCGCTGATAACTTTTTGTTTAAAATATCTTGAATGCCAGATGATGAGTTGATGTGAATGCTTAATTTTAATGTTTTGCGTTTTACGTCATTTGTGGTTCGGGTCTGCACTCAACGTTGGTATAACAATGTGAGTTATTAAATATATTCCTCAATTTGTAGATTTCAATTCCGTGGTGGTTTGTGGTGCGCTATGTTTTATAAACGCTTAAAATCTTTCTAAGTCACTGTTACGCACAGTTTTCAACTGTTTTTAAACATTTTTACAGCACTATATTACACCACAGCATAAATATTACGCGTTGATGTTCAATTGTTTGAAATAAACCGCACTTGACGTAACTTTAAAGAGTTTTTACTGTTTTCACTGGTGTTTTCGGTGGTAGATTTGTATTTTTTGTCAAGATGATCTATTTGCGGATTAAAATGCGAGCCATGGTCATGGTCAAGGTTTGAGCGCGGCGCGAAGACGCGAAATGTGGCGCGGATCGGTTCGTCGATGGGTCGATGGTGGACGCTCGTGCCGAACGCGCCAAAGACGAGAAAGTTTCCGAGCGTCAGAAGGCAGAGCCGAGCAGACACACTACTTACTTACTAACTTGCTCTTCTTTCGCTCTCCATCCACACACATTGAAGCGGCAGGCCGCCGCAGTAACAACGCTAATAAGAATGAGAAGCTGAAGAAGCCGATGACTTATTTTCTCCTGCGTGAATTTCACACAAACGTACACACGTACGTGGAGCGGCTCACGTGAATTTGGTTTGAATTCATGTGTGAGCATGAATATTGCTCATGTCATGTCATGTGTGGAGGTGTATGTGTTCGCATTACTTTACTTAAGGCGCGTAGTTCGGAGACGATCGCATGGAAAGGGAAATTTGGTGTCAAGAGTGTACTCGATGTGGAGTATTTTGTGAATGTTGGTGAAGGACAAATTTATTTTGGAGACGGAATTGTTTCAATAAGAACTGTAAATGGGTTAACAATGTTTCATTGTTTTTATTTTTGGTTATTGTAAGAAATGCAAAAAAGGCTTTAAATGTTTCTTGGTGGTATTTTAGTTCTTCTAATATGCTGATCTCAGCTAAGTACTAATGTATTAAAGACTTATCAATCAAATATGTAAATATAATTATATTCAACGTAATTCTATGAATTGTCTGGTGTGACTCATTTCTTGAACTTGTTGGTTTGACATCAAAAAGGTGAAAAATCCGGTAATAAACTCTCTTCGAAAGGTATTTACAACTTAATAGGTATGCGTTGTTCAGTTTACAATATGTTAATAACTAAGAAGAGTTGTTCAACAATGTAGTGACTTAAGTGGTCAGATTCTCAACTGATTGACTCAGTAGGTACGCACCTATCACTAAATATGCAATTTATAAAGTATCATATTGTAAGTTAAATATTGTTGTCTTGATAAATGTGCCGGTTTTCATTATTTGTTGATTGTATGAACATAGTGTGTTTAGAAATGTAAATATAAACAAGGCGAAAAATTGATAAATTTTACGGATACGTTTAAAGTCAAATTTTATTTTGTTATAGTACATATAGCGTCACCTATTGATTAATAAACAAACTATATGCATTATTTCTGCGGCCTTCATTCGCCACGCGTCGACTAGTCGCCACAAAACAATCAAGTCTCATGTTTCTAGCAAAAAAGGAATAAATTTAAGAAAATGTTTGACATCTATCTTTAAAATCAAAGTTAAATTAGAAATAACTATTTTAAAAAATGTGTCTGTAAAGTTGATTCTGATGATTTCCCGTAATAAAAAGTGTTGACTTTTTTTAATCTCTTAAAACACGAAATAATTATTAAAAATATGGCGGAGGCGCCGACTATGTGATTTAATGTTTATAAAAATTAGCAAAAATTAATAAAACCATTGTAAACCGTGGCATAGTATAATCTTATTTCTATAACTTCCTGCTTAATAGTACTAAGGGTTTGCTATCTAGCATGTACTTGCCACAATGTTTAATCCTCAATTATCTGGCTATCTAATAAAGATAATCGAAAATGTAAAACGGGGTCATGTTTAGCATAGGATTCTAAATAAGATAAGATTTTAGAAAACGTATTTTTAAAGCTGTAAAAAATAAGTTTTCGATGCGTTTTCCTCCTGAACCATAAAAGTTTGAACTGAACTTTTTGCATTTTCTTCATGTCATAATAAGGATATATAAAATGGCAGTTTTAGTTTTTTGATTCTATAAAGTTGAACAAAAACACCCAAAATTAGTCAAGAGGTTACATTTGATAATTTTTTGGCCTTAAAACTCAAAATGCAGCTAGAACAAAATGAAAAACACCAGTCAATAGAGAATTGCAATGCGATCAGACATATTCAGTCAATTTTCCAATATCATCAATATTTAGGAAAAAATCTGCCAACTTTTCGCATTTTTGCGAAACTATTGCGCAGAATGACACTTGGTATTTCTTAAGTTTTCTTGCAATATTTTACAGTTTTTTTTTACAGTTCTTTTAGTCTAATACTTTCTAATACTTTCCGAAGAAGGTGAAAAATTCATTATTATTTCTCCATCATTTTTTAAGCAAAACTTTAAACTAGATATTTAAACTTAATCTTCTTACTTTAGAATAGATATCATAATTAAGAGTTAAAGCACAACAAAATCACCTTATATCCTGTAGCAACCTCCAAATGTTTAAAAATGACAAAATTCTTCGTTGTTTTCATTACCTTTAAACATAAATATTTACATAAATATAGTATTCAGCCGATGTAAGTGTAGTCCAGGGTACACACTTAAATAAGTTGTAAGTTATAACTTTAAATAATACTTTAAACTAGGTGCATATTTGAGTTTGTTTGTTGGCGACGTGGTGAACGAATAGCGTGCTGTACTTGTACTTTTGTACTCGCATATTTTATGCATGGTCACAACTCACAAATCAACGGCGACCACGAAATCACAATGCATAGGATGCGTGTGCATCATGCATCATGCGAAGCGCAGTCCTCGGTATGCAAACGCCGTAATTAAGTACAAGGCGCAGGCCAAACCAAGTACATTTTCAATTACGTAATGTGGTCGGTGATTACGTGCACACTAAAATTTTCATGCACGTACATCACGTCAAAACACTCTAAAACGGAAAAAAATATACCAAACTGGACAGAACTAGTATAATTTATAATTTACATTTAATATCATTAAATATTAAAATAAATATAATTAAAATAAATGTAAAAAACCAACCTGATGTAGTATTGATATAAATCCTGGAAATTTTTAAATGTCTCGTATTTTATGTTGAAATGCAGTAAGTGGAATCCATTTTGTTTGTGCCTCGATTGTTGTTTATTGTTGATGCGATGCGATGGCGATGGCGAGTCTAGTCGAGTCTGAAGGTGCAGCGAAACGACCTTGAATCTAAATTGCACTTTTTGTTTCTGCAATTTTATTAGTGATACAAACATTCGCAAAGACAAAAAACCTGAAAATCTTACAAAATATCCAGTTTATGTTCATCAAAGAACTAGATTCAAGCAGAAATTAAAAAAATATTAATGTACATTAATAAATTGCACATAAAACATAAAATTGTTAATTGTTTCAACTGTTACCAAGCAAACGTGATTACCGCATTCAAATGTCCACCATTTTTATTAGTTATAGATGCTCACGGATGTGGGGACGTTGTCGCATTGTGCAAATGTTTAATTACTCTATGCTCTATTCTGAAAATGTCGAGGGAAATAATTTCGCAATAAAAAAACCACCGATGACTGGAACAAACATGGACGTCTGACGTCTACTAAAAGTTAAAAATAGTACTTGACTTGTTCTAACTAATTGGACAGGTAGGTACGTGCTCAAACGACAATTGATAAAAAATGCAATAATTAGTTTAACTTATATTTGTAAACCAAAAATAAAATATTGGTAACTTACCTCAAAATAAGTTGTTTTAAATTCATTGGTTTTTCACTTTTTTTTAATTCAAGTGTTTTGCTGTTTAATTTAATTTAATACATTGATGCATATATGAGATTTAGAATTAACCTCAGTCAGGCTATGTCTAAGTTGAAAAAACGACAGACAAAGCCTAGGAGAGGCTACCTCTGAAATCCCTTCATTCACAAATATTAAATCTATCTCATCACTTAATTAACACTGCGTTATTCATCTGCCTGCAACTTTACAGAACTTTGTGCAACTTGGTGTAACTTTACGAAACTTTATAAAACTTTCCACAATGATGACACACAACCAGAAAATCTTTTTTATTGTCAGACGTTTACTTTTAACTTTACGTTTTGTTTGCAGCTGGGTAAGGCTTGTTTAAATTTGTTTTACTTCGAGATACTCGTTGGCGCATTGATGAAATTTGTTTGAATTTGTTCTAGTGAATAGTTGCGCGTCGCGCACCGCCCGAACGAATGTGCGAATCCGCGAAAAACCACGCTCTTATATTTATTAATGATAGATCTGCGCCCAGACGACAGGTACAGCCAGGCATATTAGACTATCAGGTAAGCACACATGAGAGAGTCCGCAATGTCCACTGCCAGTGCCATAAAAAAGCAGACTCACTCACACCAATATTCACACAGGTATAACAACAGCGACGCCACAGATACAAAACGCATGCATGTCCTTCTAAACAGGTATGGACTAACATAACTAACAAAATACAAATAGAAAAATACAGTTGTTCTTCTCACCTTCGCCATTAACAACCAATAGTTGCTTTAGTTCGCCATTATAACAACTTCCGTTAATAGTTTTTGAATATTTTGGTAAGTAGGCAACACACGAAACAATTTTAGTACATAAATTCACCGATACACATTTTAATTTATATTTTAAATCAAATTTCAATGGAAACAGTAAAAATCATAATTACGACACTGGATATAAACAAATTAATGTTTGTTGCTGTGCTGACGATGTTCGTGATGTCGATGCTGCTGTTAGACAAGCAAAAATAACGTCAGAAAAAGCGCAAGTTGAATCAAACAAATTTTAAAGTTGTTTTCTTCAAATTTGCTTTCATAATTCAAGATATAACTTAATATTAATTTATTATCAAAACAGAACATGAAAATTATCTGCAAAAGTACACAAATAAATTGATATGATGATTATTTTGACGTAAAATGAATTTTTATGTCATGCTAATTACAATATTTAATTGTATCTACAATTTACCATTTTCCACTCTTAATTGCACGTTGATTGCAAACGACTCCAATCGCAATTTCTCAATTTTTAAAATGCTTCGAATGTTAACAACTTTAGTTAATGACTAATTGCTGATATGATGTTAGCAAAGAGGAAAAACTAGTTTTCGATATCAATATCATTTATTGCTTTTCTGTACGCCGGAGTCATTCAATGTCGTCACGATGTCAACGATTAAATAATTTTCTAATTTTCTGTTTAATTGCTCAACGCATTCGTGCAACGTTTTTTCTCTCTTTTTTTGCAATGTACAGGTGTACTTTGCGTCCGCAATTTGTAGCGCGATGTGCATCAAGGACGTGCAATTATGTCACAGGCTATAACAACTACCAGCACACAGAGACACAACTGCAAATGGTGAATTCTAAATTGAAATCACATTATTTACAAAATTACCTACTTATTATATTAAATTGTTGCTTATTTCAGTAACAAAGTCGTATGCAAGCAGATGAAAATCGAATGCGTGCGTTTCAAAATGGCTGCCATGGGTTGATATAAGATAATACATGTGATTTTCTTACAACCGAGTCGCATTTTCCTATAAACTACAATAAAACAACAACAAGGTACAATTATATTTATTGTTAGAGTGCTGGACGCAATCGTCAGGAAAAAGTAAATAAAAGAATGGCATACAATTAGTCATAAAAATGGCATGGTGCATGCTGACCTTGAGTTTTCATTCTATGAATCAGCTATATTACATCTTTATACTCCTTAGTTCATTTTCTATCACAATTAAATCTTAAGATCTTTATTTTTGTATAATTATAAGTGATATAATCAAAAATGTGACGGTGATAGTTCTAAATATCCATTTTCAACATTAAACATAATAAAATTGTATTTTTTTTAAATATTATTTTGTAATAGTTTTTATCTCTTTTATAAATATTATTATAACATTATTTAGTGGAATTTATAGAGTAGGAGTGGAATTTTACGTTTTTGGCCCAGGTCAGTGCCTAACAGCGCGGATTAGCTCATTATTCGTGACGAATACATTATTCATTCGCAGCCAGCTCGCAAATCCGGCTTGTAAGTGTAAATTGAAAAACCAATATCTACAAACAATTGAAGATCAAATAAATAACATCATTCTTCATTAAACATCTAGAAACGCCCTACAAAACATTTTTTTTCTTTTAATAAATTAATAAACAAATTATAATTAGTCAACACTAAAGTTGCATATTTTTTACGACCAACTTCGACGTCGAGAAATCTTTTTTTAATATAGCATAATGCATAAAAATATACAATATAGTTTTATGTATAATTTTAATTTGAATGTTGTTTGAATTAGTCAAAAGTTTTGGAGAAAAAATTAATACGCTTATTGGAGTCTTCCGGGTACATTAAAAACGTCCGCCATGATGAATGAACGAAACGGTCCACTTACGTAACGCAATAATTAGAATATGCACACTAGCACAAGATGGCCGAAAGCGTGCGCTTGTTTTTTGCCGCTAGACGCTCGACGCACGTCGCGGAGGTGCCTGGCGCCGTCGCAAGGTCTTCTGTCTTCGCGCCGAAAATCCCAGAGAGCCGTAGCGCCCGGAGTCAATAATTCTTCGCGCATTCGAACACCAAAATGTTTGCGAGCAGACCGAAACATTGAATTAGAAGTTGGACGGGCAGCGGCCTTCGGTTTATTCACGGTTATGTTAGTGGTGTTTGGTTGAAACATTTTTATACTTGCTGTGTTCGCTATTGATGTTGTTCTCGAAGAGTTGGAGGCAGAATTTAATAATAAATAATGTGCTAACGAACCGGCGACCCGGCGCCACTGGAATGTGAATTATGTGAGGAATTCGTGCACGAGACGCCTCCGTTTCGTCCCGCGCGCCATTTTTTTATTTATTCGATTGGTTTTTATTGTTTCTTTGGGTATTGTTGAGTTTATTAGTTGATTTTAAGCGGGAAATAAACTAAATGCTAATATCAACGGGTATTGGAGTTCAAAAATTTAAAAACAATAAAAATTGAGATTAAAATTAATAAACAGGATATCGGTGACATTTTAGAATTTAAAATGGCTGCCAATACAAAAATCTCAACATATTAAACTTTATCATACAAATTCTAAGAAAATGCGTACATTAATTAAATTAATTTTACTTGTCACATTGTCTTACTTGCACTTTGTTCCAAACATGCTACTGTGCAGCTATTATGCATGGTTATTTATTTGCATAAGATTTTCATGTTCACTTTATGCAACACGTTAGTTAAAACGCTTCGTTGAAGTTGTTCCAAGATTTAAATTGCACTTTATTGTCAAATTGTGTCATTGCCATTTGCACGGTAGCAATCGCCGCCGTATCAAAAGTTTCACGCTGAACTGCGTAGGTCGCATGCAAGTCGAATGCAAAAACAAGAGTTCAATGGTTGACGCGACTGAAGACATTAAATTCATTTATATAACCGTGGATTTTGTTACGCAATTGAATTAAATGGTTTGTAGCAATATTGTCAGACTTATGCAAGGTAAAATTATTGAATGGTTTAACGGTTAGTTTTTCTAAGAAAATTATTTTTCGGTTAAAACTTTGATGATTTTTTTGTGAAAAATTGATAGATAAAAGGCTGGAGAATAAAAATAAATAGTGGAACTACATAACTTCGTGTAACTGTTGAAAAAAGTGATCAATATACGAATTGTGTAAATAGTTTTATAGTAATTTCACGATTGCACTTGGTTTTCCCATTGTAAGTCGCAATTAATAACATTTCACGGAATATTTATTGTATTGTAATTGCACTACGCACAAAGTGCAAATTTCTTTTAATAACCACCTTTCACACTCACAATTGACGCGTAAATTATAATTTGCACTCGATAATTGTTAATAAATTGCCTTCAAATCAGTGTCGACGCCATTTTGTCATAAACACTTTTTAATTGGCTTCAACATAATTTTATAGAAGTAGGAAAAGGTTGAGAATTTATTGCGTGTGGTTTGCGTAATTAAAACAAAGTGTGTTTGTTTTGCTTTTGTTTCTTTTTTTGTTGTTTCGATTTTTGAAATTCTCCGCCCCCGCATCGAGCGCGGATTCTCTCACTGATCACTCGTACACATATTAATACCTAATCACATATTTACAAATATACATTGAAATATTTTATAATAATCCATTTTCAACGTCATCATTTTTATCGTTAGGTTTTTTTGTGTTTTCACTTTTATTCATTTTTTTGTCGTCGAATTTTTATCGTTTTCAAATAGTCGCGCGTCAGCACACCTTCCATCTGGGACCCGTAATGATTACAAATATAATATAATATATGAATCGTAAATCGCGCATAATCATAAATTCTCGAAGTGGAAATCGAAAAATTCGCAAGATAAAATGAAGATAATTTACATCGTTACCAAAATGGCGAGCGACGCGCGCGCGTGCATAATTCGGCGGCGCGCATCGCTCGATATTACGAACTAAACTTTTGCCAATCACTTAAAATTAGTATGCTTAATTTAATACGCCTTAACGCAAATCGATTAGGTTAAACTAAAGTTAAAATCACATTTTCTACATTATATGTACATTATGTAACAGATTTTGTTTAAATCGGTCGATAGCATTTGTCTTTGTTGATGCAAACAAAATGTGAACTCACAAACGCAAACGTTTTACAATAAAGGAATGTTTCTTCTTTTGTTACATGTTTTTTTTTTACTTCAATTCTGACTTGTTCATGATAAAACTAACCAAGCAATTTTTTTACAAATTCACACATCAGCGCCCTTACAAAGGTAAGTGTAGATTATCAATAATTATTTCATTACTAAAAATGTTTCTGCATATTTAGCATTTCTTCGTTTGTGTCTTAAAAGATGAAGAGAGATAGGGAAGTTTGAAACGTTTTTACATACATGAAAATTTGTAGCTTGCACCATTGATTCCTTTTTTTTTTTTCATCTTCAATTAAATCATTAATTAATCTAGCATATTTTACATTACTTGATTTTTACTTTATACCAATTAAACGTTTAGTATGAAGTGTTTCGCGTTAGAATCGCAAACTGCAAATGTACAGCTTTTTAAATATTATTATTTTTTGCTTGAGGCGTTGAGGCCGTAGAGCGTTTCGTCGCGCACGCGCCCAGAATGGCATTAAATTACAATCAGTCTTGTCATGTTTATGTGTTATGCTCGTTTTTTTTTGTCAGCGATGCGGACGCCCGAAAAAATAACCGAAATGGCGGCGCGCATGCGACGAACGCCCAACAGTAAAGTTTCCGTCTTTAGTTTCGAGAACGTTCGACGACACTGCGACAAGATACAGACACATTTGTGGAGTAAGTACCGATCTCGTAGTTACAGTTGCTAGTTTGTTTAGTGTTAATACGGGTACCACTGACGTTGAAGCTAACCAAACTTATACTCTCCCGCCATTTCAAGCAAAATTATTGTTTCACCATTGTTGATTGTGTTCGGTCATTGTGGTACCGCTTTTGGCTGTTTTGTTTTTTAAACGTACTTTGCATAGTACAAACATTTTGGGAAGTATCATTCGAGTGTCATCAACATGTCTCAATCAAATTAACATCCAATATTCAATTTCCATCATAAATTATTAAATTTATATCGCTTTTCTGTTCTGTTTATAAAACATACACTGCTCAGTTTATCCATTTTGCACGCTCATAGCTCGATTCCATTCAATCGAATGCAATCGAATGTCTAGAGCGTGCGAATACGAATGAAGTACCTGATGGAAATATCTCGCTTTCAAATATTGAAATATTATTCTCATTATAATACATTTTTTTCTTCATTTTCCACGTACTTTTGCATAAATTTTTTTGTCGTTTTCATTTTACAATTTTCTATCGCCTATATTTACAAAAATTCCTCACACTCCCTTTGCAATGAGTAATCAATCAATGAAATTACAATATTAATTATACAGTTTAATTACATGTATACGACTCTGCGTCACTGTTTTTAAATACATCGTTTAAATTTCTTGTTTGCAATTAATTAGTTTGCGGGGTGAGGCGGCATTTTCTCGAATTGCTCGACACTTACAAAGAGAAAAGTTGATATCTTAACATGCTTTTTTTAGTTTCTTCATTTTCGACAGTTTAACACCTAGATTAATTCTTATTTCATATTCATGTTTAAGTTACGCTTTAAAAATGCGTCTAATGTTTTCCATCATCCACGGATCAAGTATTTACATCGTTTCCACTACGAAATAAGTTAACTGATAAGAAAGTGACGTTTTTTGAGCTACATTTTTCATCAAATATTTGCTAATAGTATAAGTACAAAGTTGTATTTTCGACCGCCAATTTGAAATCTGTGGAAATTTCGCTTGTTCTCAACATAATTTTTGTGTGTGTGTGTATATTTTGTTATAAGTTACTAGAAAATATTTAACAGCCTCATTTATCCTTATGACTAATTAGGTAAACATTATCGATACAAATTACAAAATGAAAAATAATAAATTAAATTACCTAGAGTGAAATTTATTTATACATTTTCCACGTGTTTTGCGTTTATTTGCGTCGAAACTTTTAAGTTGGTAATGCGACATTCATAGTGTCGCGCAAAAACTCTCGTTCAATGAATTGAGTGAATCTCAGGTTTTATTAATTGTTTCTAGTAAATTATGCGACTCGTCCTGCGCGAGTCGTAGACAATAAGTTTTCGTAGAGCGGGCGGGGACGATTCTTTGCAAAAATGGGTTCCCCTCAAATATCTGCATTGAAACTCATGTAAAGCTAACTAAAGAGCCGATCGAGACCTCGATCGCCTAAATGTATGAACACAATAATACTATAAGTTTAAAAAATCTCGGTTCTGACTGTCTGCTGGGTGCTAGAATGACTGTCCTCTTTAATTTCCATTAATTTTTGTTTCCCTTTTCCTCTCATGTACGATCGAGTTAAACGTTTTAAATTTGTTCGAAAATACTTAAGCTGAACTTTAGCTCAACGCATTATGTACAAAAGTTTCCAGTACTGGAGCAAGGAAGAGTAAAGAGTCGTTCTTGTTTGAGAAATCGTAATTTCCAGTTTTTGTGTTTACTTGTTTAAAATATTAAGCGTAAAATTCGTATGTTCTTTAGTTTGTTGTGTTTCAGCTAGGTACCTCGCTGCCTGGCGCGGCACGCTCTGGGTCGCCTAACGGTCGGGAAACAAACGTTAAACGGCAAACGTCAAAAAAACGTAACCTATCCTAAGTCGTCTTCCTGCGCGTCCTGTTAAACGTAACGAAATAACGACGCGCTCTTTCGCCCAGCGAATAACGAAGTGGTGTAGCGAGCGGACGGTCGGCCGCCCGTGCATCGTTAGGCATCACGTCACTTCCATGACGAGGCTTTTTCGCACGATGGACTTGTTTGCCGCTGCTGCTTTATTCGACGGCGAACTGCCATCTGCGTCGCACTGACCCTTCGCGGAAACGGCGTCCGCAACCGCGTCGCCACTCATTGGAATCTCCAAGATGTTGGCACTAAACAAAAACCAATCATAAGTTATTTGTTTCCCTCAAAACGTTGTTAAAAACTGCTTACCTATGGCTGTTCAGCGGTATGGATGTATGCAGACCACGGAAAGCACTATTACCGCCTCCAGACAAGTTATTTCCCACCGGAGGTCGCGCGTATGGATGATTGAATGTTTCATACTTGCTCATTCTCGTCCGATTTCCACCTGAGATAACAAGAATCCCATTAAAATCTCATCTGACTACATTTACGCCTGCAAACCTTACCTTCAATTAATGACGTCACAATACCATTTGCATTGCCAATCGTCGTAGGTGCATCATAACCGGTCGCGGTGGAATTGGCGAGTACACCGCTTGCAGCTGCGATGGCAGCTCGCGCTGCAGCAGGCGACGCCGGCGTCGCGGCAACACTATTCAACAGCTTGGGACTAGCGAAGGTACTCGTACTCGAAACGGTGCACAGCAGTCTGTCGGATTTCTTAGACACAGTCCCATGGGCCGTGCCATCACTAACACTAAACCTAGAGCAGCCGACCACGTGGTCGTCGTCGCGCCGCGTTGAAATAAGCGTATTTGGGGGAGGTGAATGTGTCGATGATGCCTGCCGCGTGTCCGTGACGGGTACCTCCGGCAAGAGGTCATAGTCAAGGAGGAGTGGCGCGCTGACAAAGGACTGCTCCGTGAAGAGATCGCTGTCGTCCAATGTTCGCAGCTCTAGCGAGAACGGCGTATTGGCACTAGGCGCAAACGCCTCATCCGCCGGTAGCATGTCGCACGGCGGACTCCAATCCGGAGGTGGTGTTTTCGGCCGAAAGTGTAACCTAATTAATAAAGTTGTTTAATTCACAATATTTGTTAGTATATTTGATATTTGCACTTACCAATCTCGCCGAACAGATTGTAGGATTTCCAGCATTTCGTCGTGGTCTTCCTTTGTGAGGTGTTTAGTCCGCAGAGGTGGCGGAGGCTGCTGGACGGTGGATGGTTGTGAGTCAAATATGAGGTCATCAGATGACTCTTGTTTGACACCTTCACTCACAGTCGTCGCGGTTGATAACGAAACATCGCACACTTCACTCACACTTGTCCTCGCCGCCGCAGGAAGCGAGTCCTCCTGCGGCTCCACTTTGATCTCAGTTCTAGCGCACGCCGCGGCTTCTGTCACCGCGTCCGTCGAATCGTACACCGTGTAGTCCATCATGCGCCAGAAGTCGTTGACGTCGGCAGACAGTCGATCGAGTATCACTCGGCCACCGCGTCCCATTCGCCGCCGCGCAAAACCAACGCACGTTCGCGGGTGGTTTAAAGAAGTCAGCGTGTACCGATACCGATGATCACCGCCGCCGTGCTCATCCTGCGAGCACCATGGCCAGTTGCCTTGATGTGGCAACGGCTAAAAGAAGATATGTAGTATAAAGTCCTCTAAGATTATTAAATTTAACTTACCATATGATAACTGCAGTTCTTGAGCCGTCTGAATGCAAAAGGACCCTCGTCCTCAGGCTCCTCAGGCTCGGGTGAAGGCGGCGCAACAAGCTCATCCTCAGATGAAACCCCGCCAGCACCGTCCGCGTGTGTCGGTAAGCGTTGATGGCCAAGCTGCGAAGATTTGTGTTTGCGCTTCTTGTACGGCCGTTTTTGACCGCGTTGCAGCTGTTCCTCTTTGATACCGGACTTGTTATTCCACGCATGATTCGTGTAATTGTTCTGGAAGATAGGTGTGAATGCTGGCCGTGACGCCTTCTGCGCAGCAAACTCGGCGGCGATAGCTCCGCTGAAGTCTTTCGCGTGGAAGCGTTTCTCGTACACGTCCACCGTGAGCTGCATCAACTCGCGTTTCGTCTTTTCACGCTTCTTGATGAACTCCAGCAGACTAACGGCGCGCGAGAGATCCCGCCGCAACTTCAGCATCTTTTCATAGGAGGTCTCGTCGTTCTTCCGGTTTTTGCGCGTCTGCATCTTTTCCGTGCGACGGCGAAACGCGATGTAAGGATTGTTCACCGCCGTGCCGGCTCTATGTTCGGTTTTCACAGCCAATAATAGAGGGTGTTGCTAAAAAAAACAAAAGACAAATGTAAACAAGCACAAGGCAACTGAGTTAATTTTTGATAGTTGTAAGCGTACCAGTTTCAGGCGTTTATTCAGCCAGTAGTCAAATACGGCAATAATGAGATCATCATCCTCCTTCAACAATGCCTGGGCTTCGGCAAGCGACACCACTGTTTGGCCGCTACTCTTCTCCAGCCTGTCCATCATCTCTTCGAACTTGAGCGGTTTCAAATCGATTCGCTTTGCCTGAGAGTCCAGCCACCTTTCATCTTCAGAATCCATATCATAATCAGGTATGTCTTGTTCCATAGTGAAAGCTAAAAAACACCACCAATTACATACAAATTCAATCAACTGCAGTGCTAAATCTTGTAAACAATTGGCTATCAACGAATACTACAACAATTGCAACCAATTGCAACTAAGAAAAAAATTGCATATCAACAACTTTTGTTTTTTACTCACGTTGCATGTGTATGAGTTCGCGTGGTTGTTTATAGTTGGCCGGGTAGAGCATATCGTGCACAGATTTGTCCGCAATGTCCGACACTTCGGGAGTAGGAATGATGAGCCCGGCGCAAATAGCACGCTGCAGATGGTGCTCCTAAAATTCATGTTGCTTAGAATTAATCACTGCTAAGTCGAATTTATTTTGATGTCAATTCCTAATCTAATTGCAGATAATGTTTGACTCAGTTTAGGGTTATGTGATCACAATGTAAATAAACAATACGTAAACAATACTGAAAAAGAATTTCATTCATAGTTTGATGTCACTCTTCCGCGAAATTGAGCGCGAGATCTGTTATCAAATTAAAATAATTTGTTTACAATGTTTTCGTCATGTGCGAGCCAAAAAATTTGGTTGACAGCCGCGGGCGCTGGCGCCAGCCACCGTGAATCGCAAATTCATGCACAAAATCGACATTTCCCATGCAATTATGAGCTTTCCACGTCATGAAAAGCTCGCGAAATATCGAAACGCCGGTCGTGCTGGCGCTGAACGCGCGCGGCCAAGATGGACGCCGTGTCGGCGCGGCGGACGAGCGCCGTCGCCGCCCCGAGACTTACACATTCCTCCTCTTCCTCCATGCCGGAGGGCATCTGCGGCACGGCCCGATGGATGACCGAGTAGTCCGGCAGCTCCGGCAGCTCCTCGGCCATGCAGATGGGCATCGGCTTGCCGGCGTCCAGGGCGCGCGCCCGAAACGAGAGCTTGGACATCCTTGTTGACAGCAGTTGTAACGCGACGCGGCCAACATAAATCTATCCAGCGTCCGCGTGGCGTATCGCGACGCGCGGGCCGTCCGCGACAGCAACGAGCGGGCGATGCGGCTTCCCTAGCACGTTCCCATCGCTCTCGCTGGCGCGCACTCAGTCACAAATACAGTAAAACGCCATCGTAACTTTCCATGTTGAGCGCGTCGAACAGAAAGCCATCATGGCGGCCCTGCCATGGAAGCGTTTACTAGCGAGAGCACGCCAACCAGCGCGCGGGAAGCGAGAGCCGCACTGACTAGCCGAGTACCTTCATTCATGCCGACCGCAACGCGTGTCGAATGCCAATCACTCCCTGACACTAACAACACACACAAACACCAATTATACTACCAATTAATAACGTTAATATTTATTTCGCGGCGATATTCAGCCAGATATTGCGTTAAAACAATATCCAGTCCCTTTAAATTTGAGTAAAAGTCGCTGGTTTGACCCATTCCTCCATCATCTTCGGGCATCATCGGCAACGTCGACAACAACCGATGATTTTCTACATGAATTTCGACCATTTTAAAGAACTTTTCAGCAAAACATGCTAACTTGAAAGCATTCTTCGTTATAAATCCACTTAAAAAATAAAAAATCACATGTTGACATTACGTATTTCTTCTAATCACGTCTAATTACACGATTACTACGAGCGGTGGTGGGGATCTTGATTAATTACACAACAATCCGAGCAAGGCTCTGTCGTAGCGGAAGTGACGACATATACACGTGGAGCCCGCACGAAATAGCTAGGGACTCGCCTTAAAATGACCGCCATCTACGTTTACTTGAATGAACTAAACTGAAAACATCTTTTTGATTTTTAAACTTTTCCAAGTTATTTTTATTATTTAAGTGCTTAACATTAATCGAGCCGTAGTGAAGATTACAAAATACGATAGATGGTTTAACATTAATCAGTAGATTGTTGTGCACCGGGTTTTAATCCACGGATAGAAAGATCATAGACGATTTCTTCGATTTTCTTCACGTCGTACTTTAAAACATCAAAACGTTTCCGCAACGAGTCATTCTTCAGGTTCAATAGTCGAAAACCAGCGTTGATGTTTGATACAAACTTGGAGATCTCCATAGGCCTATTGTAATCACCGCTTGTTACCGCATTCACAGCAAAACGTGCCTAAAATTAAATGCATGAAATAAATATCAGTTATAACTTATAATTAGCAATAAACATACAAGTTCGGATGATAACTGCAAAATTCCCATCAAATAATCTTCTAACTCCAAGTGAAAACCTTCTTTGTGGTCCAATTTAACTAAAATTTAAACAGGTTACTGAAAACATTTTTGATTTATCGTTAATATCTTACCTCCAATGATTTCTGCACAAGTTTCTTTACTGATCAAAATCCCAACTTCTAAATAAACCACTAAGGCAGCAATAAAGCACAATCTCTGTGTGACAAATCTCCAATGATCATTATATCTGTAATATTGCCCACTGACAACTAATGCAGAGAGCTTCACATATTCCGGACGGACCTTCTCAAAGACTTGTCTTGTTTTAAGACAGGCTTGTGGTACTGAAATAGGTAATTAAATAATTTAAAGAAAACACACAGAAAATAGTAACTTACTCTCTTCAAAACAGTTTTCCTGATGAATAACTTGCAGAATTGTTATCATTTCTCTAGCATGAGTCTCAATTTCCTTCACAACTGTTCTAATTTGCTATAATTAAAGAAGAAAACTTGTTTTAAATTGAAAATGATTGCATTCAGATATTCTTATATCTAAAATATTACACAATATGACGAATATTTGTGTAAAATTGACAAATTAGATAATTCTGTGATATTCATAATTAATCACTAACAAATTCTGTGAATACTGGAGAGAATTATCCATTCTTTCTTAGTAAATCGAAAATTGTATGCATATTGTTTGGTTGTGCTTTTACCTCGCGCGTCTCTTGTTCATTGTCCAAATATTTCTGATATGAAGAGAAAATATCGTTGACCACGGTGTCCGCCATAATTTAATTAATAATTTATATTAGCTAAATAAATTAACTTGCAATTCAATTATTTTAATAGTCTTTTGTAGTTGTTTTGGTAGCGGCGATGCTGCGTCGGTGATGTTTTTATTGGTTAGGAGCAAACAGATCAAAACAGATGTTTTTGTTTAATTTTTTGGTGCATGCGCTGTTCTATTTCTTGATTTTTAAATTAATTATACAAATAAACAATATTTGATAAGTTGCGTTTACAAAATTTTATATTTTCTAATTTGTAACAAGTTTTCCATTATTTAAGTAATGTTTAGCTTTCAAAATAAAATTTTTATCATGTTGTATGTCTAATTTGAAAATTGACAGGTTGTTAGTCGGTGAGACGGTTAGTAACGGTTTTTTACTCAAATATTTAATAAACAATTAATAATACGTATTGTTTACGATGGAGGATGCAAGTAAAAAGCTTATTGATGAAACAAATAATCAATTGAATAATATTCACATATCATCAGGTTCTTACAGAGGTAAGATTTGTTTAATTTATGTTATTTATTGTATCAAAAATGTAAATATTTTGCAGATAGACACCTTTTGCAAGCCACAATTCTAAACGAAAATGATCCATCTGAAGAACTCACAAAAATCTATCATCTTGTTGAAGCACACTGTCCAATATTTCGGAAATTAGCAATCAATCTCTTTGAGAAAGCTTCTCACAACTCATCACACAATGTTTTTCCAATGGACTCAGAGCATTTGCAGTTTAACTGCTGCACAGATTCACAAGTTAAGATTAGCATTGAAGATATCCTTAATAAAATGGAGATGATGCCACCAGAATGGACACTAGTTCAGTTAACAAATATGAATTATTGTCAGAGTGGCATGGAAATCAAACCAACAGCTCTTCAGATTACTGTATTTGAATGTGGACAGAATACCATTAAACCTTTAACTGTACAAGTTGACCCAGCTGTGGATCCCTGGGGTAATCCAATTAATATTATCAAGGAGTTAAATATGAGTTTAGAGGAGATTAATACAGGATACATTAAGTTGAAGAACAGGCTGCATGGCAATATAAAAGAGACATATTCACAGTATAAGTTGAGGATTAATCATGGATTGAAGCAGCATGTTAAGTTTGTGCAGGATAAATGGCTTGCAGAGTGGCGGATTTTGTTGTCTGGCAGATTTAGTCAAGTGGAAGTAGAGGAAGAGATTAGTAGAGAGGTGCAGAAACTTTTAGATGAGTATACAAAGTAAGTTTAAGTAAAGTGCAAAGTTTTTAATTGTCATAGAGAATTCATATTAAAAATATAATCACTTTCTATTTTATAACAGGACGGATATTTCCCCCAAGAATCATCAAATCTTGAAACATCTTCTCCGAGCACAGGGGTTTATAGATCAAAAACAAACAAAGAAAATCCTAGAATACTGTTTTCCAGATATCACGAATCAAGAAGTAATCAATTTATACAAATCGATTAAAAAGTTTGAAGCGTTCGGCAAATTGAAACGTAATCCTATTATTTTAATAGTTGATGGCACAATTGATCAAATACCATGGGAAATGCTTGACATTTTGGCTGAACAATCAGTTTCTAGAATGCAATCTTTCCACTTCACCTATGCTCTGTTTAATGCTCATGAATTAGAAATCGAAAATGGAAGGAAAATCATCAAACTAAATGAATTAAAAGGCGGTATGCTGTTGAATCCCAGCGCAAATTTACCTCAAATGGAAAAGAGATTGAGCGCATTTCAAAAATATTGGATTAAAACATGGAAGACTATGATTGGCAAGAAACCGACAGAAGAGGAGTTTCTAGATTACGTTACCAACTGTGATATTTTTATGTATAGTGGTCACGGTGATGGAATGCAATATATTCGGTATCCAAGACTCGAGAAATTGCGCATAAACGCGGTGGTTCTTTTGTTTGGCTGTAAAAGTGTTGCTTTACAACAGAAATCATCATTTATCGAACCGTGGGGCACGAATCAATACTATATTATGTGTTGTTGTCCTTGTATCATTGGAAATTTGTATAATGTAACCGATTTGGATTGTGATGTGTTGAGTACGAACTTTGTTAGTTATTGGGTGCCAGCAACTGAGAAGAAAACGCATTGGTTGGACTTTGACTTAAAAACATGGTATCCTGGATCAACAGGTATGTCGTAAAACATTTAAAAGATGTTATAAAATGACGCAAGTGTTTTTTGTAGATATTGATATCTCATCGCTCCCTAAATCAGCAACTAGCAAACCACAACACATTCCTGATCTACTGACGGCATTAAACAAAGCAAAACGATCTACAAAGTGTACTTATATTACGCAGGCGTCATGTGTGGCACGAGGGATACCGGTAAAGTTAGTATAAACTAGAGTTTAATATTAAAAGCGTTCAGAGTTCTCACATCCCCTAAGAGCGACCAGGACTAAAACCTAAGGAGAGAATAAAGAAAAACCTGAAGGCCTGCAATCATTCCCCCTAGTTTAAAATAATTTGATGTAGGTTTCAAAAGTAATATAATTTGTACATATAAACCTATGAGCATAATGGCTGTTTTTCACCCCTACTGACTTTCACATAATAATCAGGCAGTAATTCATCAGTGGTGTGTGTACAACAAGTTAAATCACAGTATCAATATTGTTGCACTGACAACATCATCTCACATTCTACACTAACAGTAACTCTTTAAACAAATGCATGGAAAATGCCCAAGTTGCTTTTGTTATCAACCTTTCTTATAAATCCTATTTATAATGTGATTGCTGTTCACTCTGTTGTTTTGATAAGACAGTCTTCATTGCCTTCATGATCTGTGGTATCAGGTCAATGTGTTTGTCCACACATTTTGTTGCACAAGTTTCAAACATTGCTGTAAACTTATCCACCTAGAAATCATATTAATTTTTATACAACTGTTTTTTATGTGTTTTGGTGCTTTTTACCTGTGATTCGGAAGGATTTGGTCCCATTTTAAGTTTGATATCATCATTACACTCCATAACACACCTCTGAAGTCTGTTTTGAAAACTTTGAATCTCAGATTGGACATAATCTTGTGATACTTGTAATGGTTTCGAACAGTTTTCCACACATTGTTGAACTCTATCCAGTGATACGTTACCATCGTCGCAGCAACGTGCAGCACAACGATGCATTGTCGCCTGAGAAGAATATATTTCATTTTATTTAGCATGTTGTTCAACAGAGTAATAATTATAAGTCATGAGAAGCATGTTTTAGGTAACCTTAAATTTAGGGTTTTGGGTAGTTTTACCTGCATTTTACGCAAGTAATTGCGGTCAATTTCATCGACCAGTTTGGTCATTTCTTGTTCCACACGACGTCTTTGTTGATCAACCATTTTTTAGCTTTTTATAACAATTTTTATAAATGGAAGGTTGACCGGTCTCGAAGCCGGATCTTACTTTAAAAGGTTATGAAGCTTCTTATCAGATCAGAGCTGTATTAAATGTAATTTTAAATTAAGCACTTAATCATTAGTATTATTACAATATGAAAATTAAGAAGTAACAACTAATAGAACGTTATTTATGCTAATTATGCAACATACAATAATTTAAAACTAGCTCACTGTTTTCATGCAATATCTGTTAATACATCATAAATAATTTTCCAAATTTCGAAATACTTCGTTAAATTCATGCAGTTTGCTAGACTGAAATAATGGTTTTTGTCTCCTTGTGCAATAATTTACTTCGTAACAGCAGTGAAAAATGTACAAATACGCAAATAAATAAATTCATTCAAAATGTAGTCGGACGTCCTTGGGAAATTCAAAAATATTCATACACATGATAACATTATCGTTAACATTCGAAGTTCAATTTTCTAGGAGTCATGTACAAACGCAACTCCTCATCGGTAATCTTAGCCCTTCGTTCTTGATGTCCCTGAACAACCGGTGTTAAAGTATCGATCAAAATCTTCTTGAGTTCTCCAGTGAGTAGTTCACCACTGGTATAATTCTTCCTGATTTCACTGAGTTTCTCATCATCATCCAAGAAAAATGTTAGATATTGATATGAAATATCAACACTGCAATCGCCTCCTATTTTTCGATGTTCCTCAACAGTAGTTTGTCCACCAGAGAATGCATGTTTATTGACTTTATTCTTCAATTGTTTCGGTGTGTCTGTTAGGTAGATAGTTGATGTCGGGTCTGATGCGGACATTTTTGTTTTCGCACCTTGAAGAGCAGGGAAAAATGTCGAGTGTATTAAGGCGGGTTTCTGAAAACCTAGTCTTGGAGCAACATCGCGAGTCATCCTGAAGTAAGGATCTTGATCGATGGCGCATGGGATGAGACACGGCAGTTTCTTGCCGTTGAAAATTGCAGGGAAGCTGGTTGATAAGCATGGGGTGGCTTGCACGGCTGGGAAGGCAATTTTTCCGATTGGATCGCTGTCACCAAAACCAAAAATACCCTTCACTTGGTTGAAAGTCACACATTTTTGAATACGGATCATATTGCGGTAGAATTCGGGACATTGCCTGATGAAAATAAAATAAGTTTTAAATCACTTGCATGTAATTAACTATTGTAAAACTTACCCAATATAAGTCAAGTCTGAGAAAATAAAAGTTTTGCTAACATCAAACCCTATAGCAATAATATCCTTAGCATTCTCATCTGCCATTTTAAGAGCATCCTCCACTTTCAAATCTTTCCACAAGGTTTTCTCATCATCAGTGAGTTGTATCACAAGAGGCACATCAAAGACATCCTGCAGCCACTTGCAGAACATGAAAGGAATCAGATGTCCCACATGCATTGAAGAACTGGAGGGTCCTCTGCCAGTATAAAGGTAGAAAGGCTTCTTAGCTTCATATTGATTAAGAATTGAGTGCATATCTCTGTGAGAGAAGAACAGTCCTCTTCTTAGGAAATGATGAGCCGGTTTGCCAGTGACTTTCTCAAAACGATCGATCAATTCCTGATCAATTTTAGAACTGCCAAAACGTTCTATAAAAAAGATTTTGCATTTTATTCATAGTAATCATAGTAAAATAGTACAAACTAAAAGAATTCAATTATATTTAAACTTCTGAAGTGTAATTATAATTTGTTTCACAATAAAATACTCAGGATGTAGATTATTGAAGGTATCTGTTAATAATTAACAGATTTTAAAACTATGATTATCATAGTACAATAATCAAAAAAGTGCTGACACTCTGTTTGATTCATGATGTTAGATTAAAAGTTTTAATATCTCTTGTTTTTAACTTAATTTATAAAAAATCAAAGGGTTATAACTTACTGATCAGTTTTTCATAGTCTATTCCTGTGTCTGCTGAACCCACAACATTCCAGGGATCAACCACATCTTCATCAGGAGAGGGTTTACCATTGCTCAATGATAAATCTTCCATTTTCGGTGGTTCTTCGGCTGCCATATGGATGATGAAATGCAGTCCTGCGTGACGGCAACAGGACTAGTCGGTGACTGCAACAATGAGTAATTGCACAAATTGCAGCATGTACAACTGTACAAATCATACGATTTTTTGGTGGTTAGGGGGAAGGCTTAGCCTTGACACAGGTGATTGCCTTCTGTACCACTGGCTAAGTGAAATATTCCTGATGTAAAATATTAATCAACATTAACATAACCATTTCTATATTTAATTGAAATTAACATAATTGAAGCATGTACATATTATGTATCAAAAGTTCTTCGCTTTTAATGTATCAAATTATTTTTTAAATAGGCTATGACTTATTTTGACACAATCAATCGGTACTTTTTGGCATGCGTAGCGCCAGCTATGAAATTTAAGTGTAACTATATAACAGCGTGATTTCTCTAACCTGAATATTCTGCACAGTTTAAATAATAATATTTAAGAAATAATGAGTTTAAATATTTCGAGGATGCAAGGAAGACACTGCAATTTAAACACCTTGAGTCGACCTGATGGTTCAGCACTTTATTCCCAAGGTAAGTGTCAGTTTTTAAACAATCATAACAAATTTTTACACTCAGTGTTACATTTTTTAGGTAAAACAACTATTGTTGCTGGTGTGTATGGTCCAACAGAATGTAAGAACACGAAAATTCTAATAGACAAAGCTCATATAGAAATGCACTACAGACCTAAGTCTGGTTTACCCACAGTTGGAGACAGACTCCATGAAGCAATTTTAAAAAACATTTGTGAAACTTCATTATTGTCAGTGTTATATCCAAGAACATCTATTGTAATTGTTGTGCAAGAAATGCAAAGTGGTGGAGAGGTAATTTGTACCAATTAATCAGTTTTTACTAAGAAATTATCTAAACAAAAATTTGTTTTTAGTTGATTGCAAGTGCTGTAAATGCTTGTTGTTTAGCACTTTTGGATTCTGGAATTGATATGAAATTCTTGGTTGCTGGAATATCATGTTGTATGGATAAAGATGGCAACTTATATGTTGATCCTACAACCACTCAGATGAGCAAAGCTGCAGCTAGTTTTATTTTTGTCTTTGACAGTTTTGAAGGCTCAATTGTAGCTTCACATACTACAGGGATATTTACCATAGCAAATTATACTGAAGCATTGAAGCTGTGTAAGGAAAGTAGTGCTAGTGTTTTCGATTATTACAGACAAATCATGAAAAAGAAACTTGCAGTGTATAAATAGACATAAGTTGATAAATAAAGTTATTGTGCAGAAACATTGTAATTGTAATAAGTCTAGTGATTTAAAGAGTAATAAATCAGTTAACTTAAGTCATTTAACTAAAGTTTAGGATAGGAATTATTTAAAACTAAAATACGAACTAAACAGATGGTATGCAGTAGCCGTAATTCCATACTTGGGCGATAGGTGGCAGCAGCATGTCTACATCTGAAATTTATTTCCCGCGATTTTGATCCATGCTATCTAACCTTCTGCAAGTACGTAGCAGATAATATAATTTCAAAAAGTGTTTCTAATCAATTTTAGAATAATTTTTTCTTGTAATCTACTATTGCCGCTCCAAAGATGCGTTTTAATTAAGGTTTGAACTCTAACATTACTGATTACTAACATAACATATTTTAACAGTATTTTCTCAAATACTGGGGTTTTAATTCCGTATTGACAAATGCTTGATGATTTAATGTTCTCAAAGAGAAATAAAGTTTGTATTGAATTATGTTGTTGGAAATATTACAACAGTATAAAAGCATAAGTGCATAAGAAACAAAGCCGGTCCGAAATGGCCATCTCGCGTATCCCGAACAAGACAATTAAGAAACAGATGGACTTAATTAGAAATCGGGGCCCGGACTCGCGCGCGCACATCGAACAGAGCGGCCCTCTCGACGCGAGACGCTCTCGAAGTCTCGAGAAAAAGATAATTGAAAGCCGAAGCCGGTCGTGGTCGTGCACCGCCGTCATATAAAGAATATTATTTATTGGCGGAGAACACAATAAGGCCGTAATGGACGCAACGAAGGTCCATGCGAGTCGGGTCGGCCTTATATGCGCTCGGCGGCGAAGACGAACAATAACAACGCGCGCACCGGGCACACCGAGGCAAAAGTTAACGCGCGGCAAAACGAATGCGACGAAAGAAACGGCCACGCGGCCGGCCAGCGGCGGCGAAGACGCTCTGCGTGGACGCTTCTTAACCCACGCTCAAAGCCCCAAGTGTGTATATGTATGTGCCGCACAGCCGCACGATTCTCACGAGCGCCGCGTCGAAAGAAAGAAAGGCAGCGCGCACGTTTCGTATCATCGGCGCGGCCAAAGGGGCCGTACTCCTGCATATTTATACGGTAATTAGACCATGTAGAACGATGGTCATTAACATCGGCGCAGGCATTATGCGTGCGCGATGCGGTGATGCGGCGGTGCGGTTTTCTCGCCGGGGATTCATAACTCACGACGCGGCGAAAACAACAAACACAAAAACAAGCGAAACAATATTCACACAATGCAATTTTGTGCATCACATCAAAGAGAAAGTATTCCTGATACATTTAACGGCTGTAAAATAACAATCCGTTTGATATTGGTGTAAATGATGGTCGTTTGCGCCCGGCTGGAAACCAATCCATTCAAAAATAATGACAACTTGTCAGAGCAGCAAGAAACCCACAGACACCCGGGTGTCCGAATGCGCACACCAAACAGATGGGCACCCCGGTAAGCGAAAGAATTTAATAATCATAACAATCGCACCGGCCACGGCCGCAATTTCACAATTATCTAGGAGTAGATGTGTAATTTCAGGTTTAGCCACAATTACACACCGCATAATGACGATAAGTGGCAGGTTGAAAAGTGGCCGCTGCACAGGCAGCACAAGGTTTTCATTATAATTTAAGATAATTTAACGGATATATGTTTAGCGCGCTCACAATATAACCTTTGCAATTAGATTGTATTTTTTTATATTTCTTGATTTTTGTGTTTCGCTGTGTGTGTGTAAAAGTTGTTTTGATACATTTTTCAAGACGATTCAATCGATGTGAACGTGAGTTTAAAAATCTCAGGATATGTATCCGTTATCTCGCATCTAAAAGCCATTTTAATTTCCTATTATACGTAAACACGACGTGCTCACTAGGATTTATGGTAACGATGTTGCCGTCGCACGTTTCTACTTTTCTTCGTTTTTATTTTTTTTTCATCTTCGGGGCTGGATGTACCCAAAAAGTTTGTTAGTGCTTTCCACGTTGGGTGAAAGAATTCTCGTCGTCTCTGAGCGACATCACAACATCAAATGCGGCTGGGCTGGTGTTCGGAGTCTCGATTTCTTTCAACTTTTAACACAACTCACAAGCGACCGAGTAGCAAACGTAAATTAATTCGATGCGCTTCGGATTCGATGCGGTGTGAGACGCGAACTAGAAAAAAGTTTATCTACCTGTCAGAGGATGTGTGACGCCGGAATAAATGAAATTCTCGAAACGTTGAGATAGAGAAAAAAAAACGAGAAGATGAGAATTAATTTCATCATATTCCAGCGAGCTTTGCGTGCACGGCGGCGCGTAGAGATGAGAAAATGATTTCTTTTGGGTGCGTCGCTGAATGTTATTCGTTTTCGTTCGCGTTTTGTTTCGCGGCGTTGAAGAGCGCGTCGGATGCGTCTTTCGGAAGTACGCTTCGCTTGGCACACGGTGGGTTGGGACTTGATCGCGTAATTGGTTCCCCCGTCCAACCCGAAAACGCTCGCGCGCCCGCTACGAAAAGGGGTAATTTCGTACTTCCTCTCACCCATACTCCCACACGCGCGTGCATCTGAACCGAAAATTGTTTCCGCGCTTTATTTAATTAGTTCTATATGAGAGTGGCTTCCTTTCTGGGCGCTGCGTCGCGTCGCGCCGTCTTAACTCGCAGTTAGGCAATTAAACCCTCCTTGCGGGACGAATACGTAACGACCGCTTTATGCAAATAGTCGCGCGCGCCGCCGGAGAGTTTAAGCAATTTCGACAATCTTAAATATCGCGCGCCGGGCGAGCCGGCGATAACGCCGTTCCGTGGATTTTTATTCCGACGGCGGCGTCGCGGGGTGCATCGGAACCCATCGGAGCAGTAGCTTCAACTACTCAGCACCCGTCCCCGGAAAGCAATTATAGAAATCCAGTCGGCCGAAAGTGCGCGCTTAAAAATAATAAATCGGCCGCGCACGGCGTTTAAACGATGCGCAACGCATTTCGGAATAATTTCCACAACGACTTGAAGAAATCTTCAAATGTTCGCGCAAACAAACAAAAATTCAGCGATTTTTTTCTTGCCTTCAACGTTGTAGTTGAAGAGATGTGAATGTTGGATGTGGTTAAAGACGAAGTGAAAAAAATGCACTCGAAGCACTCGATCGGATCGAAATTGAATGCTTGAATATATGGCTTGTTTACAGAGATTATATATCTTTTGATCTCTCGCTTTGTGAATCTTCTCTGCCTACAATCATCATACCAACAATTCAACTACATGTTTGCCAAACTCATCCAAATCAATATTTTGTGTAAAAATATAAAACTTTACACTTTTCAAGAATAAATTCATTAAAAAATGATATAAAACTATTTTGTCTTGTTTAATATAATTATTATTTAATATTACAACCAAAATAATAATTAATTTTGATGGGAATATTGTGTGAATCGTTTGTATCTGCAAGACTGAAAGAAAAATGTTTATTTTGCATTTCGCCGACGATTGCTCGACGATTGCCCGACGGATCGAACAGCGAACGAGCGAACGATGCGAAACGCACGAACAAAGTCAGCGTGTTTCTCATCTCGTCGCGAAATGCAAAACGCGCTGGAGCTGTAGGCTGGTAGTAGTAGTTGCTGCGGCTCCATCGGCGATGTAAAGTGGAAGGCCATCGATGGATCTCGTACGCCATAAATTTCCAGCGCGCGACGTGCGACGCAAAAATGCGCCATACTTCGGATGACTTAAATGTAACGAACGCAATGCGCAAACGCCATTGTTGCGACGGCTGTAATACAGGTGCAGCTAACCGACTTAAGTCAGTTTAGATTTGTGCAACTTTTGCAAATATTATTTTCATGTCGCCAGAGGGAAATTACCAACAATAATTACAATACGCTGCATAATACAAATTGTAGCATAAAATTGACTTAAGTCAACTGTGGTTTTTATACAAGTACTACAACCTACTTTTTATGTTTGAACTTGTTTGAGTAAACAACGTATTAGCAACATAGACCACAATCAACGACTTCTTGCGGTCGCATTAAACATTTTGCGGTTAAGGCAGCTATCGACAAGATGTGATGATGCGTGCGGTGCGCTTTAATTGCGTGCCAGCATGTAATACACGTGAAAATCGATAATTGATTCAATTACGCGTGTAACTTTATAGACCATAACAAATACACACCGTAAAGTTATAATATCATGTAAACAAATGAAATATTTATAGGTTAATTTCAATGTCAACTGTCAAAAACAGATTATTGAGGTTATAAAAGAAAGTGAAGTGGATATTTGTAGTTTTTTCTGTCGGAAAACAAACATTTAAACCGACATAATGACAATAATAACGACAATAATACCAACTACCTACCGTTGTCGTAAAATTAACGGGCCGATACGATAGATATCGCGATGTTAGTGTCGACTACCACCACTAAACGCACAGGACGATGAGGACGACGCGCGTTAAAAACGATTTTATTGGCTTTTTAAAGCCGGGCATAAAAATTCTAACAGATGTTAAGAGAATATTATTGTTACGACTGCATCATCGCACGATGGGGCATGGGGCGAGCGCGTCTCGCGCCTCCACGGGCGAGATAACATAAAAATCATGCGATTTCTATCGGCGTCAACCTCTTCGGCTCGTGGAGCTGTTGCGTCGACACAAAGCAGCCAACGAACGGATATAGGGGATGCGCAATAAATATTTGTTTTATGGCGTTTCGAACGTTTCGCAAATTGCGAACGCCGCACGCCGCGACACCGCGCCGCGCGAAGAAATAAAGGAAACGTTTTACGAGCGCGTACATAATTTAATCGAAAACGATATCGTGTCGTGCGGCCACAGCGAAATAAAAAAACACATACAACGAATATTCCGAGAGGAGAAACTTGGGTTTTATTGAGTGCTCGATTGGTATACTATGGTATAGTATAGACACAATCGGAATTTAACTCCGGGACTCACCTGGTGCATGCTGCAGCGAAAAAATAAAAACACATTCCGATGAT